CCAACTTAACTACCCACCGCCGAGGCTGTGAAGGCCAATGTAATGTCGGTGTGTTAATTTTAAATACCCCAACAACCCCAAAACCCTGTAATCTCATGTGATCTGTAAACAATTATCGAGTCAAGTAAATCAATTGAAAAATTCCAATCGCTTTTGAATGAAATCAAGTGCCATTGAATCATCAGCCCTGACGCCGGAATCACCATCGTCATCATCATCGTCGTTGTCTGCCAAAGCCTCCTTCGTCTGCAGCAGACATCGCAGCCATGGTTCAAGCCATCGACATTGCAGCCATAACAGGTCACAATGAAATGGTAAATATTTATGTTTGTAGCTGCTTTTGTATGTAATTTAATTAATAAATTAATTAAAGTGAATAAATTTAAACAACAACAAAAAAAAATAAAAAAAATTATGTAAAAAACAAGTGAAGTGAAGAGCTATGAGTAAGGTCGGGTGGAAATTTAAACCAAAAATTTCATTAAGAAATAATGACTTCTGCCAATTTTGTGTATGTATTTATTGGTTTGAAAACCAAAAACGAAATATTTTCAAAATCAATGATTGGAAGAAACTTATATTGCAAAGGTTATAACCTTTTGTGCCATGGAATTGAAAGATTAAATAGTTCGAATCATATTTTTGAAAGAAAATTCAGACATTTCATTCATCTTTTGGGCTTTTTAACTCTTTTTCAAAATTGGGGAAAAATATCAAATTTAATGAAAACAACTTGTTCTGGATAATTTTGAAAAATTCTGACAGGAAGCGGGCATAGCCTCAAGGCTGTAATTCTGTAGTTTTACGAAGCTATTCTACCTCCTTATTGTACCATGGCTGCAAACCTCTAAATTTATTATCATCTGTAACTTATACGAAGGATCTACCGATTTGTGAAACTATATAAAAAAGTAAAAAGCAGCAAAGGGCGGAACTTTTAATACCCTCCACCATTTTGAAGCAACTTGAAAATTTCATAAAAAAAACAGAACTCCGCAAAAAATGCCTCTCAAATGAAACCCCTTATATGGGGGATATACGTTTTCCTTCATAAGTATTTTTTGTCATAGACTGTAGAACCCATTACGAACTTAATTTACGAAATTTGAAACAATTCTGGTGAAAAGTACCGCTAAAATCATCAAAATACCGAATATTGGGAGGTATCGTTATATGGGGGCTACACGAAGACGAGAACCTGCATTACGAACTTCAAATACCAAATTTGAAACAATTCCGGTAAATAATGCTGCTAAACTCATCAATCATATCAAACTTCTGTGCTCATCTACTCCGTAGTAAATGACCTCTGAGCTCATCCACTCTGCAGTAGCTGACCTCTGAGGTCATCCACTCTGCAATAGCTGACCTCTCAGCTCATCTACTCTACAGTAGCTGACCTCTGAGCTTATCTACTCTACAGTAGCTAACCTCTGAGCTCATATACTCTACAATAGCTGACCTCTGAGCTCATCTACTCTACAATAGCTGACCTCTGAGCTCATCTACTCTGCAGTATCTGACCTCTAAGCTCATCTACACTACAGTAGCTGACCCCTGACCTTATCTACTCTGCAGTAGCTGACCTCTAAGCTCATCTACTCTACAGTAGCTGACCTCTCAGCTCATCTACTCTACAGTAGCTGACCTCTGAGCTTATCTACTCTACAGTTGGTTATGAAATCGATACCTCATAATTTCACAAATCCCTCACCTGTTTTTTTTGTTATCACACCTGCACAACATTTTTAAGCCAATATTCTATTCTTCTCGTAATGTTTTCAATGCATATATGTAATTTTGCGGAACATTTGTTTCGTTCATTTATATCCGCTATTTAAAGATTTCTGTTGCAATGAACCTGTAAAATGGCAATTTATTTTGGGTCATCACACAGTTTATGTTAATGACGTTCTAAAAATTGGTTGCATGCATTTACTGCTGGTCGTAATAATATCCTATCATGCAATGCGATTATTAAGATAGGTCATATAACAGTAATAAATAATGATAAAATGTAAGCATTTCGGATTTTGCGGACATCAAACCTAGAAAACATGTGTTTAATGACCAAATCCTATCTTCAACTTCCATTCACCTTTACCGATTATAAAAATTGAAATCTCTAATTTTTTTTTGTGGGTCATATAGATTTCATAGCCCCCATATCCTTGCAGATTTACTCTTGATTTAATTTTTATGATTACCACATGAAGTGCCAAGGCACGTGGCTTCATTTCCTCTTACATTTCATTTGTGGGTTTTCCATTTGCCATTTGGAGGCAGGAAAAAGTGTCTAATGAAACCACAGCGGTTTCTATGTGCAGCAGATGTGAGATGAGAGTTACTTTGGCAAAAAAAAAAAAAAACGAAGACGTGCAAAAAACAAAATATTCTTAATTTAAAAATTAAAATTTAATCCGATTTGTTCTGCCACACAGGTTGGCATGTGGCTAACAGGATAAGGAATAGATCTAGGTATGTTTGTGTCTATATACCTGTATATGTCATCTGTCGTTGACAATATTGAATTTGTGATTATATCGCGTTATCTCCACCTAAGACGGCCACAGTCACATCAATGAGTTTAATAGCATCAGTGTATTAAAACGCACTCTCTCTCTCTCACACACACACACTTTCTCACACTTCATGGTTTCATAGCTCGTTCAAGGGAATTCAAGTGGAGACTCATCGAAGATAGATGGATGACTCGATGGATGGATGAATGGATGAATGGTTGGCTGGTAAGCTGACTGGCTGGATGCACATGTATATTCACCGTCTACTTAGCCACAATGTTAAGTACTTTTATCTTCTTTGGGACCAGACATACGTTTGCGTTTTTCCGTTGTTTTCCTTTTTCTTTTATCCTCTCCGACATGACTTCCAAGAGATTTGCACTCGGCTACATTGTTTTTGAGACTTCTTGGGGGGCTGGATACAAAGTGAGTGTCAACAAATTCCAGAACACATTACTACTCACACGTGCGATTGGGCGCCACATTTGGATGTGCATATGTGTGTGTGTGAAAATGTCAGTCGAATTAATTTAATATTTATTTTACTTACACACACACAATTCCATAAGTTTGTATGTGTGCCGTCGACAAGTTAAAGATATCTTGACATTAAATCCTTGAAGTTGCAAAACCCCGTTTGTCACGACAATATGACATGTCCTTGATTAAATAGCCATCCATTCTTCTTCGTGAGACTCGCACATACATAGGATTGCTTATTTGTGTGATGATGGACTGCAGGTTGTTGTTGTTGTTGTAGTTGTAATATAGCCATAAAATTGTTGAATTGTTTTCGAAAGCATTGAACTATTGACCCAAAAGATCTGCTCTCTAAATGATTTATTTAGCTTGGCTACAAGTTTTGACACAAACTCGAAAAAGTCAAAATATTATTACAATGCCTGTATCTGAGCAACTCTGTCGGGAATTTTTCTAGACCCTTTGTAGACATACTTTCACAATAACAAAAAAAAAAAAAAAAACAGTAAAGAAAGTCTTAAAGTCGAGCGGGGCCGACTTTATGATACCCTACACCACTTTGCTAATTTAGTAGAGCTCCGCATAACAATTAAAAGTTTCTATGGGAGAATTCAATCATACACGCTATGATTATACTTTAAAATTCAAAGGACTAAATATGCCGTAGCATTTGTATCTTTTAAATTTAGACTTGTATCCATTTAGTGCACAATTAATTTGAAATCGGATAAAAATATATATGGGAGCTTTATCGAAATCGGAACCGATCTCGATATAATTTGGTAAAGATATTTCTGAGCTGTATTTGAAATATTTCCCTGAATATCGTTGTTACGGAGTACATATTACGGCTGTGGGTAACAAATATAACAAATCGGATGAACTTTATATATGGGAGCTATAGCTATATCTGGCCCGATCTTCACCAAATTTGACATACTAGCTTCTAGACTCAATTCCATCGTATGTGCCAAATTCCATCCCATTTGGACAAATATTAGAAGTTTGGTGCACAATAAAAGGTAAATCGGACGAAGTTATATATGGGAGCTATATCTAAATCTGAACCGATCTCGATAAAATTAAGCAAAGGTATTTCTGAGCTGCGTTTGATATATTTCCCCAAATATTGTTGTTACAGAGTGCATATTACGGCTGCGGAGGACAAAAATAACAAATCGGATGAACAATATATATGGGAGCTATAGCTATATCTGAACCGATTCAAATTTGGCATACATATTTTCAGGCCTAATTTGGGTGTATATGCAAAATTCCATCCCATTTGGACAAATATTAGACGTTTGGTGCACAATAAAAGGTAAATCGGACGATGTTATACATTGGAGCTATATATAAATTTTGACCGATTATCTCCAATTTCAATAGGGTTCGTCCTTGGGCCAAAAAAATGATTTGTGCAAAATTTCATCTGGATAGGGCAATAAATGCGAACTGTACTTTGTTTACAAAAATACATGGACAGACGGACGGACGGACATGCATAAATCGACTCAGAATGTGATTCTATGCAGATCATCAAAAGGAACTACGGGTCTATTTCGTTTCCTTTTGCCTGTTACAAAAAAATGCACATGTATGGCTTAATATTCCTTGAAATTTTATGAAAAATTCAGTAGTATTAACATAATAGTAATAGAAATAATAGAAAATCTGAAAATATATTAAAATCCATAATTTGTCAATAACAATTCATAAAAAAAATGTTGATACTATTTTATTTCTTCATCCTTCACAATTCTCCATTTATGCTATTTGCTCCGGCTACTCAAAAATATTAATTAAAAAATACAAAATTCGAGCTATACTAGACCTTGGCAAAAATTGTTAATGAGACAGGAATTATTTTTTGGCCTTGTTGTCCTTGAAAACATTTTATTTTCTTCATTTTTAGACAAAGTGATATACATTTCATAAATCCATTAACATGGCTAATACTAACATCTTCTCTCTCTCTCTCTCCTTCCTCTTTTTCAGGACCAAACAAAACATTCCAAACCCTCAACACTGCGTCGCACCCTAAATGCCCTGCGTCAACGTCTAACGAAACGGAATCGCGCCAAACCGCCCGATTGGTTTGTGGAACGTTTCTCCAACAACACCAATGCCGATAAAATCGGCAAGAACCCAGCCTCAACACAGGTCAGTACGACCAATGAAAGTACCTCAGCCGAGGCGGATTCGGGTCCGGCATGTGAGATACGTGGCTCAAGTAGACTGTGTAATCGTCTATCTGTCAATCCATCATTGCAGTCACATTATAGGGTAAGTGGATGGGCAAAATAAAATTGATGAATTCTCTTAATGGCTTTTTGTTTTGATTGTTTCGTTTTGTTTCAGTGGCTGGCAGTGGTGTCCCTAGCTGTGTTATATAATATCATCTTTGTGGTGGGCCGTGCCGTTTTTTGGGAAATTAATCAGCGCGCCACACCAGTTTGGTATTTCCTTGACTATTTATGTGATTTCATATATCTGATGGACACGTTGGTGCATATGCATGAAGGTAAGTTTTGGGCGCGGGAGATACTTTGAAGGTTGAAATTTACATTTTATTAATCGGGCTGTACATAAACCAGTAAAGAAGGTCAAAAGTTGGGTGCGGCCGACTATATGGTACACCACACCACAATTTATATTTAGTCGAGCTACCCTCAACAGAAATCGGTATTTCTGAGCTGTACCTGATATTTGGTGCCAAATATCATAGTTGTGTAGGGAAAATTACGGATGTGAAGGACTCAAATATGAAATCGAATGAAACATATATATTGGAGCTATAACCATATCATACCCAATTTTCAAGAAATTTGAAGTACTTGCTTCTAGGTTGGAATCGGTTGGATGGACCGAAATTAGTATCATTCTATTTGGACGAATATTACGCATATGGCGCACAATAAAATTTAAATCGGAAGAAAATTTATATGGGAGCTACATATAGATTTGAACCGATTCTCACCAACAGGGTTCGTCCTTGGGTCAATCAAGTAATTTGGGAGAAAATTTCATCTCATGCGAACAATTAATGCGACCTGCACTTTATTCACACAAAATACATGGACAGACAATCTGAGATTATGATTTTATGAAGACCATCAAATGGAACAATGGGTCAAATTTACGAAAAAACTAAAAAAAATTAAAAGTTGCACTTAATTGGTTGCTTGAGTTAAGGATAATTATTTATCCTTTGAAACTTTTTAAAATAATATCCTTTAAAATTCCACGACAGTCCTTAAAAATATCCTTCAAAAATTGCATGTTAATAGATCAGATTGTCCTTGAATAGCATATCCTTAAATTTTTTTTGAAAAATCCTTTGAAGTTCCTTAAAATTTGTCTGTTTGTCCTAGAAAAAATATCCTTTAAAAATTCTAGAATAAATATCCTTGAAAAGTGCTACATGTTTGTCTTAAAAATATTCTTATCCTTTCGAAAATATTGTAAGAAACAAAATGTCCTTTAGAAAATTCTTAGTATTATTGTCCTCTGAATTCCCAAACTCTGTAAGACCTTTAAATATATTCCTAAAAATGATTATAGTTCCGATAAAGCTTTGGAAATTATTTTGACAAAATCCGGGGTTACCATCATGAAACCCCTTTAAAAATTGTAAGCTACTAAAAATTCTTTAAAAATATATGGATATTCTCTGAAATACCTTAAGAAATTATTTTAGAATATAAAGGATTTTCGTCGTAAAACTGCTTAAAAATTTTTATGAAAGAATTCTGAGAAGATCCATTTTTTATCCTGAAAGTTCTTTAGAAAATATTCTCGATAATAGCCCTAAGAAGCTTTAAAAAATATTAAAAAAATCCACGGATAAAATCCAGCATGTCCTTTCGAGAATACTCTTGAAAACGGTTAGAAATTAAAGTACATGATTATTGCCATGAATATTCTTAAGAAAATAATTTTTTTAAAAATCAACCATTGTTGCCCTGCATGCCCTTCGGAATGTTTTCTTCAAAACTCTACGATTAAAGCCTAGAGTGCCATTTCGAAAATATTCTCAAAAACTCTACGATTTTGGACTTTAATGTCCCTTAGAATATATTCCTGAAAAAATAGTGGATGTCCTGTAGAAAATTTTATTTAAAAAAATCAGGACTTTAGTCATAATTGTCCTTTCTAAAACACTCTTAAAAATTATTTAAGAAGATATCCTTTTGAAAGTCCATAATTTTAGTTCTAAAAGTTCATAAAATTCTACGATTAAAGCTATGAAGGTCCATTATGAAATTCTCTAAAAATTCCTTTAGAAGATGTACGATTATTGTCCTGGATATCCTTTAGAGGATGTGCTTTAAAGATCCTCGATTATGGTTCTAAGGTTTATTTTCTTAAAATATTCTAGTCTAGTCTGCAATATCCTTTAAAAACTTCCCTAAAAAATTACAATTGTAGTCCTGAATGTTCTTTAAAAATATGTTTTAAAATATCTACCATTATAACATTATCCTTTAAAAATACTCCTAGAAGTCCAGTAAAAATTTTAAAATGTCTGCTTTTATTTCCTTGAATGTCCTTCAAAAATATTTTTCAAATATATGCTATTATAGCATTGAATGTCCTTTAGGAAATAGTCCTTGAAGATTCACGTCTATAGCCTTGAATCTCATTTAGCAAAAAATCTTAACAAAACCTCCACACTAGCCCTGCATATGCTTTAGAAAATTCTTTTAGAAAAGTCATTTAAAAATCGTCATAAAAAATCCACGATTATATCCTTGAATGTCCTTTAGAAAATATTCTTACAAAAATCACTTTAAGTGCCCGCAAAGGCCTTAAAAATATTTGAAGAAAATCCGTAATTTTTGCCCTTTAGAAAATGCTATTAAGAGTCCTTTGAATAATATTCTTAGAAGTCCTTGAACCTACGTCAGAAAGTATTCTTAAAATATCCACTAGTGTAGCCTTGAATGTCCTTTAGAAAATATTCTTAAAATATCTACGATTTTAGCCCTGAATGTCCTTTAGAAAATACAAGAGTGCTTTACAAAATATCCTTAAAATTCCTTTCCCGTACTACATTATTACGGCCCTGAATATCATTCAGTAAATATTCTTAAAAGATCCAAGATAATAGCCCTAAATGTCCTTAATAAAACTCTATAGAAAATATTCTTAAAAATCCTTGAATGTCCTTTAGAAAATATTCTTAAAATATCCATTATTAATATCATTATAGCACTGAATATCCTTGAGAAAATAGTTTTAAAAGATATTAAATGTCCTTAATAAAGTTCTTTGAAAAATCCTTTAGAAAATATTCTTTAAAATCCTTGAATGTCCTTTAGAAAATAATCATAAAATATTCACTCTTATAGCACTGAATTTTCTTTAGAAAATTAATTGAAAGATCCAAGATAATAACCCTAAATGTCCTTTAGAATATTCTTTAAAAAAACACTTAAAAATATATATCCTTAAACATTTTTTAACGTCCATTAGAAACTATTCTAATATCCACTATTATAGCCTTGTATATTCTTTAGAAAATATTCTTAAAAGCTTCAAGATAATTGCATTAAAAGTCCTTTAGAAAATTCTTTAGAATATAATCTTAAAAATCATTGAACTTCTTTTTAAAAATATTCTTAAAATATCCACTTTTATAGCTTTGAGTGTCCTTTGGAATGTCTTTTTTAAAAATTCTTTAGAAATTTTCTGAAAATATTCTTAAAAAAATTCACGATTATGGCCTTGAATGTCCTTTAGAAATTTTTCTTAAAAATTCTTTTGAAAATATTCTGAATGTCCTTTAGAAAATACTCTTCAAAATCCTTTGAAAAATATTCTTAAAAAATCCAGGATTATAGCCTTAATTATAGCCTTAAAAAGTATTCCCAAAATCACTCAGAAAATATTCTAAAAATAGCTATTATTATAACTTTAAGTATGTTTCGAAAATATACCTTAAATATCCAAGATTAAATCCTTGAATGTCCTTAAGAAAATATTTTTAAAAAATTACGATTTTTAACTTAAATGTATACTCTTATAATCCTTTAGAAAATATTTTTAAAAAACCCAAGATTATATCCTTGAATATCCTTTAGGAAGTGTTGTTTCGAAAATATACCTTAAATATCCACTATTAAAGCCTTGAATGTCCTTTAGAAAATATTCTTAAAAAATGACAATTTAGACTTGAATGTCCTTTAGAATATACTCTTAAAATCCTTTAGAAAATATTTTTAAAAAAACCAAGATTATATCCTTGAATATCCTTTAGGAACCACTCTTATAAATCCTTGCGAAAATATTCCCAAAAAAATCCCTAAATGTCCTTAAGGAAATACTCTTAAAATCCTCTATATTTTTTTTGAATCAAAATCTATTATAGCCCTAAATTCCCCGTTGAATATATTTATAAAACTTCCACGACTATAGCACTGAATATCGTCCAAAAATAAATGCCCTTTAGAAAATTCACTTGAAAATCCTTTAAAAAATATTTTTAAAAATCCTTGAACTTTTTTTAGAAATATTATTAAAATATTCACTATTAGAGCCTTGAATGTCCTTTCTTTAATCTTTCTTTTATCTATTTTAAAATTTTTTTAGATATTTTCTGAAAATATTCTTAGAAAATTCACGATTATGGCCTTGAATGTCCTTTAGAAAATATATATGCCTCTAGAAAATAATCTTAAAAATCCTTCGGAAAATATTCTTAAAAAGTCCAAGAATATAGCCTTGAACGTCCTTTCGAAAATATTCCCAAAATCCCTCAGAAAACATTCTTAAAATATCCATTATTATAGCCTTAGGTGTCCTTTAGAAAATATACCGGAAATATCCACCATTAAAGCCTTGAATGTCCTTTAGAAAAAATTCTTAAAAAATAACAAATTTAGACTTGAATGTCCTTTAGAATATACTCTTAAAATCCTTTAGAAAATATTTTTAAAAAACCCAAGATTATATCCTTGAATATCCTTTAGGAAACACTCTTAAAAATCCTTGAGAAAATATTCCCAAAAAAATCCCTAAATGTCCTTAAGGAAATACTCTTAAAATCCTCAATATTTTTTTTTATTTTTTTGAATCAAAATCTATTATAGCTCTAAATGTCCTGTTGAATATATTTATAAAATATAACTATAGCACTGAATATCGTCCAAAAATTATCCCAAAAAGTCCTACTTAAAAATTCACTATTTTAAGTGCAGATAGTAATTTACAAAATTATTTTAAAAAATCCTTAATAACCCGAAATTTCCTTTTAAATTTCTCATAAAAAACCAATAATATAGTCCTTTAGAAATATTCTTAAAAATACCACGATTGTCCTTTTGGAATTTCTTTTTAAAAATCCCAAGATTTTAGTCTTGAAGGTCCTTTAAAAATTATTTTTAAAAAATCATTGAATATTTAACGCATATGCCTTAGGAAAATGTTCTTCAAAATTCTTTAGAAAAAAAAAAACAAAAAATAAAAAATCTGAAAACCCACGCTTGCAATTCCAAATATCGATTTATTTTCAGAAAATATCCTTAAAAATTCACTGTTATATCCAGGAAGTAATTTAGAAAAACTATTCTTAAATATTTGTGATTACTTTCATAGATGTCCTTTAGAAAATCTTCATCAAAAATCAACGTTTATAGCCTTATTATCGATAAAATGAGTTAAACTCTGCATATCCTTCAGAAATAATCGATAATTTTTAAGAGTTTTTTCCTGAAGGGCATTCAGGGCTATAATCTTGGATTTTGTAAAAATTTGTTTTAACAGATTTTCCTTATAGTTCTTTAGAATAAAACCAAGATTATTATCCTTAAAGTCCATTCAGAAAAAAAATCTTTGTTTATTTGGTAAAGAGAATATCCTTGTCTCGTTGAGCTATAGAGTCAGGATTTTCTTTGAAAAAGCCTTAAGGTTTTCCGGAGAAGCCCAATAGATGTTCTCATAGAAGATGTGCCATTTTTCTCAGATAAGATTTTTAGATATTCGAAGAGAAAATCTGAAGATACTCTCTCTCTCTCAGGTTTCTACTCAATGAAGACTTGTTGATTTTCTTCCGAGAAAGATCTTCTCAGTATTTTTTTATCACCGAAGAGAAGATATTATCCTCCTGAGAGGAGAAGCAAAGCATCTGTAGATCTTTCCATAAAAAATCCAGCAATTCATTTACAGCTGGAACATTTTTCGGTTTCAGTCCTAATTGTCCCAAAGGGAAGATCTAAGGCGCAAAGCATCTGCAGATCTTTTGCATACAAGATCCAGGAAACGCTTCAAAGCTGGAAAAAATCTTTGGTTTCGGTCAGATTTTTTCCTCAAATACTTGACAACAGTACTAAACCATTTACAAAAATGGCCAAAAATATATCTGCTCACAAATTTTCCTCAAAATAACCTCTTTCACAAATCACTTTACAGTTATCAAAAATCTGACCTTTGACCTAAGGAAAATGCGTTCAAACCACACTTTTCACAAAAATACAAATAATTTTCGGTTACTTGAAATTGAATATGGCCACAGTTTTCTTTGGAACTCACAATAGAAAAATTCCCATTAGAATTGCTAACACCCTTCTCCATCCTTGCCGAAACGAAAATCGTCCTTTGTGCCAAAAACTGCATAGTTTGGTTATATTTTTCCCTCTTCTTCTTCGTTTGTACCCTTCAAAGAAAACAAAACGTTGTTGCATTTAATATTCAACACAGTCAGTGGCATAAAAAGTCATTATCTGGGGAATTGAAAAGAAGCTGAGAAATGACAAGACACGACACGACAAACAACGGCACTAATCACTGGAAGACAAGCGAAATGATGGCATTGTCAGGCGGCCAGCTCAAGGACAACAAAATGGCAACAATAGTCGTGGCAAAAAAAAAAAAAAAATAAAAAAATAATGGACAAGACAAACAGCAACTTAAGTTTTCCCAAAAATTAGGATGAGGTGGGGAAGGGGGAGAGAGGGGGATAAAGCTAAATTTGATTTCATTGTTATGATTATTATTTTGTAAATTGGCTGTTTATCTTTTCAAGTTTTACTCAAATTTACATTTTCTTCTTCGCATTTTTCTTCTTCTAGGTTATCTGGACCAAGGTCTGCTGGTGCGCGATGCCTACAAGCTGAGACGCCACTATTTCTCCAACAAAGGTTGGTACATCGATGTCCTGTCCATGCTGCCCACCGACATCTCCTACATCTGGTGGTCCCCAAGCAAATGTGGTCCCACCCTGCTGCCCTGTTCTGTGATCGTCCGCCTCAATCGCCTGCTACGGCTGCCCCGCATGTGGGAGTGGTTCGATCGCACCGAAACTGCCACCAGCTATCCGAATGCCTTTCGCATCTGCAAAGTCGTCCTGGCCATTTTGGTCCTCATCCATTGGAATGCGTGCATGTATTTTGTCATTAGCTATGCGCTGGGCTTTGGCACTGACAATTGGGTGTACAATTTGCATGGCGAACGAAATAGTACGCTACAGCGCCAGTACATTTACAGCTTCTACTGGTCAACACTGACACTAACAACGATTGGCGAGACTCCAACGCCGGAAAACGATGCTGAATATTTGTTTGTGGTCGCCGACTTTTTGGCTGGTGTTTTGATATTTGCCACCATTGTGGGTAAGTTGGATGTTGTGGGTTTTTGAGTTGTTTTTGGGTTTTTTTTTTTTTTGGAGAGGGGTGGAGAGGGGTTGTTAGATATTTTGGTGGAATTGATGGTGTTCGATTAAAAAACATGTTTGTGTAGACGTTTTTGCCTAAAGAAATGTTTGAAAAATTGATTTTAAGCAGAACCGAAATATGCTTTGGAAAATTTTAGGAAACTAACTCCACAATTGATTTTGTTTAAACAGCTAAGGGGGAGAACTTTAAAAATTACATCTATGGACATGGATAAAAATATTGCCGGAAAACAGGATTTAATAGACCTTACTTCATTTCTAACAGTTTGACATAGAATTCGGAAATTTATCCTTAGGAAAAATATTCTTGAAGTATCCACTTTTATATCCTGGAATATCCTTTGCAAAATATTCTTAAAAAATCAACTTTTATATCCAATGGAAACTATTCTTAAAGTATCCACGATTGTATCCTTGAATATGCTTTGGAAAATATTCTTGAAATATCTACTATTATATCCTGGAATATCCTTTGGAAAATATTCATAAAAAATCCACTTTTATGTCCTAGAATATTCTTTGGAAAATATTCTTAAAATATCCACTTTTATATCCTGGAATATCTTTTGGAAAATATTCTTGAAATATCCACTATTATATCCTGGAATATCCTTTGGAAAATATTCTTAAAAAATCAATTTTTATATCCTTGAATATTCTATGGAAAATATTCTTAAAATATCCACTTTTATATCCTTGAATATCCTATGGAAAATATTCTTAAAATATCCACGATTGTATCCTTGAATATCCTTTGGAAAACATTCTTAAAAAATCCACCCTGAATGTTCTTTAGAAAATACTCTTGACATCCTCAATTGTTTTTTTAAACAAAATTTATTGTAGCCCTTATCCCTTCTTAGTTATTCATTCCACGATTGTAGCTCTGAATATCCAAAAAAAGCCTTTGCACACGATTCTTAAAAATTCCACCGTTATAGCTCTGAATGTCCTTTGAAATATAATCATCATTGTAGCCTAAAAGTCCTTGAGAAATATTATTAAAAAACGTAAACACAAGAATGATCTCCATATCTTTAGATCTACTCAAGGAAGATCACCAGATCTTCTCAAAGAAGATCTCCAGATCCAATCAAAGATCTTTCAAGGAAGAACTGCTGATCTTATCCGGAAAGATCTTCTCAAGAAAGACCTTAAAAGAGGTATTTTGATCGACTCTAAGAAAATCTCCCAAAAGAAGAATACTTTCCCATTTTCTCAAAAAAGATCTCCCGATTTTCCCAAAAAAGACCTCCTCCTTTTCACATGGAAGATATCCCGACCTTCTAAAAGACAAATTTTGACTTTCTTAAGAAAGATCTACTGACCTTCCCAAAGAGATATTCAAAACTTCTAAAAAAATATCTAGATCTCCTCAAAAACAGATGTCCTGATTTTCTCAAAGGAGATCACCAGAACTGCTCAAAGAAGATCGCTAGATCTTCTCAAAGAAGTTATCGAAATCTTCTCAAAGAAGATCTCCAAATCTTCTTAAGGATGATTATAAGATCTTCTAAAAAATATATCTAGACAGACCTCAAGAAGATCTGCTGATCGTCTCAAAAAAGACACACGTAACTTCTCAACGAGGATCCCTAGATCTTTAAATCTTCGCAAGGAATATCTCCAGATCTTCTCAAGGAAGATGTTCAGATCTTCTCAAGGAAGATCTTCAGATCTTCTCAAGGAAGATCTCCAGATCTTCTCAAAGAAGATCTCCAGATTTTCTCAAAGAAGATCTCCAGATTTTCTCAAGGAAGATCTTCAGGTCTTTCCAAGTGGGATCTCTGGATCTTCTCAAAATATATATCTAATTCTCCCCAAAGAAGGTCACGAGATCTTTTCAAAGAGGACGTGCTGATATTCTTATCTTCAGTTTTTCTCAGTGAAAATGAACTTCAAATCTTTTCAAATAAGGTTTCAGGATCTTCTCAATGTAGACATTCAGAAACTCTTATAGAAGATATCCAGATCCTATCAGAGATATCCAGGTCTTCCCATAGTATACTTGCAGATCTTCTCCAAAAAAAAAAAAAAAAAACACTACCGTTTTTCTTAGAAAAAATCTTGAGATTTTTTCAAGATCTCCTCAAAAAAAATCTACAGGTTTTCTCATTGATGATCTCCTTATCTTCTTAATTATGTTCTGTTGATCCTCTCAAAGAAGATCTCTAGATCTTCTCTTTAAACATCTATATGTCTTTTTTTTATAGAAAATTTCAAGATTTTGGAAAAAATGTAAGTCTCTCCAAATCTCTAGGCCTTTGCAAAGAATTTCTTTCGATCTTCTGGAGAAAGATAGAAATTCCTGCATTTTCTCTGAAGATTTATAGATAATCTCACATCTGTAAGATTTCTGTTAGGGTACCTGTAGAAGATCTCTAGGTCCTTGTGGATATTCTAATGAGACATATATAGATCTTCTCCGAGGGAATGTATAAATTTTCTTTCTCTTGCAGAAGAATAATAGGTCTTTGAACAGGAGATCCGTTTTCAAACAGAAGGTAGATCTTCTTAGAGAAGAGGATTTTTTTTTTTGTAATTAATAATAGTAATAACATTAATAATAATAAAATTATTAATAAAAAATTTTAATAAATTGATGTTCCCAATTCCTGAACTTAAATTCCCGAACAGTAGCAACAATTCATTCGCAACACCCACATTCACCCACACTACCAACAAACAATGCAGCCCATTATCCACAGAGTCTGGCCTGGTCTGGTCCGTTCCGCTCCAAGCATTCATTCATTTAATTCTGAGACTGATGCCGCTGGCAACAAAACAATTTCCATTCAATATTGGCTATTGGAGGATTGGAAAACTTTTCTTTGTTAGCGCTAAAATATTAATTAGATTGAAAGAACAGCAAAAAAATACAATAGCAATAAAAAGACAAAAACGATGGGCAATGACTAAACAAAAGAATGATTGCATTGCCAAACATGACAACATGGATGATGATGATGATGATGATAATAATAATGGTGACAACAACAAAAACAACAAAAAAATATACCATCCATCCATAATGATGATATTGATGTCTCTTTTACATTGGCTTCTCTTCCTTTTCCTGTTTGTCGGTATGTGGTTGGTTTTGTATGTGTGTGCGTGCGTATGTGTGTGTGTTAGTGGCCTCCCTTTAATTTGTTTACTTAGTCCCGAAGTTATGGTCAAGTGGCATGTTTTTAGCCAACCAGAGCCATTACTGCCTATCGGACACTGGGAACATAAAGACATCATTGTCATTAATACTCGTTTCTGGAATGGATGACCAGCCATTTTGCCCTGTAGAATAGAATCGAGTCGAGTGGTTAATGGCGGAAGCATTAATTATCAACGCGTGGCTATGACGACGACTGCGATGACATGCTTTTAAGATTTTTCACAATTACCATTAGTTATATTTTTAGGGACACTTCCTACCCAACTTCACCTTGTCGTGGAGAAGGGGGTGGGGCTGTGCTACTAACTTGTTGTTTGGGTGATTGCATCAGAAATTGTGTATCATCAGTTTTTTTTTGTCTTGCCATGGCTACAAGGCTGTCATAAGGTGGGAAGATGTTCTTCAATGAAAGATTACCAGGAATTTACTGGCCAGAGAAATTAGATAATTTCTCTCACTGAGGTGGCAGTGCGAAAAGGAAAGGTTATTTTTTAAGGCTGTAGAAAAACAAGAAACGAAATTCTTGGGAAGCAGGAATTTAGTTTGGGAAAGAAAAATTAAGAGGGTGTTAAAATCAACTGGGGCAAAATTTTTTGCATTCCCCCCATGTGAAAGCTTTAAAACTTAAATTTCTTTAAAAGTATTTTTTCACTGACCGGGAAGACAAACAGAAAGAAGTCCATCTGACCAAAAATTTTAGATGGTTTAAACATATTTTTAAAATTTCCTTGACCAAACCCGTGGGAATTTTCGTTCATATTTTGAAGAATTTCCTGGCAGAAATCTTGTGGATCTGATATTATTTTAAAAATTCTTCCGTAAAAAAATAACCCATTTTCCTAGAGAAAATACCTTGGTTTTTAAGTACATTTTTCAAGGACCTTCTGACTAAAGTTGTGGATTTGTAGGTAATTTTGGGACAACCTAAATAAAAATCGTACAATTTTTAAGAATTTGATGTAGGGGCCTCTTGACCTAAAGTCCTAAAGTCCTAAATAGTCCTGAACAAAAATGGGATTTTTTGAAAAATTTGCTCAAGTACCGAAAATCTTTGTTTTAAGGACCTTCATCTTCTTCAATCATGGAATTGTTAAATTCATTTTATAAAGGAACTCCTGGACCAAAAACAAAAAAAAATAAATAAAAAATGTTTTTTGAGGGCCAACGGACTCGAAAGTCGATTTTTTAAGAACTTTTAAGGACTTCTAACCAAACATCAAGATTTTTTTAGAAACTCTTGTTGAAACTCCTTTTCAAAAATCATTCCTTTTGACTAAAAATCATCATCGTATCATAAAAAAAATGTTCAAGGACATTCTGGCCAAACAATCTTAGACTTTAAAGAAAAAGTTTAAAGGACTTCCCAAACAAAAATTGTAAATTTTTTGATACATTTTTGTAAAGGAGTTGAGGAGGTCCTCACAAAAAATAAGTGCTTCAAAGACAATCTGAATAAAAATCATGATTTTTTATAGAAAATGCTCATTTTGACGAAAATCTGTTTTCCAAAGACATTTTTTCAAGGACATCCCGACCAATAATCGTTACTATTTTTCAAAGACTTTCTTTAAGAAAAATTTTCAAGGTCTTCTTTGGTGCATTTTTTATAAAATTCTTTTAAGGATAAGATAAGAAATCTTAATTTTGGTGAACAATTTTTTTGAAGGAACTTTCGATAGAAAATCGTGAATATTTTTGAAGCATTGTTGGAAGAATCTCCTCCCCCAAAATAATTCAAGGACTTTCAAATTAAAAATCATAGATTTTTATATAATTTTTTTAGGAACTTCCTGACCAAAAATCGATGACCTCCCGACCAATAATGACCACTTTTTATTTTATTTTTTTTTTTTTTCAAGAACCTTCTGAACAATTTCAAACCTTCCGATTTTATAAGAATTTTTACAATGACGTCCTAATTTAAAATATTTAATTTTTAAATTATTAGTTACTTTCTGACCAAAAATCCTGATTTGTTAAGAACATTCTCAAGGAGCTCTTGATAAATAATCCCCGATTTTTAAGTTTTTTTCATGGACTTCCTGGTGCATTTTTAAAGAATTTCTTTCAAAGACTTCCTAAAAAACTCACAATCATGTAAATAAATATTTTCAAGGACCTCTTGATCGAAAATCGTGGATGTTTTAAGTGTTTTTTCAAGGACCTCCGGCCTAAATATCTTAGATTTTTTAGGAAATATTGAAACAATTTTTTTCCTTAACAAAAAATTTGAATGTTCATAAAAAATTTGTCCAAGGACCAACTTACCAAAATATGGACTAAAAAATGTTCAATGTTATTTTGACAAAAATCTGTTTTGAAAAACATTTTGTCGAGGACATCAAGATCAATAATAATCAATATCCTGAACAAAAAAAATTAAATCTTTTTAAAAAAATTGTCCAAGGACCAACTTAAAACATGGACTAAAAAATGTTCGAGGTTATTTTGATAAAAATCAGTTTTGAAAAACATTTTGTCAAGGACATCGGGATCAATAATAATCAATTTTTTTTAGTTTTTTTTTTTCAAGGGTCTCCTGGACAATTATCGTAGCTACTCAAGATTTTTTCAAGGACTTCCTGACTAAAAATTCGTTTCTAAATTATGTTTTTTTTATGTAATTCCTGAACACAAATCCTGCTTTAAAAAGAAATCAAGGACTTTCTGACCGTCATTCGTAGATTTATTCAATCTTTGTAAAATTTTAAAAGAAACCTTTTCAAGGAATCCTTATGCAAAAAATCCGAATTTTTTAAATTTTTTTTCAAGGACTTTCTGGTCAAAAATTTTTTTCAAGGACAACCTGCACAAAAATCTTATATTTTAAAAAAAATCTTTGCAGGACATTTGAGGTCAAATCATGTATTTTTCCACGGATATCTTGACCAAAAATCGACATATTTTCGCGAAAATTCTTACAAGGACATCTTGACCAAAACAATGTTTCTAGTTTCATTGTTTCTAGGATTTTTAAGAACTGTCTGAATACATTTCATGAAATTTTTAATTGATTTTTTTTTTCTGACCAAACAAAGTGATTACTTTAAGAATTTTTTTCATCCATATTTTTAAGATTTTCTTCCTTACGACAAGTCTGGAGTTTTTAAGAAATATTTTCAAAGATTTCCTTCCGAAAAATCGGGATGATTTTTAGAAATGTTTTTCAGGATATGCTGAAAAAATCATTGTTTCAAAGAATAATGGAATTTAAAAAAAATTTTCAAGGACATACTTGCCAAACTTTACCGATATTTTAGGAAATCTCTTCAATCTTGACTAAAAATCGTGATTTCTTCAATCTTGACCAAAAATCGTGGGCAAAAAAACCTTAAACCTCCTGGCCAAAATCTTAGATTTGTTAAGAAATCATTGCTGGACATCTTGACCGGAAATCGTGAACTTTTTAGAAAATTTTTACAAGATCCTCCTGATTAAAAATGATTGTTTCAAGGACCCTCTAACTAAAACTCTTAGATTTTTACAAAAGAATTTTGGTTCTTCCTGACCAAGAATTGTGATTTTTAAGATTTTTTATCAAGGACCTCCAGATCATCGATTTTTTAAGATTTTTTTCTAGGACTTCCTTAACAAAAATCGTAATGTTTTAAGAAATTTCAGGGATTTCCCGGCCTTTATTTCAAGGAATCATGCAATTTTTAAAGGTATTCAAGGACCTCCTGTATAAAAATCTTTGTTTTTTTAAGAATAATATGTAAGGTAACCTGGCCGAAAATTGTAGAATATTTCATGGATTTCCTTCCCTAAGAGCTTCCCTGCAAAAGAGTATGGATTTTTTAAACTAATTCCAATGACATCATGCCCAACATTATGCACGTTAAAAAAATTAAGGACATGCTGGCAAAAATCGTGAGTCTGATTTTATTAGAGAGCTTCCTGTCGAAAAAGTTATGGATATTGCATTAAAAATATTTGTCAAGGACAAGGACGACTTTTAATAGACTTTCTGGGCAAGAATCTTGGACTCTTCAGAGGACTCGAGACCGAAATTGATGACTTTAGTAACAACCAAAAACTTCTAAGGTTTTCAAGGACCAATCTTTCTGGTCCGAAGGTCGTGGGATTTTTAAGAAATAATGTCAGGGACCTCATCACTTGAGAAGTTCCTTTCCAAGGACCTCCTGAGAAAAATTTTTGCAAAAAGTTTCTAAAGCACAATTTTGAGTTTTTTTTTTTTTTTTTTGAGAATATTTTAAGGAAGGATCTCCTCAGCAAAACTATCCTTTTTTTAAGAATTTATTTAAACAATATACGAACCTGAGTTTTTATACCCTACAACACTATGTGTTGGGGGTATTATAAGTTTGATTGGGCCAAAAATTATGTAACACCACGAAATATTGGTTTCCCATATAGGAAAGTATATATGGATCATCCTAGCTCGCCGAGCTGAGTCGATCTAGCTATGTATGTCCGTCCGTCTGTCCGTCTGTCCGTCTATCCATGTTAATTTGTAATCACTCTACAGGTCGCAATTATGGCCTGATCTTCACGAAATTTGGAATGGAGGTCGGGGTTGGGCCAGAATAGAACCCTATTTCTTTTTGAGATGATCGCCAAATGTTTAGGGGTTGAAATGGACCAAATACTGAAAAAATGTCGGATTTTGCAGTAGCTATACAGGTCGCAATTATAGACCAATCGATGCGGAATTTCGCATGTAGCTAGAGTTCAGGGAGGGGAAGAAGCCTACCAATCTGGGTGGTCATCGGATAATATTTAGCGGGTAAAATAGACCATATATTTTGTGTTGAAAAAATTCCAAATTTTTCATTAAACCGCGAATATTTTAAATCCCGGCGAAATCACAAAGCCATGACAAGGTTACTTCTGACCTTTACATTGATGTTAACATCCAACAAATCGGATATATAGCAAAATATGTGCGATATATACGTTTATCAAAGAAGATATGCTTGAACAATCTCTTATATGTCGAGAACGGCTGAACTGATTTCGACAGTTCTCATTAATTCAGAATGGCCTCTTGGCAGGAAAGAAAGAACGTCTAAAAAAATCGCATAAAAATATCTCTCTAAAGATGAAAATATTGATTTTGTAATATTTTCTCATATTTTTTCAATTTTGTCATATTTTTGGCATATTTTCATTTTGAATTAAACATTTGGTAATATTTCTACAGCTAACGAAACTAAGTAGTTATGACATCAGAATATCATATACAGATCGCATTTATGGCCCGATCCTTACGAAATTTTGCATGGGGATAAGATGAGGATCAGAATAGAAGCCTACTCTGTTTGGAGATGATCGCCATATATTTAGGGGTTGAAATGGACCAAAAAACTGCAAAATTGTCGGCAGGTCGTAATTATCGCCCAATCCTCACACACATTTGAATGGGGGTTACCGCACATTGCAAAAGCCAAGCAGTTTCGGATGGCCATCCAAAAATATTCAATGTGTGAAGTAGTTTGCCAACTTTTGTAGACAAAATACAAAAATGTCCATTCCAGTGACTTTTTGGAGAATTCACAAATACAGGAAAGACGTACTTCTCACTATTTCCTTGAAGAATATAGTCAAATGTCTGTATCTCATATAGATGCGTTTCAGTTAAAAACCAATAATAAATGTTAATCTTTTGCCACTTCTGAGAGATTATGGGTCTTTGGGAAATATTGGTTCCAGATCTAGGAATACCATTTAAGTGCAACATCTACAAATAAATTGGAAATGAGCAAATTAGTTTAAGCTGCTATTATTCGAAAATTAGAGAACGAAACCTGATGGTTTTCTTTTATAATTTGTCACAATATCTTGTGGAATTCTTTCGAGTATCTCGCCTATATAAACTGTATCGTTTATTATAGTGTTGTAGGGTATTCAACGGTCGGCCCCGCTCGACTGTAGCCTTTGCTTACTTGTTTTTTAATAAATACAAACATTTTTGATTTTTGAGGAATGCTTTTAATATTTCTCTTGACAAAAATCGTGTATATTTTTCACGACTCCCTTTTCAATTCATTTTTTAAAGATATTCTGGTAAATTCATATTTTAAGGACTGCCTGCTAAATATTTTTATGACTTCCTGGCCAAAAAGTAGTTGAACAACAAATTGTGTAGACATTTTTAAGGACCTCATAGCAAAGGAATCTTTGTAAATTGTACAAATTTTACCTTAACTTTACCTTGAAAATAAATCAAGGTGTTGGAAAAGCCGCTAAAAACGCTAGACCTCTTGGATCAATTCTGTAACAAATGGTGAACACAGATTTAAAAGATTTCGAAGCCAACCGATTAAGCCATAATTTTATTTTTCGAAACCATTTTTAAAAGTTATTTTAATTTAAAAAATATATTCTAAATTATTCGAAATTATCTTCTATATTCTCCGAAAAGGAGAGAAATTACTTCCCAATTATTTTTGAAGAAAACTTATCTAATATCTTCCCCTTACACCACACCTTTCCGTTCCATAGGTAACATCGGTTCCATGATCTCCAACATGAATGTGGCCCGTGTAGAGTTTCAAAATCGCATGGATGGCGTTAAACAATACATGGCCTTTCGTAAGGTGGGCCATGAACTGGAGGCCCGCGTCATTCGATGGTTTGCCTACACCTGGTCGCAGAGTGGCGCCCTGGATGAGGAACGGGTTCTGGCTGCACTGCCCGACAAACTAAAGGCGGAAATCGCCATTCAAGTGCACATGGATACGCTGAGACAAGTGCGTATCTTCCATGACACCGAGCCGGGCTTGCTGGAGGCATTGGTGTTGAAACTCAAGCTGCAAGTCTTTAGTCCTGGTGATTACATCTGTCGCAAGGGGGATGTCGGCAAAGAAATGTACATAGTCAAGCGTGGCAAATTGTCGGTGGTGGCCGATGATGGGGTAACGGTGTTTGCCACCCTCGGTGCTGGTTCGGTATTCGGTGAGGTGTCTGTCCTGGAGATTGCTGGCAATCGTACGGGTAATAGACGCACAGCCAATGTTCGTTCCTTGGGCTATTCGGATTTATTCTGTTTGGCCAAACGTGATTTGTGGGAGACGCTGGCCGATTATCCGGAAGCAAGGGCCACCCTAACGGAGAGAGGATGCCAGTTGTTGCGCAAAGATGGTTTGCTGGATGAACAAGTGTTTGCGGGTAAGTTGTCTGCCGGTGGTTGGTGGTGTTGGCAGTTTATTTTTCAATGCCATGTTAAAATTAATGCGATTTGTCGGTGGTTTTCCTTGTTTTTGTGTTACAGATTCCCAGCGTGTCCATGACACCATCGAGAGTGGCATTGAAAAACTGGAACTTTCTGTGGAAAATCTCAATATGCGTCTGGCACGTCTGCTGGCCGAGTATACGGCCAGCCAGGCCAAGATGAAACAGCGTTTGGCCAAACTGGAACTGAAGTAAGTTATAATTTAGGGAGTTTTCAAATTTGAAAAAAAAAGTTTACTCCGAAATAATTTTTTGTAGAAATATTGTGTCCAAAATTATTTTCTATAGAAAAAATCGACTCCAAAATTATTTTCTACAGAAAAAAATCGTCACCAAAATTATTTTCTACAGAAAACAATCGTCTCCAAAATTATTTTCTACAGAAACAAATTGACTTCGAAATTATTTTCTATAGAAAAAAATGACTTCGAAATTATTTTCTATAGAAAAAGATGACTTCGAAATTATTTTCTATAGAAAAAATTGACTTCGAAATTATTTTCTATAGAATAAAATGACTTCGAAATTATTTTCTATAGAAAAAATGACTTCGAAATTATTTTCTATAGAAAAAATCGACTTCGAAATTATTTTCTATAGAAAAAATCGACATCGAAATTATTTTCTATAGAAAAAATCGACTTCGAAATTATTTTCTTTAGAAAAAATTGACTTCGAAATTATTTACTTCGAAATTATTTTCTATAGAAAAAATCGACTTCGAAATTATTTTCTATAGAAAAAATCGACTTCGAAATTATTTTCTGTAGAAAAAATCGACTTCGAAATTATTTTCTATAGAAAAAATCGACTTCGAAATTATTTTCTACAGAAAAAATCGACTTCGAAATTATTTTCTATAGAAAAAATCGATTTCGAAATTATTTTCCATAGAAAAAATCGATTTCGAAATTATTTTCCATAGAAAAAATCGATTTCGAAATTATTTTCTATAGAAAAAATCGACTTCGAAATTATTTTCTATAGAAAAAATCGACTTCGAAATTATTTTCTATAGAAAAAATCGATTTCGAAATTATTTTCTACAGAAACAAATTGACTTCGAAATTATTTTCTATAGAAAAAAATGACTTCGAAATTATTTTCTATAGAAAAAGATGACTTCGAAATTATTTTCTATAGAAAAAAATGACTTCGAAATTATTTTCTATAGAAAAAAATGACTTCGAAATTATTTTCTATAGAAAAAAATGACTTCGAAATTATTTTCTATAGAAAAAATCGACTTCGAAATTATTTTCTATAGAAAAAATCGACTTCGAAATTATTTTCTATAGAAAAAATCGACTTCGAAATTATTTTCTATAGAAAAAATCGACTTCGAAATTATTTTCTATAGAAAAAATCGACTTCGAAATTATTTTCTATAGAAAAAATCGACTTCGAAATTATTTTCTATAGAAAAAATCGACTTCGAAATTATTTTCTTTAGAAAAAATCGACTTCGAAATTATTTTCTACAGAAAAAATCGATTTCGAAATTATTTTCTATAGAAAAAATCGATTTCGAAATTATTTTCTATAGAAAAAATCGATTTCGAAATTATTTTCTATAGAAAAAATCGACTTCGAAATTATTTTCTATAGAAAAACTCGACTTCGAAATTATTTTCTATAGAAAAAATTTACATCAAAATTATTTTCCATAGAAAAAATTTTACTCCGAAATTGTTTTCTTTAGAAAAAAATTTACAACGAAATTGTTTTCTTTAGAAAAAATTTTACACCGAAATTGTTTTTTTTTTACTCCGAATATTACTCCGAAATAGTTTTTTTTTAGAAAAAATTTTACTCCGAAATTCTTTTCTTTAGAAAAAATTTTACTCTGAAATTGTTTTCTTTAGAAAAAAATTTTCTCCGAAATTGTTTTCTTTAGAAAAATTTTTACTTCGAAATTGTTTTCTTTAGAAACAATTTACTCCCAAATTAGTTATTTATTTATTTATTTTTTTTTTTTTTTTTTTTGAAAAAATGTACTCCGAAATTATTTTTTTTTTTAAAAAAAATTTACTCCGAAATTATTATCTTTAAAAAAATTTACTCCAAAATGATTTTTTATAAAAAAAATCGCTCCGAATTAATTTTTTATAGAAAAAATCGACTCCGAATTTATTTTTTATAGAAAAAATCGACTCCGAAATTATTTTCTATAGAAAAAATCGGCTCCGAAATTATTTTCTCTGGAAAAAATCGACTCCGAAATTATTTTCTATAGAAATAATTGATTCCGAGATTAATTTCTATAGAAAAATTTGACTCCGAAATTATTTTCTATCGAAAAAATTGACTCCGAAATTAAAATTAGGAAAAAATCACTCGGAAATTATTTTCTATAGAAAAAATCGACTCCGAAATTATTTTCTATGGAAAAATTACTCCGAAATTATTTTCTATAGAAAAAAACGGCTCCGAAATTATTTTCTATAGAAAAAAACGGCTCCGAAATTATTTTCGTTGGAAAACATAAACTCCGAAATTACTTTCTATAGAAAAAATTGACTCCAAAATTATTTTCTGTCGAAAAAATTGACTCCAAAATTATTTTCTTGAGAAAAACATTTACTCTGAAAAAATCGACCGTTATTGCATAGCTCCTTAAAATTGTTGTTGCTTGTATTTCTTTTATTTTTCTTCAAATTTAATTGCATCCATCCACTAATTGACTTCTCTATTTCATTCGCTGTTTCTTTTTTCTTACCATTTTTTTCAGTTACCAATTAACACAAAACAGTGCACTCACGGAACAGCATGCCCGACCACCACGCAGTGGCCGTTTGTATTCACTGCAACCCAAAAAACGTCCAAGGCCAAGACCAATAACCGCTTCCAAGTCCATCGAAAATAATAAACAGAACACATTGTAAAATTGATTTTGGCCGGAAAATGCTGGCAGCGATTTTCCACAGTTGGTGACGATGGTTTCAAAGAAATCTAAAGTTTTATATTTTCCCCTTTGTCGCAGAATGTCAAACATTGTGTGGTCGTGCGGAGGAATACCTAAACATTTTCGTTTTTTTTCAGTTGAAATGGAGCAAAAAAATGTGAATGCCAAGGAAACAATTAAATGTTGGTTCAATTTTTTTAAGAGGAATTGAAAATCAGATTTAAATCCTATTAAGAATTGTTTTGAATTTTATTTAAAAACATTGCAAATGTATTTTCTTCTCCTCATCATACCTAGAAATTTGCCAATAAAATACCATTATTTTTATTTTTCTTTTCTCCCAAATAAATGTGAATGTTAACATTAAATTTTAAAATTAAGACTTAAGAAAAACAAAAAAAGTATATATTTTTAAAATAAACATAAAAACTAATTTTCCACTATAATTTAGAAAATATGAAATTTAAGTGAAAAAAAAAATATAAGAAACGTATGTTAAACAAAAAAGATAATGTGCCTCAAAGTAATTTTTAAAAAATTATGTATTAGAAAAATTATGTTTAAAAAAAGAACACTATAGAGATTTAGCTATATTTTAATAAAGAAAACAAATAATTTTAATTTTTTTTTTTTCTTAGGCTATATAGAAATTATCATCTTAACAAAAGTACATCTAAAAAAAGGTAGGCTCTAAAATTTATCTCAACTAAGCTAATGGAAGACAAACAAAAATATGACGAAGTATAATTTTATAAAATATATTTTGTGAGTAAAATATATCTAATAAATGATTAAAAAAGTATGTGTTTGGCATAAACCAATTATATGTATTTATGTATACACAAATAAATTAGAATAATTAATAAAATCTAATAAAAAAAAACAATTTCCCCACTACTTAAGAAACTGTTACAAGGAGTCGAATGTACCTCATGAAATGAATAATACAAAGTGAAAAAAATGTTTCCTAATTGAAAGGTCAAAAATAGATTGAAATTTAATCAGGGAGTTTTAGTTTAAGAGAGACGGAGAGAGAAAGATAGGAAGGGAGAGGGAAGCTATAAAAATTGTTGTTTCATTAAAATATTTTTGTATTGAACATAACTAACCAACAACATATTTTATTTTCAAACTTACATCAAAAGAACTTACAATTACACCGTGCAACAAAAAAATTATTAGAAAAAGAATCAGTAGATTATGGAATAAGAGCTAAAAAAAGACACTTGTTTCGGCATTTTAAATATAGTCGGATTTTTTTTTTACATTGAAATTACGCCAAAATAAGGGAAGCGGACAATTTACATACTCTTCGAGACTTTCTGCATTTTTCGTATTTATACTCCTTGGAATCGTTCATTTTAAGTTTTTAGGGTCGACCAATAATCGTATTTTTTTTTTTCAAGGAATTTTTGAACAAAAATCTTAAATTTTTTTTGAGATTTTCTTAAGGCTTGGCTAAAAATAATGTTTTTTTTTAATTATTGTTTTAAGGACTTCCTGAACAAAAATCAGGTTTTTTTTTAAGAAAAAATTTCAAGGACCTCCGGACCAATGTTCGTAAATTTTAAGATTTTTGTCAAGGACTTCTTTGATGCATTTCTTGCTACCCAAAAATCATTGTTTCAAGAAATTTCTGACTAAAAATCTAGGATTTTTTAGAAAAATGCTCAAGGTTATTTTGACGAAAATCTAATTTTTGAAGACATTTTCGAAGGACATTTTCTAAATTTTTCTAAATTATATTATTAGGTACTTCCTGACCTGAAAACATTGACTAAAAATCATGGACTTTTTTAAAAAAATTTAAAGGTTATTTTGACAAAAATCTATTTAAAAAAAAATTATTTGTTTCAAGGGCATCGCGAACAATAATCCTCAATTTTTTTAATTTTTTTTCCAAGAACCTCCTGGTCAAAAATCTTAGATTCTTTAAGATTTTTTCAACAAAAATCCTAATAAAAAATGTCAATGAATTCCTGAGCTATACTTGTAGACTTTTAAAGTTTTTTTTTCAAGGACTTTCTTGGTGCATATCTCAGATTTTTAAAGAAATATTTTAAAGGAATCTCAATACCCTTAAATCGTGGGTTTTTTTTTTTTTTTTTTTTTTTTTTTTGAAAAGGACTTCCTTGTTGGAAGGCATCGTTTCAAGGACCACCTGGCCAAAAATCTTTGTAGGCCATTAAACCAAGAAAGTATGGATTTTTGAAGAATTTTTCCACGGACTTCCTAACCAAAAATACATTTTGCGAGAATTCTTCAAAGTACATCCTGACCAGAAATCATTGTTTCATGACCAGAAATAATTATTTCTAGGACCTAAGATTTCTAAAAATATTAGATTTTTTGCGAAATATTTCTTAAGAATCGCTTGAATAAACTTCGTGAAATTTTTAATAGATTTTTCTCTTCCTGAATAATACTTGCGATTTTTTAAGAATTTTTACCAAGGAACTTCAGTACGACCGTCGTCGATTTTTTTAAGATTTTTTCCATGGACTTCCTGACGAAAAATCACTATGTTTTAAGAAATTTTGCAAGGATCTCCTGATCATTTCGGTAATATTAACGACAGTGAAATGAATATCAACAAAACGAGTATAACGCGACAGGTCGGTCTGTGGTCAGCTATGTGGCTCCAGTGTGGTCCGCAAATACTAGTGCTAAGCAGTGGAAGCACATCCAGACCTGCCAAAACGCTGCCCTGAGAACTGCGACAGGGTGCCTTCTCATGACACCAGTGCACCATCTACATGAGGAGGCGAAAGTCTTTCCCTTACGTCAGCATAATCATGTGCTTTCGTTCCAGTACCTACTTGGGTGTTACAGTGAGAGTCATCCCAACCATAATATGGTGGATACAACTCCCCCACCCAGGCGTGTCAGGAAGGACATACACGATCTATAAGCGAGTACCTCTAGATCAAGAAGCCTGAGAGGCATTCCAACCGATGGGGTGGGGAGGTACCAGAAGGAGTGAACTGATATTTCCCATCTCCGAATTCGATCTAAGTTTGATAATTATATTTTGATGTACAAAGTTTGGACCAAATCGAGTACTCCCTTCGAGAGCCAGACAGAGAAATGGACAGACAAACGGACATCGCTAAAACGACTCCAAATGTTCTGAAACGGATTTGGTTCAAAGAAACCCAGTGTCTAAAAAAGTTATTTCGATGAGGCACGTTCGTCCGTCAGTCTGTCTGTCTGACTGGCTGGCTAGTGCACACGATAACTCTCGAAGCGAGTATCCGATTTGGTCCAAACTTGTTACATCGCAATATTATTGTCAAACTTAGGTCGAGTTCGGAGATGGCCAATATCGGTCAACTCCTTCTGGTACTTACCCCACAAAAGGTCGGAATTGTTAAAGAAAATATTTTACTGCACAGAGAGAAAAAGGACAATCCGATTTTGCTCCAACTTTGCAAATCCTAATATTTGCATCAGTGTTAGGTCAAGTGCGAAAATGGACAATATCGGTCAACTCCCTAAAGTACCTTCCCCCAAAAATTGTCAATATTTGGAATAATCATAACTCTTGTAAAAGGTGATTTGAGAGTCCGATTGTCTTCAAATTGCACACATCGCAATATTTTTAGTAACCCAAGATCTGGTGTGAAGATGGAATATATCGGTTCACTCCTTCTGGTACCTCCTCCACAAAGGGCCAATATTTTGAATATTCATGAAGCTAATAAAACGCGAAATTAACATCCGATTCCATTCTGATTTGGCATATCTCAACATCTCCATGAACACAAGATCTGTTATAAAGATGTTAGAGATCGAACCATTTCTTCGGGTTACACCCAATATACCACCACAATATAGGTTTCAATATCTTGAAAAACAAAACATCTCATATTTTTAAAATTTTTACAGAATTTTTATCGAATCTAATTTTTATAATTTTTTTTTTTAAATTTTTATATTTTTACCAAATGGTGGAGCCAGGCCGGACATACGGCTTTTTCACCTGATTTTTTTTCAAATCGACTGCTTTGTGGCACGGTCTTCGACTTTGTGACTCGTAGCGCCGACCTTGCGAAAACAAATGTTGCCCATATCTTCCTTTTCATTTTAAAAAAAAGAAAATTGCTCTGCAGGGTCGGATAAAGTAACGGAAAATGCTTGCTCATTTTCGAAGAAAAATAGCCCAATTATGCCTTTTAACGAAAATCTACACCAAATAGTGACTCGCTTTGGTTTGTAAGGGTTTTATGTTTTGGTGCCTTTATAACATTCATGGAATCACTTTCTAAGTCGATTTATGCATGTCCGCCCGTCCGTCCGTCTCTCCAAGTATTTTTGTGAACAAAATGCAGGTCCAATTTATCATCATTGAGAAGAAATTTTCTAAACAACATTTGTTTGGCCCAAGGATGAACCTTATTGAAATTGGAGATAATCGGTAAAAATTTAGATATAGCTCCCATATATATCTTCGTCCGATTTGCCTTTTATGGTGCACCAAACGTGTAATATCAGCCCGAATAGTATGAAATTTTGCACATACAACCAAATTAGGCCTGAAAATAAAAATGCCAAATTTGATCGAAATCGGTTCAGAAATAGCTATAGCTCCCATATATATTGTCCATCCGATTTGTTATTTTTGTCCTCCGCAGCCGTAATATGTATTATGTAACAACAATATTTGGGGAAATATATCAAATGCAGCTCATAAATACCTTTGTTAAATTTTATCGAGATCGGTTCAGATTTGGATATAGCTCCCATATATAACTTCGTCCGATTTACCCTTTTTTGTGCACCAAACGTCTAATATTTGTCCAAATGGGATGGAATTTGGCACTTACGACCGAATTGAGTCTAGAAGCTAGTATGTCAAATTTGGTGAAGATCGGTTCAGATATAGCTATAGCTCCCATATATAATGTTCATCCGATTTGTTGTATTTGCTACCCACAGCCGTATTATGCACTCCGTAACAACGATTTTCAGGGAAATTTATCGAATACAGCTCAGAAATATCTTTGCCAAATTTTATCGAGATCGGTTCCGATTTGGATATAGCTCCCATATATATCTTTATCCAATTTCAAATAATTTGTGCACCAAATGGGCAATACAAGTCCGAATTAAAAAGATACAAATGCTTCGGCATATTGAGTTTTTTGAACTTTAAATTATAATTATAAACGTAGCGTGTATGATTGAACTCTTCCATGAAAACTTTTAATTGTTATGTGGAGCTCTACTTAATTAGCAAAGTGGTGTAGGGTATCATAAAGTCGGCCCCGCCCGACTTTAAGACTTTCTTTACTGGTTTTTTAATATAATTCTTACCGAAATCATATAATTCACATAAATTCCCAATATAAACTAAGATTTCAACCCAGTATCCATTTCTCAAACTAGTTCTCAGATTCCATAGATTTCGCACAGTTTAAGTCATTTCTCCTGATTTCACCTGATATGTTCAGTACAAAAATATATATGTCAGACATATATAATTAGCTATTAAAGAAACACAAAAAAAGGGGAGCATATCGTGCAAAAACTACAAAAACACTACTAATCTAAAAAGAAATAAAATATTTTGTAAATATTTAATGTAAAAAACAGAAGGCAAATAATATAAAAATATTTAAATAAGTGAACAGCAAACAAAATTTATATGTATAAAGCAAATATTGATTTATATATTTTTTCTATTTAAAATAAAATGCAAATATATTTCTAAAATTCTGAAAATTGACAGAAAACATGCAAATATTCTAACAAACAATAACACACACACACACATACATACATACACCCCCTAAACAGTGAAGGATGGATAGGCCTTCAAATCGTTTGCTTTTTAATTTTATTTTTTCTTTCTATTTTTCATTAGAATTCATTAAACTTTTAGTTAAACTGAAATGATGATAAAATGATGACAACCGTAACAACAACAACTACAACAAAACAAAGAAATTATAAACTGTTAACAAAAACAACAACAACAACAAAACAATTGTGTTTTTTATAGGCTAATCATTTAACGATAACAAACTATTGAAACTAAATTAAGTCTAAGTGAATTATAAAAGAAAAAGAATTATGTTAAGTAAAATAAATTTAAAGAAGAAATATTTTGAAATAAATTCATTTTTAAATACAACAACAATAATAACAATAAAAGGAAAGAACATATATTTAATTATAAATTGTCTGATGTTTACAAGGATTTCGTTTGGGGGTCCATGGTAGGTATGAGTAATAAATTGTGTTGATGTTCATCATACGCCACCCCCATCCATTGCTAAACGACACAATTTTCAATTGACCTGGGATAATAAAATATAGGACGTTTTTTAAGCTAGACAGAACTTGAAATTGTAAAAAATAACACAAAAAATTAAATTTTGATGAAACTTTTTTTATTTGTTTCAGTATACTCTGACAAATCATCATGAATAGACTCACGCTTGAACAATGCTACGAAATTATCCAAATTTACTTTAAAAACCAGTAAAGAAAGTTCTAAAGTCGGGCGGGGCCGACTTTATGATACCCTATACCACTTTGCTAATTTAATACAGCTCCACATAACAATTAAAAGTTTTTTTGGGAGAATTCAATCACACAAGCCATGATTATAATTATAATTTAAAGTTCAAAGGACTAAATATGCCGAAACATTTGTATCTTTTAAATTCGGACTTATGTTGCCCATTTGGTGCACAATTAATTTGAAATCGGATAAAGGTATATGTGGGATCTATATCCAAATCTGAATCGATCTCGATAAAATTTGGCAAAGATATTTCTGAGCTGTATTTGATATATTTCCCTGAATATTGCTGTTACGGAGTGCGTATTATGGCTGTGGGTAACAAATACAACAAATCGGATGAACAGTATATATGAGAGCTATAGCTATATCTGAACCGATCTTCACCAAATTTGGCATACTAGCTTCTAGACTCAATTCGGTCGCATGTGCCAAATTCCATCCCATTTGGACAAATATTAGACGTTTGGTGTACAATAAAAGGTAAATCGGACGAAGTTGTATATGGGAGCTATATCCAAATCTGAACCGATCTCGATAAAATTTTGCAAAGGTATTTCTGAGCTGCATTTGATATATTTCCCCAAATATTGTTGTTACAGAGTGCATTTTACGGCTGCGGAGGACTAAAAGAACAAATCGGATGAACAATATATATGGGAGCTATAGCTATATCTGAACCGATTTCGATCAAATTTGGCATAATTATTTTCAGGCTTAATTTGGTTGTATATGCAAAATTCCATATTATTCGGGCTGATATTACACGTTTGGTGCACAATAAAAGGCAAATCGGACGAAGTTATATATGGGAGCTATATCTAAATTTTTACCGATTATCTCCAATTTCAACAGGGTTCGTCTTTGGGCCTAACAAATGATTTGTTACGGAGTGCGTATTTTGGCTGTGGGTAACAAATACAACAAATCGGATGAACAATATATATGGGAGCTATAGCTATATCTGAACCGATCTTCACCAAATTTGGCATACTAGCTTCTAGACTCAATTCGGTCGCATGTGCCAAATTCCATCCCATTTGGAGAAATATTAGACGTTTGGTGCACAATCAAAGGTAAATCGGACGAAGTTATATATGGAAGCAATATCCAAATCTCAACCGATCTCGATAAGATTTAGCAAAGGTATTTCTGAGCTGCATTTGATAAATTTCCCCAAATATTGTTGTTACGGAGTGCATATTACGGCTGCGGAGGACAAAAATAACAAATCGGATGAACAATATATATGGGAGCTATAGCTATATCTGAACCGATTTCGATCAAATTTGGCATAATTATTTTCAGGTCTAATTTGGTTGTATGTGCAAAATTTCATACTATTCAGGCTGATATTACACGTTTGGTGCACAATAAAAGGCAAATCGGACGAAGATATATATGGGAACTATATCTAAATTTTTATCGATTATCTCCAATTTCAATAGGGTTCGTCCTTGGGCCAAACAAATGATTTGTGCAAAATTTCATCTTAATCGGATAATAAATGCGACCTATATTTTATTCACAAAAATACATGGACAGACGGACGGACGGACGGACGGACTGACATGCATAAATCAACTCAGAAAGTGATTCTATGGAGATCCTCAAAAGTAACTATCTGGGTCTATCTCGCTTCCTTCTCCATGTTACAAACAAATGCTCAAAGACATAATACCCTGACTACCTTGTGGTATAGGGTATAAAAATGAAAATTTGAACCACCAATTGAAAATTATTTTTATAAGCGAAATTTTCCAAAAAAAAATAAGGATATCAAATCAGGTCTTCCAAATAAAAAAAATAAAATATTTCCCTTTCCAAAAATCAAGCTCAACAAATATTTTTTAAAATATTTTTTTTATTTTTTATTGTTTCTCAATTACACCTATGGTAATGTTTCGCAATTGATTTAAACTTAATATTTTCTGGTAAACACGGCTCTCCTCTTCCTCTTGCATTAAAATACCTAAAAAAAAATACAGAAAATATAGAAATTATTAGAAAATATTTTTGGCAGTGAGAAAAATATATATTTTGATTTCTGGGTGACAACCAGGAACTGAATTTATTTTTTTTATTTTTTTAATTTATTTGAATAATAATTTTATTATTATTATTATTATTTTTTTTTTTTTTTTTTTTGAAAAAAAAAAACTTCACTGGGGAACTGAGTTGTAAATTTTTCTATAGAAAAAAGTTAAAAAGTATCGGTCGGTTTTGTCAACAGATATACAGGGTGAGATAAACAAAAAAAAAACTACAACGAAGTCAAACGCCATAATTTTTACTTCTTTTTGAAAATTATTGAATGAGAGCAAAAAATGTCGGAAATAGCATCAAATTTTAGAATAAGTTTAGATTTGTTCGAAATGGTCACCTTTGGCACGCATTATGGCCTTTAAACGGCCAATGAAACCGTCACACGCTGCCCGAATGTTGCTCTGCGGTATTTTGGCTCATTCCCGGCGAAGCGCTTGCTTGAGGTGATCGACACTTTGGTATTTTTTAGTGCCAACCTTGCTTTTCAAAATATTCCAGACACAATAGTCCAGCGGATTGGCATCCGGAGATTTTGGTGGCCCTTGTGTGCGGGAAATGAAGCGAGGAACCTCATTTTATAATCATTCTTGGGTAGCGCGTGCTGAGTGCGATGGTGCTGAGCCCTATTGGAATGTCTAAGGTCTGCGGCCAAAATGTTTGCGTGCCCAAGGCTTTAATACACCCTCCAGAATATTTTCGCGATAATATTAGGCATTTATTCTGAGGCCATGATCGATTAATACGAGCGGCCCACACGATCACCATGGTCGGCTTGAGGCTTGAGTTCTGGTGATCAACCGAAGGTGCAAATTTTCAGCTAATCTCTTTGGAAAGTAAACAAGTGTTCGTTTACAAACTGCTGGACAACGAGTGTTTTCTCATCGGAGAAAACCAAACTCGACAGTTAACCACTTTCGGCCAAGCGAAGCTACTCTTTAGCTCTTTTGAGTCTGAGTCTATTTTCTTTCTGTTGCGGTGTAAGTTCTTGCACTTTTTGGAAATACAATGGCTCTACCCCGAGCTCATTTTTCAATATTTGCCGAATGGAATATTGCGATATGTGCAGCTCACGAGCCATTTTTTCGGCCACTGCGACGCGGTTTTCGATCAAGTGGCTTCTTTACATTTCGCACCATTTCTGCTGATGTTGCTATTTTCTTCCTTGACGTCGGGCTACGTATCACTGCTACGGTTCGAGCGATGGTACGAAAAACAAAAGATTTGTTCACATTTAAATGCTTGAGTGCTCTAACGATAGCCACGTGTGGTTTTCCAGCCAAATATAAAGAAATCACACTATCACGCTTGAAGTCCATCACGAATAATTTTTTTTTTTTTGGAAAATTCCCACCAATATGCTTTTGTACGCTTGTAAAGAATATAATGAGCTTTAACTGAAATAATTTTTACAGCTATCGAGTAGAATTAGCTACCTAGAGTAGAATTAGGATAGGAAGCTAAAATTTTGCACATTTCAGTCTTTTGTCTATCGGTTCATGATGTCGTATAGCTTTCATGCAACGGTACCCCCCGATATTCTATATTTTGATAGCGATATTTTTTTCCATAATTGTTTCAAATTTCCTATTTAAAGTTCGTAATGGGTACTGCAACCTATGACAGAAATTTGTCTATGCAGGTTCATGTCTTCGTATAGCCCATATGTAACGTTACCCCCCTTTATTCGGCATTTTGATGATATTAGCGACATTATTCACGGGAATTGTTTAAAATTACGTATTAAGAGTTCGTAATGGGAACTACAGTCTGTGACAGAAAATTGTCTGTGCAGGTCCAGGTCTTCGTATAGGCCCCATACATCAGTACCTCCTCATATTCGGTATTTTGACGAGTTTAGGTACAATACCCACCGAAAGTGCTTGTGATGTCGTATTTGAAAATCGTAATGGATGCTACAACCTGTGACAGTAATCCGATATTACTGTACCTCCCTTTTATTTTTATATATTTTGATGATTTTAGCTACATTATTCACCGTTTATTTCAAGTTTCGAATTTGAATATGGTAATGGCTTATGACAAACAATGCCTATGTAGGTCCGCGTCGTATAGACCCCAATATATTCGATATTTTTAAAATTTTAACAGAATTTTTTAAGGATTTTATTTTTTGAAAATTTCCAAATTCGTTCCAAATGGTGGAGGGTATTCACAGTTCGCTTCTAACTTATTTTATTTTTTTATTTTATTTTTTTTTTTATTTTTTGTATTTATTTTCTTTTTTTTTTTTTGCAAAAAAAAAACATTTGTATTTTTTTCTTTGGAAAAATATTTCAGAGTCCGTCAGTCTGTTTTTATAATTTTTAATTTAAAAAAAAAAATAATTACCTGCAAAACTTGCTGAAACAAAGCAGACAATACTGCCCACCACGAAAGCTCGAAAGGCCACTGAAGTTATGACACCGCGACTTTTGGGAGCCATTGTAGCCAAGATGCCTATCATCATGCCCATGGAACTGGGATTAGCAAAGCCACAAATGGCAAAGGTTGCAATACCCGCGCTTCGGGCCTGGAATTCAAAATCGACAAAATCAATCCAATTTTCAATACCCTGTACAGTTTGTCCAGAAAGTATTTTCATCACTACTTTTTTCATAAATTTTTGTATTTTTAATTTTTTTTTAATATTAATTTTTTCAGAAAAAAATGAGTTCGAGTTTTCAAATACTTTTTTGACATCCTGCCTTATTCGTGCCATTTTATACTCACACTTATCGCATTATTGTTAATAAGGATCCCCAAACGTTCATAGGCCACAAATTCATTGATGATGGTCTTGGTTGCCACAATTTTGGCCACTTCATCGCAGTCCTGCCAGGGAACACCCATTGCCCAGGCCAGGGGTATAAACAGTTTCGAGAATAGCCATTCAAAATCAACATAGTCCAGGCCCACCAAACCGCCAAACCAGCTGACCACAGCATTGAGAAAGGCAATAAAGGCCACAAAGGCTATTAGGTTTGCAGTGACGCCCAAGACAATTTGTATGGCATTGTTGGCCCCATTCGAGGCGGCATCCAATAAAGAGGAGTCCTGACTAATAAAGGTTTTTTTTAAATACTATATTTTTCAAAAAATGTACGCCTCACTTACGATTTCTCCAATTGTATGTTATTTGCCGAGTTTTTACTCTCCTCCGTTTCGGGCAAATACAATTTGGATATGGCCAATGAGGCAGGAGCCGCCATAACACTCGATGTTATTAAATGAGCCGGAGAGGCACCAAAGCTCAGATACGCCGCCAAAACTGAACCCGATACCGTGGCGAAACCCGATACCATAATTGAATGGATTTCACTGGCCGTCAACAGTTTAATATACGGCCGTATGAGGATAGCACTCTCTGTCATGGACAAGACTATATTCGCCGCAGCAGTTACACTTTCACACACCGTTGTGCCCAGCAGCTGGGCCAATAGCCAACCCAATTTCATGACCACCCATTGCATCACACCCATATAATAAAGAATCGAGATTAGGAAACTAAAGAAAAATATCACCGACAAAATGGCAAAAGCAAAGACCCCCTGACTAATCATATCATCGCCATAGACAAAACGACTTCCCTCATCGGCAAACGAAAGAAAATTGGCCGTCCGATTGCCAATGCATTCGAAAATGCTACGGCCAACACTCCATCGGATACAAATTATGCCCAGCATAAATTGACAGGTAATACCGGTTATGACCAGACGCCATTTGATGGCTGAACGATTTGTGGAGAAGGCATTGCCACAGGCGATGAAGAAACACGGAGCTGCCAGGGATGATAATTTTTGGGGTTCATCTTTGGTTTCGTAATACAGGAATATGGCCAATATTACAAACAAAAATCCGATTAATATGGCCGATGTGGATCTGCAATATATAAAAAATTAAAATATATAAATTAAAAAAAAAATTAAATAAAGTAAAAATTAAAAAAAAATAATGAAAAATTGATTGAAGAAATATTGAATATTTTTTTGTGGAATTCATTTCCTCCTACCTCTTTCTGCTGAAGATCATCCACCATCTGTTTAGGGGCACCAAATATTTTCGATATAGTCTATGACCCAATGTAGGCTTAAACACCTTATAATAAATTAAGCCGAAATAAATGAAGCCAAGAAATAATATCAGAAATCCGTAGCCATCACAAAATCGCATGGAACAATAAAGGGGATCTCTTTCCAAGGCCTCGGAACACTGATGATTATTATCTGCAAACCAGAAAATAGGAAATTATGTAATAAGCTGAATTTAAAAAAATATATATACAGGGTAAGATGAAACAAGTAAGCAAAGGCTACAGTCGAGCGGGGCCGACCGTTGAATACCCTACAACACTATAATAAACTATACAGTTTATGTAGGCGAGATACTCGAAAGAATTCCACTAGATATTGTGACAAATTATAAAAGAAAACCATCAGGTTACGTTCTCTAATTTTCGAATAATAGCAACTTAAACTAATTTGCTCATTTCCAATTTATTGGTAGATGTTGCACGTAAATGGTCTTCCTAGATCTGGAACCAATATTTCCCAAAGACCTATAATCTCTCAGAAGTGACAAAAGATTAACATTTATTATTGGTTTTTGACTGAAACGCATCTATATGAGATACAGCCATTTGACTATTTTCTTCAACGAAATCAGAGTTAACGAAATAGTCAGAAGTGCGTCTTTCCTGTATTTGTGAATTCTCCAAAAAGTCACTGGAATGGACATTTTCGTATTTTGTCTACAAAAGTTGGCAAACTCCTTCACACATTGAATATTTTTGGATGGCCATCCAAAACTGCTTGGCTTTTGCAATGTCCGGTAACCCCCATAATTACGACCTGCTGACAATTTTGCAGTTTTTTGGTCCATTTCAACCCCTAAATATATGGCGATCATCTCCAAAAAGAATAGGCTTTTATTCTGACCCTCATCTTATCTCCATGCAAAATTTCGTAAGGATCAGGCCATAAATGCGATCTGTATATGATATCCTGATATCCTAACTACTTAGTTTTGTTAGCTGTAGAAATATTACCAAATGTTTAATTCAAAATGAAAATATGCCAAAAATATGACAAAATTGAAAAAATATGAGAAAATATTACAAAATCAATATTTTCATCTTTAGAGAGATATTTTTATGCGATTTTTTAGGCGTTTATTCTTTCCTGCCAAGAAGCCATTCTGAATCAATGAAAACTGTCGAAATCAGTTCAGCCGTTTTCGACATAAAGGAGATCTTTCAAGCATATCTTCTTTGATAGACATATATATATCGCACGTATTTTGCTATATATCCGATTTGTAGGATGTTAACATCAATGTAATGATCAGGAGTAACCTTGTCATGGTTTTGTGATTTCGCCGGGATTTAAAATATTCGCGGTTTAATGAAAAATTTTGAATTTTTTCAACAAAAAATATATGGTATATTTTACCCGCTAAATATTATCCGATGACCACCCAAATGGGTAGGCTTCTTGCCAGCCCTAAACTCTAGCTACATGCGAAATTCCGCGTCGATTGGTCTATAATTGCGACCTGTAGAGCAAGTGCAAAATCAGGAATTTTTTCAGTTTTTGGTCCATTTCAACCCCTAATTATTATGCGATCATCACCAAAAGAAATAGGGTTCTATTCTGACCCTAGCCCCACCTCCATTTTAAATTTCGTGAAGAACGGACCATAATTGCGACCTGTAGAGTGATTACAAATTAACATGGACAGACGGACAGACGGACGGACGGACATACATAGCTAGATCGACTCAGCTCGCCGCGATAGGAAGATCCATATATACTTTCCTATATGGGAAATCAATATTTCGTGGTGTTACATAATTTTTGGCCCAATCAAACTTATAATACCCCCAACACATAGTGTTGTAGGGTATAAAAACGGCAACCAACTTCAGACTGCTGTCATTTCTAAGTCACTCGTCCGACAGCTGTAAAAATTATTCCAGTGACAGCTCATTATATTGTTTACAAGCGTACAAAAGCATTTCCGTGAGAATTTTCCAGAAAAAAAATTATTCGTGATGGAATTCAAGCGTGATGGTGTGATTTCTTGATATTTGACTGGAAAACCACAAGTGGCTATCGTTGGGGCACTCCAGCATTTCAATGTGAATAAATCTTTTATGTCTCGTACCATCGCTCGTTACCGTGGCCGTGATACTGGTAGGATAGCCCGACGTGAAGGAAGTGGACGGAAGAAAACAGGAACATCAGCAGAAATAATTCGAAAAGTTAAGAAACGACTTGATCGAAACCCGCGTCGCAGTGGTCGAAAAATGGCTCGTGAGCTGAACATATTGCAATATTCCATTCGGCAAATATTGAAAAATGAGTTCGGAGTGAAGCCATTGAAATTCCAAAAAGTGCAAGAACTTACACCGCAACGGAAAGAAGAAGAAGAGCTAAAAAGTTGCTTCGCTTGGTCGAATTTGGTTTTCTCCGATGAGTAAACATTCGTTGTCCAGCAGTTTGTAAACAAACAAAATGATCGTGTTTACTTGCCAAAGAGGTCACCTGAAAACGTGCACCTTCGGTTGGCCACCAGAACTCAAGCCTCAAGCCGGCCATGGATATGGTATGGACCGCCATAACAGCCGATGGTCGCTCTCCGCTCGTATTAATCGACCGTGGCATCAGAATAAATGCCGAATATTATCGCGAAAATATTCTGGAGGGTGTATTAAAGCCCTGGGCACGCAAACATTTTGGCCGTAGACCTTGGACTTTCCAATAGGAATAAGTACCATCGCACTCAGCACTCGCTACTCAAGAATGGTTACAAAATGAGGTTCCTCGCTTCAATTCCAGCGCACAACGTCCACCAAAATCTCCGGATACCAATCCGTTGGACTATTGTGTCTGGAGTATTTTCGAAATCAAGGTTGGCACTAAAAAATACAAAAGTGTCCATCACCTTACGCAAGCGCTTAGGTGGGAATGGGCCAAAATACCGCAGAGCCGTTTGAAGGCCATAATTCGTGGCAAAGGTGACCAATTCGAACAAATCTAAACTTATTCTAAAATTTAATGCTATTTCCGACCTTTTTTCCTTTCATTCAATGAAATTTAAAAAAAAATGTAAAAATTATGGCGTTTGACTTTGTTGCTGTTTTTTTATCTCACCCTGCAAATGCGACCTACAAGTACATCAACATTTGAAGAAAATCGGTTCAGATATAGCTATAGTTCCCATATCCATATTTTATCCGATTTGGTGTTTTAAGTCCCTCACATGCGTAATATGCACTTCAAAAGGATGATATTTAGTACCAGAAAACTAATGAAGCTCAAAAATACTTGTGTGAAATTTTATAGAGAGTTCGGATCAGATTAGGATATAACTCTCATATATATATCTTTTTTCCGATATCAGGGTTATTGTGCACCAAATGGCTAATATCAGTCCGAATGTACTGAATTTTGGCAAGTCGGACTGAATTCAGTCTAGATGCAACTACATCAAGTTTGGTGAAAATCGGTTCAGATATAGCTATAGCATAGCCATATATATGTTTCATCCGATTTCATGTTAATTTCCCACACATACGTAATATGCATTCCACAACAATGAAATTTGTTATCGGGAATCAGATATTGCTCGAAAATACCTCTGCTAAATTTTATTGAGATCGGTTCAGATTTTTATATAGCTTCGATATACATCTTCATCCGATTCATGCTCACCACATTTGTAATATCAACCTAAATTTAACATACATTTTCATTTTCAACCGAATTTTATTATTCGTTGAAACTCGGTCCGGTATATCTATTGCTTCAATAAATATATGTTAACATAATCCTCATACAGTGATGTTAATAGGTTCATAGTTCGTAAGATCTACTACACATGAATTTCCAATAAAATGGTTTTTGGTTACGGAAGCTCTACTAAATTCGCGTAGTGGAGTATGGTATCATATGGTCGACCCAACCGACTTTTGATGATTCCTTACTGTTATTATACCCTCCACCATAGCATGGAGGGTATATTAAGTTTGTCATTCCGTTTGTAACACCTCGAAATATACATTTTAGACCCCATTATTTATCGATTTATTATATTTTATTTATTTATCGATTTATCAATATCCGTCCTTCTGTCCGTCTATGTGGAAATCACTCTAGTTTCCGAACGAAATGAAGTAGGTTGATAAAATTTTACTCAAATGTGTTAGCTACGTTATTTACCGGAATTGTTTCAAATTTGGTATTTGAAGTTCGTAATGGATACTACATCCTAAGACCCAAAATGAGCCATGTAGGTCCACGACTTCGTATAGCCCCCATATAACGGTACCTCCCGGTGTTGGGTATTTTGATGATTTTAGAGACGGTATTTACCGGAACTATTTCAAATTTAGTATTTAATGTTCGTAATGAATACTACAGCCTATGACAGAAAATTGTCTGTGCAGGTCCACATCTTCGTATAGCCTCCATATAACGGCACCCCCCGATATTCGGTATTCTGATGATTTTAGCGACGTTATTTACCGGAATTGTTGCAAATTTGGTAGATGAAGTTCGTAATAGACACTACAGCACAAAACAGAAAATGGGCCATGTAGGTCCACTTCTTCGTATAGCCCCCTTATGACGGTACCCCCCGATATTCGGTATTCTGATGAATTTAGTGACATTATTTACCGGAATTGTTTCAAATTTGGTGTTTGAAGCTCGTAATGGATACTACATCCTAAGACCCAAAATGAGCCATGTAGGTCCACGTCTTCGTATAGCCCCCATATAACGGTACCTCTCGGTGTTGGGTATTTTGATGATTTTAGAGACGGCATTTACCGGAACTATTTCAAATTTGGTATATGAAGTTCGTAATAGACACTACAGCATAAAACAGAAAATAGGTCCACTCCTTTGTATAGCCCCCATATAACGGCAACCCCCGATATTCGGTATTCTGACGATTTTAGCGACATTATTTGCCGGAATTGTTTCAATATTCGCATTTGAAGTTCGTAATGGTTACTACAGGCTATGACAGAAAATTTTCTGGACAGGTCCATTTATAACCCTCATGCTACCTCCCTATATTCGGAATTTTGATGATTTTATTCACATTATAAACAGATTTTTTTTAAGTTTCGCATTTGAATATTGTAATAGCTTGTGACAAAATTTGCCTATACAGGTCCAAGTCGACGTATAGACCCTAATGTAACAGCTACATTCGGTATTTTTAAGATTTTAACAGGTTTTTTAACGGATTTTATTTTTTTGAAAATTGTTAAATTTTTACAAAATGGTGGAGGGTATTCAATATTCGGCCCGGCCGATTCTACAGATTTTTTACTTGTTTTTTTTTATTTTATTTTATTTATTTTTTTTTTAAAAAAACTTTTCCTTTCGCTCTTTAAAAATCACTCTTATTTTTCAAAATGATCACATATTCATTTGTATGTAGTTCAAAAATTCATTAATGCATACCGTCTTCGGTTGACAGTATACAAATGTCATCAAAAACCGGCTAATACGTTCCTACTTTTTTCCTATGCTTTTTAAAACACACTTTTTTAATTTTTGTTTATAATTCATATAAACAAGTTTTTGGTGCTTCACGAGTTGTTTTTTTTTTTTTTGAAATCACAATCTGACATACTTACATTCACGTATATAATAATGTGTGGCGTAGCCAAAATATGAACCAACTGCAATGTGTATCAGGCATATAAGGGCTATTTTACAATTTCTTCGCAAGAGGCTTTGTTTCTCTTGAGCAGGACAAATATCCATCTGTATATTAGCCTTTTCCACACCGAAGCCACTTTCTAAGATCTAAAATTGAAATAAAAATTTGAGAAAATTTTCCAAACATAACTACCAACAATTTAGAAAAATGTCTTGCAAACAAATGTTCACCTCCTCACCGGCTAATACTTTGTTCATTTCAGCATCTTTTGACTCATCCATAGTCTGTAACTTAGAAAATTTTCAATAAATTTGAACTAATATATACATTACAATTCAAAAACCGCTAGTCATTCGTACTGCTATTTTTACGTATTGTAATTTTTTTTTTAATTTCCTAAGTTTATTTCAGTTAACCCGTTCCACCACCAGTTGTTTCTCCAACAACACTCAATTCAAAACTGGCGTGTTTAGATATTTACAAAACTGTTAGCTGATATTAGCCGCCATAACTTTTATTATCGAGATAATGGCGAGACCCAATGTATGTGAGTAAACAAAATTTTATCTCTTGAGAAATATTGGAGAAGAAAGGAGAAAGGGAATAATTGAGATTTTGTCACAAGAACGCAATCAGTATCAGTCTCAGATATGAGATAACACCAAATTGTATGGTAATGATCATAAAACGCTTCCCGGCGCAAGTGGGAGAGAATTTTAAAAAGTAATAATGGATTTATTAAAACTATGTACACACTTATATTTTATGGCCTATGTATATATTTATTGTTCTCAACTCAAAAACGTGATCAAGCACATGCGATTTTATTCAGACTGATAAATTATATATAGGGGATAATTAGAGCAAAAATATTGGCTTTTTAGGGATTGAATTTTCAGGAATGGATTGAACTTAGTTGGATTGTTTCAGATTAAATTTTTAGGGTTTGCAGTCATCGATTTTTGAAAAATAATTTTTGAACCATCCATAAAATATTAAAAAACCAGTAAAGAAAGTCCTAAAGTCGGGCGGGGCCGATTTTATGATACCCTACACCACTTTGCTAATTTAGTTGAACTTCACTTAATAATTAAAAGTTTTTATGGTAGAATTCAACCATACACGCTATGATTATAATTATAATTTAAAATTCAAAGGACTAAATATGCCGAAGCATTTGTATCTTTTAAATTCGGACTTGTATTGCTCATTTGGTGCGAAATTAATTTGAAATCGGATAAAAATATATATGGGAACTATATCCAAATCTGAACCGATCTCGATAAAATTTGGCAAAGATATTTCATATATTTCCCTGAATATCGTTGTTACAGAGTGCATATTACGGCTGTGGGTAACAAATACAATAAATCGGATGAACAATATATATGGGAGCTATAACTATATCTGAACCGATCTTCACCAATTTTGGCATACTACCTTCTAAATTCGGTCGTATGTGCCAAATTCCATCCCATTTGGACAAATATTAGACGTTTGGTGCACAATAAATGGTAAATCGGACGAGGTTATATATGGGAGCTATATCCAAATCTGAACCGATCTCGATAAAATTTAGCAAAGGTATTTCTGAGCTGCATTTGATATATTTCACCAAATATTGTTGTTACAGAGTGCATATTACGGCTGCGGAGGACAAAAATAACAAATCGGATGAACAATATATATGGGAGCTATAGCTATATCTGAACCGATTTCGATCAAATTTTCAGGTCCAATCTGATCGTACGTGCAAAAATCCATACAATTCGGGATGATATTACACGTTTGGTGCACAATAAAAAGCAAATCGGACGAAGATATATATGGGAGCTATATCCAAATCCTAACATATCTCGATAAAATTTAGCAAATGTATTTCTGAGCTGTATTTGATATATTTCCCCAAATATTGTTTTTACAGAGGGCATATTTAGGCTGCGGAGTATAAAAATAACAAATCGGATTTAGCATACTTATTTTCAGGCCTAATTTGGTTGTATGTGCAAAATTCCATACTATTCGGGCTGATATTACACGTTTGGTGCACAATAAAAGGCAAATCGGACGAAAATATATGTGGGAGCTATATCTAATTTTTTACCGATTATCTCCAATTTCAATAGGGTTTGTCCTTGGGCCAAACAAATGTTGTTTGCAAAATTTCATCTTAATCGGATAATAAATGCGACCTGCATTTTGTTCACAAGAATACATGGACAGACGGACGGACGGACGGACAGACGGACTGACATGCATAAATCAACTCAGAAAGTGATTCTATGCAGATCATCAAAAGGAAAGGACCACCTTGTGGTGTAGGGTATAATTACCGAAGTATATTTTTAGAGGTCCATAAAAGTAGATAATCTGAATTTTCTGGAAATTTTTGATGGACAAGAAGACTAACATACCTTGATTTTTCGAAAATATTTCCTTAAGGACTACCAGAATAAGAATAGTTTTCAAGGACCGACAGATTACCAAACGGTGGTTTGTTCGAAATTGTTTTCAAGGAATAATCGATCAATATGCCTGTGTATTTTTAAAAATATGTTTCAAGAAACATCAGTCCAATAAACGTAGATGTTTTCAAGAATATTCATGAGGGACTATCCAAAAAACGTGGATTTTTTAAGAAGACACTTTCCAAGGACCAAAAAACCAGTAAAAATGGATTCTTAAGCATTTTTTCAAGGGAAACCCCATCAATAAAATTTAATATTAACAAGTAAAAAGTAGCCAATTTCGGCCGGTCCGAACTTTTTATACCCTCCACCAATTGGAAAGACCTTGAAAAATTGAAAAAAAAAATCTGTCGAAAAATGCCGCTTAAATGAAAACCTTTATATGAAGCTATATGAAGACGTTTTCTTGCATATACATTTGTTTGTCATAGGCTGTAGTACCCTTTACGAACTTGAAATACGAAATTTGAAACAACTCTGGTAAAAAAATGTCTCTAATATCATCAAAGTGCAAACAATTCTCGCGAATAATGCCGTTAATATCATCAAAATACCAAATAAAGAGAGGTGCCATAATCTGTGGGCTATATGAAGAGGTGGAAATACGAAATTTAGAAACAATTCCGGTAAATAATGTCCCTAAAATCATCAGAATACTGAATATCAGGAGGTATCCTTTTATGGGCGCTATACGAAGACGTAGTTTTTTGTCATAGGCTGTAGTACCCATTACGAACTTAAATTACGAAATTTTAGCAAATTCCATTGAAAATGTGGCTAATAAGGTACATAGGGGGGATGTCATTATATGGGGGATATACAATATGGTGGACCTACATATATAGACAATTTTCTTCCAAGGTACTCACCAAGATCTCCTTGTGTAGAATCTCAGACAATTCCATTGAGAATGCGGCTAAAATCATCAAATAAAATCAAATCAGTGACCTGTAATTCATTTGCACAGTGGCTTCGCCTCATTTTCGACATGTGTCTTTTTCTCGTTGTCTCCCAGAAGCTTCAGCTCGTTGTTCCACAGGAGCTTCGGCTTTTTGTATCGTATCATAGCTCAAACATTGGTAGTTAATTAGAAGCAGACTTCCGAATTTGTAAAAGAGTGAGACTAATTCGAATTCGAGCGGGAGCGCTCGAGCAAATACAATTTTTCGATGTTGCTATATTTCTATGTATGTGTATATTTGATATACACGATCCCCACTTCCCCCTCTCTTCCCACCTCTTCTGCAATGCACTCTTAGGGCAAACTCTAATTTTTGATTGATTCTGCTCCCTCTCTAATTTTTCGAACAAAAGTCACTTGGGTGTGCTCAAACAAAAAAAAAACAAAAGAGTTAAGAGTAGACTCCGTAAAAACTCCCACCCGAACTCGAACTATAATGCCCGCGAACAAGTTTCACCCCCGAGTGAAAGTGAGTATATATGTTATCTGATTAGAGTTAGTCATAGGACGTAGTGCTAGCTAGAACAGTTTCCTAACCATGACGACGACCCTAATAGCTAAACCCGAACATACCCACAATGAGTTGCCGAATCCAAACGAGTTCCGATCCATCTCAGAAGGTTTAGACATCAGCTCCCAAACATATCCGCAGTAAGCTGCCGAAACCAAACTAATCTTGATCCATCTTAGAAGTCCTGGACAGCTGTTCCCGAAAATACCTATAGCAACGGACGAACCCGAACGAATCGTGATGCATCTTAAAATACATAGACAGCTGCTAACGAGTGCAGTACAGTGAACTGTCGAACCCGAAAACCCTAAAACGATAAGAATATTTTCTCCCTTAGGTCCCTAAGATGAACTGCCGTTCCCGAACGGCTATACAACGAGTCCCAAACCCGTCTCAGAAGATCTGGACATCAACATCCCAACCACCTACATCGTAAACCCTCATTATCTACTACTCAGCCCGATGACCATTCGTTGAAGTTTCCGTTAACCCTCAACTCGTCAACATAAACATCGTAGTTCCTGATATCAAGCAATAATCAACAACCAGGGTACCCGATCACATCAAACAACTGATTGAACAACCCGACATCACTACCTCATGGTTCCCGTTTGCCCACGAGTCTTTCGGCCTTATGCCTGGGGAGACATGGTATATGTCTCGAATTTCCGATTATCAACTGAGCAACTCGAATTCGAATTCCTGAGTACCTCCGAAGTCAATTAGCAATCGAACACGAATTGATTGTAATTTAGTATTTTATTTAGTACTGGAAAAGAAGAGATCTTCTCTTCCAATTTCATAAGGTTTGGTGGGTCCTTTGGAAATCATGGGTAAATCTGAGCTGACCTCAGCCAATAAGAAACCCACGTTAAAAACTTTGATGAAATGGAATTTTAAAAAATATTTTTTTAATAAATCATCTAACCAATCGACGTAAATAGTTCTGGAGTTTTAAAAATATTTTTTCAAGGATTTTAGACCAAAAATCTAGGAATATTAAGAACATTTTTCCAAGGACCAACGGATCAATAAAAGAAGATTTTTTAATGTATATAGATTTTTTAAATATTTTCTCGAGGACCCTCAGACCAAATGTGAAGATTTTAGAAAATTTCCCAAGGGCAGATGGTCCAATAAATGTGTATTTTTTAAGAAGAAAGTTCAAGGACCATCTGACCAATAGTCGTGGATTTTTAAGAGTATTTTTACGGGCCAATAAAAGATTTTTTAAAGAAATTTTGAAGAACCAAGAGACTATAATTTTCGATTTTTATGAATATTTTTCAACGACCAAAAGACCAATATTCGTTGATATTTAAGAGTATTTTTTTTAAAGACCAACAAGCCAATAATCGTGGATTTTTAAGGGCAGTTTTCAAGGACCAACAGGCCAATAATCGTGGATTTTTAGGGGCAGTTTTCAAGGACCAACAGGCCAATAATCATGGATTTTTAAAAGCATATTTTAAAGACCAGTATCGCAATAACCATGTATTTTTAAGAGCATATTTCAAGGAATCGTGTATTTTTTAAGATTTTTTAAAGAGCCAACAGGCCAATAAGCGTGGGTATTTTAAGGGTAGTTTTCAAGGACCAACAGGCAAATAAAGTTGAATTTTTTAAGAGCATATTTCAAGAACCACTAGACCAAGGACCAACAGGTCAATAATCGAGAATTTTTTATGACTTTATTTCAAGGACCAACACAAAATCGCGGTTTTTTTGGTTGACCAATGAACCAACTTTTTTAAGAATATTCTTTCAAGGATCATCCAGTCACGTGGATTTTTAAAAATATTATTGCAGAGACTTTTGTAAAGAGAGTTTTTTTTTTTTTTTTTTGTTTAACGTGGTTTTGAAAAATATCATATTTCAGAGGTTATTCGATCAACATACGTGGATTGTTAAAGGTAGTTTTGAGGGACCAACAAAAAAAATATTTAATTTTTTGAACACCAACATCGAGTTCAATTGCAGAATGTTTTTGTTTTTAGGAACAATAAACGCGGATTTATTTGAGAAACCAAAAAAATATGGATTTTTTGGTGTATTTCATCAAGGACCAATAGACAATATTGAATATTTTTCAAGGACTACAACAAATATTTCCTGAAAATACCTTTTCAATGACTATCCGAAAAATATGTGTTTATTATTTAAGAATATTTTTTCAGAAACAAACAGACCATATCAAATATAGATGGATTATTGAAGAATATATATATTTTTTTAAGAAGCATCAGTCCACACCAAATATAGGTGGTTTGTTAAAAAATATTTTTCAAGGATTATCAGAACAATAATCGTGAATTTTCATTACAGGTCCAATTTTAATTGTAGATGTGGTAATTCTTGCAAAAAGATTCTCAAAAAGTTACCTATTTAATTCCCATTAACTCCTTATGCTCATTTCGAAATTACCCACGGATCAATAAAAGTGGATTTTTTCAGGTTTTTTTTCCAAGGAGTTTTTAACAATATTTTTTTTTCCAAGAACATTTTTTGAAAGGCCATCGGACGAATAAACTTGTTTTACTAAGGACCCACGGACCAATAAACGAGAATTTTTAAGATTATTTCCTAAAGGAGCAATAGATCAATACTCTTAGATTTTTAAGAATAGTTTTCAGGAACCATCTGACCAAAAACGTGGATTTTTTAAAATATTATCTTAAGGTCAAATGGACCAATAAACGTGGATTTTTCAGAAAAGAATCAAGGACCGATAAACTTGGATTTTTTTCAGAAAATTTGTCAACGACCCACAGACACATAAACTATCAAAAATATTCTTGAAGGACTAAAACTTAGACTTTTTTAAAAATACTTTGTCAAGAACAAGTAAGCAAAGGCTACAGTCGAGCGGGGCCGACCGTTGAATACCCTACAACACTATAATTAACGATACAGTTTATAAAGGCGAGATACTCGAAAGAATTCCACAAGACATTGTGACAAATCAGGAACCAATATTTCCCAAAGACCTATAACCTCTCAGAAGTGGCAAAAGAATAACATTTATTATTGGTTTTTGACTGAAACGCATCTATATGAGATGCAGACTTTTGACTCCATTCTTCAACGAAATCAGCGTTAACGAAATAGTCAGAAGTGCGTCTTTCCTATATTTGCGAATTCTCCAAAAAGTCCTGGAATATACATTTTCGTATTTTGTCTACAAAAGTTGGCAAACTCCTTCACACATTGAATATTTTTGGATGGTCATCCAAAACTGCTTGGCTTTTGCAATGTCCGGTAACCTCCATTAAAATGTGCGTGAGGACCGGGCGATAATTACAACCTGCTGACAATTTTGCAGCTTTTGGTCCATTTCAACCCCTAAATATATTGCGATCATCTCCAAAAAGACCCTCATCTTATCTCCATGCAAAATTTCGTAAGAATCGGGCCATAAATGCGATCTGTATATGATATCCTGACATCCTAACTACTTAGTTTTGTTAGCTGTAGAAATATTACCAAATGTTTAATTCAAAATGAAAATATGCCAAAAATATGACAAAATTGAAAAAATATGAGAAAATTTACACAATCAATATTTTCATCTTTAGAGAGATATTTTTATGTGGTTTTTTTTAAGTTTTTTTCTTTGCTGCCAAGAGGCCATTCTGAATTAATGAGAACTGTCGAAATCAGTTCAGCCGTTCTCGACATATAAGAGATTTTTCAAGCATATCTTCTTTGATAGACATATATATATCTTATTTTGCTATATATTCGATTTGTTGGATCTTAACATCAATGTAAAGATCAGAAGTAACCTTGTCATGTCTTTGTGATTTCGCCGGGATTTAAAATATTCGCAGTTTAATGAAAAATTTTGAATTTTTTCAACACAAAAGATATGGTCTATTTTATCCGCTAAATATTATCCGATGACTACCCAAATTGGTAGGCTTCTTCCCCGCCCTAAACTCTAGCTACATGCGAAGTTCCGCGTCGATTGGTCTATAATTGCGACCTGTATAGCTACTGCAAAATCAGATATTTTTTCAGTTTTTGGTCCATTTTAACCCCTAAACATTTGGCGATCATCTCCAAAAGAAATAGTGTTCTATTCTGACCCTAGCCCCACCTCCATTCTAAATTTCGTGAAAATCGGGCCATAATTGCGACCTGTAGAGTGATTACAAATTAACATGGACAGACGGACAGACGGACGGACGGACATACATAGCTAGATCGACTCAGCTCGGCGAGCTAGGAAGACCCATATATACTTTCCTATATGGGAAACCAATATTTCAACACATAGTGTTGTAGGGTATAACTATACGAAAAATATGCATGGATTTTTTAAGAAATTATAAAATAATATTGTTCATGGATTATTAGAACAATAACCGTGGATTGTTGTTGGATTTAAAAATTCCTCCATTAACCCCTTAATAAATGCATTTTTTCTATCGCCCTGGCAACCTCATTTCGAAAAGTGAACTCAAAATATTATTTTTGTTTGTTTTTTTTCCTGTCCTTCTATTTCATATTTCTTGTAAATTTATGTTTGAAAATGTACAATGAATGATAAGAAAGCAACGAGACTGGTGCGCTGTTTGAAATGTCAGAAAATTTTTGAGTGTTCGCGTGATGATACTCTCGCTCTAATTCAACACATACGCACCGATCATCCGGAGGTAAAATTTATTGATGTCGATAGAAATGTGGAAATTGCCAGGAAGCATTTATCCAAAACGAACAAAATTGGCCAGGATAATAAAGGACTCAGTTCTGAAGAGAAACAGAATAGAGAGGAATATCCAAGTAAATCCAGGGTAGAAGTGAGCCCAAAAAATAATTCTTCAAAAGAAAGTGGAATTAAAAAGGATAATAAATTTCCCCAATATGTAGCAGAAGATGAGTTGACACGGCTCTCCTTGAAATCAGAAATATGTAAGTGAAATATCAAAATCTTACCTCACGTTATATTTTTAACAAACTCTCTCCCTCTCCTTACACCAAATAGTAGAAAAATATCCCGAAATTAAGGATTGTGAATTTTGTCCTCAAAAACCCAGTGCCAATGTTCTCTATACACGTCGCTATAAAATTCAAACGCCATCGAGCACCTCAGGCCTAAGCAGTGCCCCAAAAACACCGAGAAAACGACAGATGTATCGTATGTCCATAGAAAAATGGCGCCCAATCAAAGGGAATATCTATTGTCCCAAGTGTGGTTGTAACAAACCTCCCTTGATTGAGACTCGTAATGAATTCCTCACTGAAAATTCGTGGTGTGCTTGCTGTATGCTCAACTGTTGGCCCCTGTGTTTCATACCATGGATATTTCCCTCACACGAAGTGGAACATTTGCACTGCTCGAACTGCAAGACATTTTTGGGTCTCTACAATCGCCGTTCGAATTGTATAAAACCAAATCGGGATTTCAATATTGTGGAATATGAAAAGAATGTAAAAATTAAAGATCACAAGGAGGAAGATGACTTGAGATATCTTAAACGAAATAAATCCACCACAACCAGTGAATGGGTGAAGCACCAAAACCCGCCAAATCGCCCAGCACCAGCAAATCGTTTGCCCTCCATTGTCATTGATGGCAAAGAATTACATCCGGATATGGTGGCTCGTCTACAGAAGTTTAAGAAATTTGGTTCACTGGCGGGCATAGATTTGGAGGCCCTAACAGATGATAGCAACAACAAGGCTAATTTGAGTGATTCTCATAATGAAGCGGTTCCTAGACGCAGGGAGCCATCTGTTGGTAACAATACGTATTAAAAAAGCTTTCCATAGAGGGCTTATTGAAAGCTTGCTTGCTGTTGCTATGCTTTGACATTAAACTGAGCTTTCATGCTTCAATATGTGCTCACAGTGTTTCGAAAAAATTTAAATTTAATATTTTTGTTTAAAAATGTCCATGTTTAAAAAAATATTGAAAATCGAAGATTATGAGTCGGATATTTTTGAAAACAAATTGGAAATGGCTTAGCTCTATGGCTTTTTGAAATTCTTTTCAGAGGTAGGGTAAGAAATCCGTGTCCCCCACAAAAATACTTTCCCAGAATCAGGGTAGTTTTTTGGAAAGTATTTTCTTGGGAGACGGACCCGTATATTTGACCCCAAAATTTTCAAAAAAAGTCCGTTGAAAATGCTTTTAAAATTTTAAAAATACCGAATATAGTCGTTATATTGGGGTCTATACAACGTGGACCTACATAGACATTGTTTGTTATAAGTAGCATCATAAAATTATCGTATATAGAGAGGTACCGTTATATCGGAGCTATACGAAGACCTGGACCTGCATAGACAATTTTCAGTCACAAGCTGTAGTAACCATTACAAACTTAAAATGCCAAATTTGAAACAATTCCGGTGAATAATGTCGCTAAAATCAGCAAAATACCGAATATGGGGGGTACCGTTATATGGGGGCTACACGAAGACGTGGACCTGCACAGACAAATTTCTGTCCCAGGTTGTAGTATCTATTTCGAACTTCAAATACCAAATTTGAAACAATTCCGGTAAAAAATGTCGCTAAAATCATCAAAATACCGAATATCGGGAGGTACTGTTATATGGGGGTTATAAGAATTTTAATTTTAATAACCTCAACAATTTAGAAAAAAATCCATCGATACATAAAAAATAAATGCAACCGTTATATGGGGGCTATACGAAGACGTGGATCTGTCATAGGCTGTAGTACGAATTACGAGCTTCACAAAAGCTTATGCTCATTCTTCCGCAGGAGCTTCGCCTCGCTGTTTCACAGAAGCTTCGTCATTGGTAGTTAACTAGAGGTAGTCATAATCGTAGTCCCAGCTATTGTAGACGGCCCAAACAGCTAAACCCGAACATACCCACGGTGAGCTGCGAAATCGAACGAGTTCCGATCCATCTGCGAAGACCTATTCCTATGCTAACTAACATACCCTCAGTAAGAATAACCCAAACAAATTCCAATTAATCTCAGAACGTTTGGTCATCTGCTGACGAATATACCCACAGTGACCTGTCGAATCTTAACAAATCCTGATAATTCTACGAAGTCATGGGCAGGTGCTCCTGAACATACCTCCAGCGAACTGCCGAGTCCAAACAACCTTCAACACGAGTAGATCGTAATTTTGTATTTAAATCGATAAAACATCTGATTAACGCACCATAAGAGGTTCAGTGGGCCTTTATGGAGACCCTGGATACAGCTGAGCTTACATTGCGCTACATTTTCTCCTTGAAGAATATCCTTAAATGATCAAAATTCATTGATCGTTTATATTTCCCTGGATTCTTAGCAAAAATATTCTAAAAAAAACTCAACGTTTATTTTTCACTTGGTCCTTGACAAAATATTTTTCAAAAATCCAAGTTTTTGGTGGACTCATTCCTGAAAAAATATTTTTAAACAATCCAGGCTCCTGACCAATGGTTCTTCAAAAAATATTGTTAGAAAACCACGATTATAGTTTTGTTGATCCTTAAAAATTGTCTTAACAAGTTAAAAAGTATCAGTCGGTATTGCCGCCAGAGATATACCCTCAGCCTATGTTCGATTATCTAAATGTATTTTGACTAGTGTTAAGGTTATTCAAACGTTTGACCCTCTATGGAGCAGATTCCGAAGGAATGGGCCAATATTGCCCATTTCCTATCGGACCCAAAATATGATATAAATATTTCGACAGATGTGCCAAGTCTTAATGGAATCGGATGTTAATTTGGCGATTTATGAGCTTCATGGGTACTCAAAATTTCTATATTTTGTGGGGGGAGGTACTTGATGGAGTGGACCGACGCAAATATTAGGATTCGCAAAGTCGGAGCAAATTCGGATTAGCCTTTCTCTTTTTGTGCAAAAAATTTGTTTTTTTTTGAAAATTTCGACCTTTTGTGGGGGAGGTACCAGAAGGAGTGGGCCGATATTCTTCATCTTAACACAAGACCTTGGGTTAATATAAATATTGGGATGTGTGAAATTTGAAGACAGTCGGGCTCTTACATAACATTTTATGAGAGTTGTAATTATTCAAAATTTTGACCATTTGTGGGGGAGGTACTTGATGGAGTGGACCGATATTGTCCATTTCCACACCTGCCCTAGCACTGACGCAAATATTAGGATTTGCAAAGTTGGAGCAAATTCGGATTATCCTTTCTCTTTCTGTGCAAAGAATATATTTTTTGAACATTTCGACTTTTTGTGGGGGAGGTACCAGAAGGAGTGGACCGATATTGTTCATCTTAACACCAGACCTTGGGTTAATATAAATATTGGGATGTGTGAAATTTGAAGACAATCGGACTTTTACATAACATTTTATGAGAGTTGTAATTATTCAAAATTTTGACCATTTGTGGGGGAGGTACTTGATGGAGTGGACCGATATTGCCCATTTTCACACCTGACTTAGCACTGACGCAAATATTAGGATTTGCAAAGTTGGAGCAAATTCGGATTATCCTTTCTCTTCCTGTGCAAAAAATATATTTTTTTGAAAATTTCGACCTTTTGTGGGGGAGGTACCAGAAGGAATGGACCGATATTGCCCATATCCGAACTCGATCTAAGTTTGACAAAAATATTACGTTGTAGCCAATTTGGACCAAATCGGATACTCCCTTCGAGAGTTATCGTGCGCACCAGCCAGCCAGACAGACAGACAGACAGACAGACGGACGGACGGACGGACATCGCTAGATCGACTCCAAATGTTCTGAAATGGATTTGGTCCAAAGAGACCTAGGGTCTAAAACCGTTATTTCGACTAGGCACGTTTTGGCCGTATCAAATGATATATACCCTCTGTAGCCATATGGCTGAGGGTATAAAAAATCCAAGGTTGTTTATTGATCTGTTGGTGCTTGAAAAATCTACGTAAATTTGTCTGTTGGTATTTGAAATTTTTTTTTTAAAAAATCAAGGTTTATTGATCTGTTGTTCCTTAAAAAAATTTTAAAAATCCAAGTTTATTAATCTGTTGGTCCATGAAAAAATATTCCAAAAAAATCCACGTTCATTGGTCTGTTGGTCCTTGAAAAATCAAGGTTAATTGGTCTGTTGGTCCTTGCAACAAAATTTTTGAAAAAATCCTCGTTTATTGATCTGTCGTTCCTTGAAAAAATATTCAGAAGATAAACATGATTATTGGTCTATTGGTCCTTCAAAATATATTCTAAAACTCCACGTTAAGCGGTCTGTTGGTCCTTGAAAAAAGAAAAAAAATTACATTTAATTGTCCTGGTCCTAAAAAATATACCTCAAAAATTCAAGTTAATAGGTTGTTGATCTTTGAAAAAAAATCTTAAAAATCAAAGTGAATCGATTTATTGGTCCTTGAAAAATATCCTTAAAAATCGACGTTTGTATCTCCTTTGATGCTTGTGAAAAAAATCAAGTTTGTTGGTGGATTCATCAGTGAAAAAAAAACAATCTTAAAAAATACTCGTTCATGATGGTACTTCGACAAATGTTATTAGAAAACTACGTTTAAAGGACTCTTGGTCCTTGAAAAATATGGTTAACAAATTTATTGGTCTGTAAGTCCTTGAATAATTATTCTTAAAAACCCAGGTCCATTGGTCTGTTGGTGCTTAATTTTTTTTTTTTAAATCAATTTTAATTGTCCTTAAAAATATATTCTTAAAAAATCCACGTTTATGGGTCTTTTGGTACTTGAAGAAATATTCTTACAAAAAAATACATTACCTAGTCTTCTCGTTCATTTAAGTTTAGCTGTCTTTTGGGTCCCTAAAAAGGAGGAGGACAATAAGCTTGTTGGTCCCGGTCCTTCTTAAAAAATCCATGCTTACAAATTTATAGGTCCTTGAAAAAATATTTAATAAATTCAAACTTCATTGATCTGTTGTTCCTTGAAAAATACTCTTAAAAAGTCCAGGCTTTTTGTGGGTCCCATAGTCCTTGTAAATTTATTCCTCAAAAAAATCACATTTAATGGTCTGTTGGTCCATTAAAAATATTCTGAAAAAATCCACATTCATTGTTAAGTTAGTCCTTGACAAAAATTCTTCAAAAAAATCCGCATTGTTTTTATACCCTCCACCATACTATGGAGGGTATATTAACTTTGTCATTCCGTTTGTAACTCCTCAAAATACTCATGTCAGACCCAACTAAGTATATATATTCTTGGTCAGCGTAAAATTCTAAGTCGATTTAGCGATGTCTGTCTGTCTGTTGTAATCACGCTATCTTTCGAACGAATTGAGATAGAAGGCAAAAATTTTGCACACATGTTTATTTTTTCAGTAGGCAGTTTAAGTTCGCAAATGGGCTATGTATGTTCACGTTTTCATATATACCCCATATTACGGTACCTCCCGATATTCGGTATTTTGATGATTTTAGCGACGTTATTAACCAGAATTGTTTCAAATTTGGCATTTGAAGTTCGCAATGGACACTACAGCCTAAGACAGAAAATTATCTGTGCAAGTCCACGTTTTCGTATAGCCCCCATATAACGGTATCTCTCTATATTCTGTATTTTAATGAATTTAGCGTCACTATTCCCCGGATTTTTTTTTTCAAATTGCGCATTTAGAGTTCATAATGGAATGACAGAAAATTGTCTATGCAGGTCCTGGTCTTCGTATAGGCCCCATATACCAGTACCTCTCTATGTTCGGTATTTTGACGAGTTTAGGTACAATACTACCGAAATTGTTTGAAATGTCGTATTTGAAGTTCGTAATGGATGCTACAGCCTATGACAGAAAATTGTCTTCGCACAGCTCCGATATAACGGTACCTCCCTATATGCGATATTTTGATGATTTTAGCTACATTATTCACCGTTTATTTCAAGTTCCGAATTTGAATTTGGTAATGTCTTATGACAAACAATGCCTGTGTGGGTTCACGTCGTATAGACACCAATATTACGGCTATATTCGGTATTTTTAAAAATTTAACAGAATTTTTTATGGATTTTATTTTCAAATTCATTCCAAATGGTGGAGGATTTTCAAAGTTCGGCCCGGCCGAAATTACTGCTCTTTAACTTGTTTTCCTTAAGTCCTTGAAAAATATTTTTAAAAAGTCAACATTAGTTGATCCTTATAAAAATCCAAGTTTAATTTTATTTTGGATTCTTGAAAAAGAAGTCTTAAAAGAGCAGGTTTGTTGGTTCTTGCAAAAAAAATCCTAAAAATCCAAGTATGAAACACGTATGAAAAATAAATTCTTAAAAATCTCCACGTCTATTTTTCTTTTGGTCCTGAAAAAAAGTTTTCTTAAAAAACATTCACATTTACTGACCTGTTAACCCCTAATATATATTCGTATAAATTCCAATTTAATTGGTCGGGTTGTCCTTTGAAAAAAAAGTATTCTTAAAGAACTCAATATTTATTGGCTGTTGATCCTTGAGAAAGTATTTAAAAAAAAAAATCCGTTTTTGGTTCTTTCGTCATTTAAACATATTTTTTAAAAAATATTCTTTTATTTTTTCTTTGGTCCTTGAAAAATATCCTTTAGGAATGCACTATTATCCAAGTTCATTATCGGATATTTTTATATTTCTTTTTATTTTTATTTATTAATTTTATTCGGCTTTGTCTTATTTATTTATTGCTCTTATCGTTCTCTTTTTCACCACTCTTCTCCTTTGATTTTTGTTTCCTTTCACTTCTCTCCTTCGTCATGTTGGCCAAGACTCTTTCACGTGATGCCTGAAGTTTCTTGGCACAATTTGTGGGTTCCTTCCTTAAAGTCAATGCATCCGAAGCGGCTTTCTTGCGGGCCTGCTTCGACAAACAACGCTCGGCACAGTCGATGGCAACATAACGGCCAATATAACAGCCACATTCGCCGCAGTAATGATTTATGTCATAACGGCACTCGGCGGTTTTACTTTAAAAAAATATAATCAAATAATTACCCACACAAAAACATTTACATTAAAAATACCTACCACAAATTGGTGGCCTTGAGAAATTTCTGCAAACAGGTTACCGCCTCCAGGCGCACCACACTCATACCCACCGCCCGACAGGCAGGACAATCCACATGCGTGGGTATTTTCTGTAAATATCCAATATTTTTCAGATCTATGGGCTTCAGCAGGGGCGGTGTGGGGTCCAAGGGAAAATCGTCCACAATATAATCCTCAATTGCAACCATATTTCTGAAAATTTCTCTTGATGTGTGATTGATTCCTGCCACCTTGCCACCTTCGAATGAATTTCGTTGTCTAGAAAAAGCTAAACTAATTGTTGAACTGTTTTTTTTTTTTTTGAGGAGAATTATTTTCGTTTTACATGATTTTCCAATTTACTTGCCTTTGTTTCTGGGGGAGAGTATTGTGGCAATAGTCTTAACTCTTGCTTCCCAAATGCGAGAGTTTTTTTTTTTGGGTTTGCTCCGTTCTCTTAAATAAACAAATTGAATTAACTTGATCTCTGGGAAAATATTGTATTTGTTGTTTCTAATTAATGTTTATTTCATGTAGTGTTGAAACATAAATACGTTTTAGTACATAAAGTAAAGGGGAGCAATGTGATACAATGGAAGAGAAACCTAAGGCACTTAGAAAAAAAGGCATTTAAAAAAAAATTAGTATGGAAGCTATGTTTCTCGGTGTCATTAGAAAACACTTTTTATTAGCTGGCATTTCTTACGAAAAATCCTTTAGAGAATTCACGATTATTGGTCTGAAAATCTCAAAAATTGTAAAAAATCCACAATTATTGGTCTGATAGTACTGGAAAAAATTCCTGAGAAAGCCAAGACTATTAATCTGATACTCCTCAAAAAAAATATTTTAACAATTCATTATTGGTCTAATGGTCCAAGAAAAATTCTTTAATAAATCCACGATACTTGCTCAAATAGTCCTTAATTTTTTTTCAAATCCAAGATTATTGCTCGAAGAGTCCTGGAAAAATTTCTTTAAACAATCCACGATTATACAGATTACAGTCTGGTAGTCCTCGAAAAAAAAAATTCTTTAAAAATCCACGATTGTTGGTCCAACAGACCTGGAAAGATCCTTTGAAAAATTCACGAATATTATGCTGAAAGTCCGTGAAAAAAAATTATCTAAAAAATCCACCTTTATTGCCCTAATTGTCCTGGAAAAAAATCTTTAAAAAATCCACAATTATTAGTCTAAAAGTCCTAGAAAATTTCATTAAAAAATCTGCGATCATTTATCGATAGCCCTAACATTAACATTCATTCTGTCTGATAGTCGTGGAGAAAAATTCTTAAAAAAATTACGTCTATTGACCTGATTGTCTTGGTAAAAATTATATAAAAATCCAGAATTCTATATCAATCTGATAGTCCTGGAAAAAAATCTTAAACATTCCACTATTAGTGGTGTGATATTCCTGGAAAAATTCTTAAAAAACACGATTATTGGCCTGGTATTCCGGGAAAATAAATTTTAAAAAAATCCATGAACATTAATCGGATAGTCCTCAAAAAAAAAAAAAAAACTTGAAAAAAACACATGGTTATTTATCTGATATTCTTCGTAAAAACTCTTAAAAAAATCCACGATTATTGGTCTAATAGTCCTGGAAAAAATCTTAACAATACACCATTATTCGTCTGATAGGCCTTATTGGACTGACAGTGCTCAAAAAAAGTCCTCGAAAAAAATATTCAAAAAATCCACGAAAAAAAATATTTCAAAAATCCAGGATTATTAGACTGGCAGTCCTCAAAAAAATATTAAAAAAATCCACAAATATAGGTCCGATATTCCTCGAAAAAAATTATTTAAAATATCCACGATTATTAATCCACGAAAAAAAAATATTTAAAAAATCCACAATTGTAGGTTATTATCATATTATTTATAATATTCACGATTATTAATCCACGAACAAAAAATATAAAAAAAATTAACGATTATTAATCCACAAACAAAAATATAAAAAAAAATTAACGATTATTAATCCACGAAAAAAAAAAAATATTTAAAAAATCCACGATTATTAATCCACGAAAAAAATATTTAAAAAATCCACGATTATGAATCCACGAAAAAAAATATTTAAAAATCCACAAAAAAATATTTAAAAATCCACGAAAAAAAAATATTTAAAAAATCCACGATTATGAATCCACGAAAAAAAATTATTTAATAATCCACAAAAAAATATTTAAAAATCCACAAAAAAATATTTAAAAATCCACGAAAAAAATATTTAAAAATCCACGAAAAAAATATATTTAAAAATCCACAATAATTAATCCACAAAAAAAAATTTAAAATTCGTGAAAAAATAATATTTTAAAATCCACAATTATTAATCCACGCATCCATGAAAAAAAGATGTTTAAAAAATCCAAGATTATTAATCCACGCATCCAAGAAAAAAAATATTTAAAATCTACGATTAGTAGTCGGGTAGCTCTCAAAAAAATTATTTAAAAAATCCACGATGAATAAATCACGCATCCACGAAAAAAAAACTATTTAAAAAATCCACAATTATTAGTTCACGAAAAAAATATTTAAAAAAATCCACAATTATTAATCTACGAAAAAAGTATTGAAAAAATCCACGATCATTAATCCACGAAAAAAAAATATTTAAAAATCCAGGATTATTAATTGTATAGTTCTCAAAAAAATTATTTAAAAAATCCACGATTATTATTTAAAAAAATATTTAAAAAATCCACGATCATTAATCCACGAAAAAAAATACTTAAAAAATCCAGGATTATTAATTGTATAGTCCTCAAAAAAAATTATTTAAAAAATCTAGGATTATTAATTGTATAGTCCTCAAAAAAAATTATTTAAAAAATCCACGATTATTATTATTAATCCTCGAAAAAAATATTTAAAATATCCACGATTATTATTATTTATATTAATCCACAAAAAAAAATATTTAATAAATCCACGATTATTTGACTGACAGTCCTCAAAAAAAATATTTACAAAACCCCCGATTATGGGTCCGATATTCCTCGAAAGAAATTATTTTAAAAATCCACGATTATTAATCCACGAATAAAAATATTTAAAAAATCCACGAAAAAAATATTTAAAAATCCACGAAAAAAAAATATTTAAAAAAATTCACGATTATTAATCCACGAAAAAAAAATATTTAAAAAATCCAAGATTATTAATCCACGAAAAAAAAAAATTAAAAAAAGGCACGATTATTAATCCACGAAAAATTTTTTTTTTTTAAAAAATCCACGATTATTAAAAATCCACGACTATTAATCCACGAAAAAAATGATTTAAAAAATCCACGTTTATTAATCCACGAAAAAAAAATTATTTAAAAAATCCATGACTATTAATCCACGAAAAAAATTATTAAAAAAATCCCCGATTATTAATCCACGAAACTCCGAAAAAAAATATTAAAAAAATCCCCGATTATTAATCCACGAAACTCCGAAAAAAAATATTAAAAAAATCCACGATTATTAATCTACGAACCCCCAAAAAATTATTTAAAAATTCACGATTATTAATGCACGAAAGAAAAATTATTTAAGAAATCCACGATTATTAGTCTATAGTCCTCGAAAAAAATCTACGATTGTGCTTAAAAAAAGTTCTAGTACATAAATCCACGATTATTGGTCTAAAATTCTACAAATTCAAAATTATTGTTATGTATGTCGTCGAAAAAAATCTGCAGCCCATCCCTGAAAAATTATATTTCCACATTATCCATTTTTTTCAAAAACGCCTTTATTTAATTATTACCAACCATGGCGCTATTGTTAACATTTCGTACATAAAAAATAATATTTTCATACAAAAAAAAGTTTCCTCCTCATTGTGCGTAATTGAGGTCATTAATGACCTCACCCCCACATTCGGTGGGCACACAGATCCACACTCAGCAGAAGTTAATGAAATTTTAATTTTATAAAGTTCATCGAGCATTTCGTCTATTTTTCACAGCCCAGAATGGCGCGCATACACACACACAGTTCAACACATCTCAACTCTGGTAATTTATAGCGTTTATAACGAGCAGTAGTCCCAAAAACAACAATTGTAGCTGTGGCATAAATACGGCATCAAGTAGTCAAGCGATCTCCGGAGCACAGTTCTGCGAAACCCATTTAATTATCTGTTTATTTTCCAGATGTCAGCTCTTGTGGCAGTAATTCTGCTATCAGTGGCAAATTGAATGAAATTTTGGGAAAAAAATCACCTTTGTTAAATTTTAGAGTAGTTGGGGAAATAGAGAGATTTATTACGAGGAATTAATTGGGTTTACTTAAAATATATGTAATATATAAAATAAACATAATTTATAGACTATATAGGATGAGAAAAAAACTGCAACAAAGTCATACACCATAAATTTTAAATTTTTTTTAAATTTTATTGAATGAAAGCAAAAAATTTGGAAAATGGCATCAAATTTTAGAATAAGTTTAGATTTGTTCGAACTGGTCACCGTTGGCACGAATTATGACCTTCAACCGGCCAATGAAACCGTCACAAGCTGCCCGAAAGTTGCTCTGCGTTATTTTGGCCAATCCCGGCGAAGCGCTTGCTTGATGATCGGTGATCGACATATAGGGACTGTTTAGTGCCAACCTTGCTTTCCAAAATACTCCAGACACAATAGTCCAATAGATTGGTATCCGGAGATTTTGGTGGCCATTGTGCGCTGGAAATGAAGCAAAAAACCCCATTCTTAGGTGGCGCGTGCTGAGTACGATGGTGCTGAGTCCTGTTGAAATGTCCAAGGTCTGCGGCCAAAATGTTTGCGTGCCCAAGGCTTTAATACACCCTCCAGAATATTTTTGCCATAATATTCGGCATTTATTCTGATGCCACGGTCGATTAATACGAGCGGAGAGCGATTATCCGCTGTTGTGGTGGCCATCACTACACACCATGACCATGGCCGTCGCTTGAGTTCTGGTGGCCAACCGAAGGTGCACATTTTCAGATGACTTCTTTGGCAAGTAAACACGAGCGGATCATTTTGCTTGTTTACAAACTGCTGGACAACGAATGTTTTCTCATCGGTGACAGAGAAAACCAAATTCGGCAGTTCACCACTTTCGGCCAAGTGAAGCTACTCTATAGCTCTTTTGAGTCTGAGTCTATTTTCATTCTGTTGCGGTGTTAGTTCTTGAACTTTTTGGAACTTCAATGGTTTTACCCCGAGCTCATTTTTCAATATTTGCCGAATGGAATATTGCGATATGTTCAGCTCACGAGCCATTTTTCGGCCACTGCGATGCGGGTTTCGACCAAGTCGCTTCTTTACTTTTCGAACCATTTCTGCTGTTGTTGTTTTTTTTTTTTCGTCCACTTCCTTGACGTCGGGCTACGCTACAAGTACCATGCTAGCGAGCGATGCTACGAGACACTCAAGAGATTTATTCACATTGGAATGCTGTAACGATAGCCACTTGTGGTTTACCAGCCAAATATAAAAAAAAAATCACACTATCACCCTTGAAAATTCTCACCAAAATGCTTTTGTACGCTTGTAAACAATATAATGAGCTGTCACTGGAATAATTTTAACAGCTGTCGGACGAGTGGCTTAGAAATGACAGCAGTCTGAAGTTGGTTGCAGTTTTTTCATCTCAGCATGTATTTTCTTAGGTCCCATACAAAAAGGACAATATTGATACATTCCTTCGGAACCTACTCCATAGATGGCCATAGATGGTATATGCATTGAAATAATCAAACATTGGCTGAGGGTATACATCTGTCGGCAAAACCGGCTGATACTCATTAACTTGTTTTTTTTTTTACAACCTCCACCTTGGAAAGGAGGGTATATTAACTTTGTCATTCCATTTGTAACATCCCAAAATATTCGTCGTAGACTCCATAATGTATATATATTCATAATCAGCATAAAATTCTAAGTCGATTTAACGATGATAGTCCCCATATAACGGTACCTCCCGATATTCGGTATTTTGATGATTTTTGCCACATTTTTTCACGGATTTGTCTAAAAATTGGTATTTGCCATTGTGGGTTCTGGCTGCGGTGACGAAACATTGTATGTATAGGTCCACGCTTTGGTACAGCTCCCATATTAAGGTACCTCCCGATATTCGCTATTTTAATTATTTTTGACACATTTTTTCACGAATTTATCTGAAAATTAATAGTTGTAGGTCATAATGGGTCCCACTTCGTGTGGCGAATCATTGTAATTATAGGTCCACATTTTGGTATAGTCCTCATATAACGGTACCTCCCGATATTCGGTAATTTGATGATTTTTGCCAGATTTTTTCAGGGATTCGTCTAGAAATTCGTATCTGTTGGTCATAATAGGTCACAGCTCCGATGGCAGAACATTGTATGTATATGTCCACGTTTTCGTATAGCCCCAATATAAAGGTACCTCTGGATATTCGGTATTTTTATGATTTTTGCTACATTTCTTCTCGGATTTGTCTAAAAATTGGTAAAAATTTTGTGTCCTAATGGATTCTAGCTCCGTTGCCGAAATATTGTATGTATAGGTTCACGTTTTTGGTACCTCCCGATATTCAATATTTTGATGATTTTGCGACATTTTCTCGCGAATATGTCAAAAATTCGTATTTGTGGGACACAACGGGTTCTAATGTTTTCTTTACCCTAAGGTGGAGGGTATTAAAAGTTTGGCCCGGCCGAACTAAATGTTTTTTTACTTGTTTTTTTTTTTTTTTTTTTTTTTTGATTGGATCCAATTGTTGTCAAATTATGACCTCGATGCAAGTTTGGACCGAATCTCATATGTTAACTAAAAGTGTTACATCGACTCTAAATGTTCTGAAAAGAAGTCTTTCTTTCCATTTTTTCCATTTCCAATATACGCGTATTAAAAAAGTTGAATTCAATGATCAAATATAATTTAAGTTTTCTCTGAAATAATAACTTTTTAAAGGTTATGCCCTGCTCTGGGCATGGGCGAGTTAAGGCAAAAGACTGCGATTCAGCGATTTGGATACTCTCCACTCATCCATATGAAGACGTTTGTCTGCAATTGAATCGCACTTTAAAAGACACAAAAACAACTAAATGTACGGTTCCCTGCCTCAATCGGGCTTTGGACCAAACGGGGCTACTCTGGCCTAGTTTTTCCTGTCAAGGCAAGGATTAAAATTCGTAACTTATATTTTAAAACCAATACGAGTAAAAATACCTAGTTGCAGAGCTTTTTATATCCTACACCACAAAGTGGTCAGGTATGTCTTTGTACATTTGTTTGTAACAGGCAAAAGGAAACCAGATAGACCCATAGTTCTTTTTGATGATCTGCATAGAATCACATTCTGAGTCGATTTATGCATGTCCGTCCGTCCATCTGTCCATGTATTTTTGTAAACAAATTACAGATCGCATTTATCGCCCTATCCAGATGAAATTTTGCACAAATCATTTGTTTGGCCCAAGGACGAACCCTATTGAAATTGGAGATAATCGGTAAAAATTTAGATATAGCTCCCATATATATCTTCGTCCAATTTGCCTTTTATTGTGCACCAAACGTTTAATATCTGCCCGAATAGTATGGAATTTTGCACATACAACAAAATTGGGCCTGAAAATAAGTATGCCAAATTTGATCGAAATCGGTTCAGATATAGCTATAGCACCCATATATATTGTTCATCCGATTTGTTATTTTTGTCCTCCGCCGCCGTAATATGCATTCTGTAACAACAATATTTGGAGAAATATAGCAAATACAGCTCAGAAATACCTTCGCTAAATTTTATCGAGATCGGTTCGGATCCCATGTATAACTCCCATATATAACTCCCATATATAACTTCGTCCGATTTACCTTTTATTGTGCACCAAACGTCTAATATTTGTCCAAATGGGATGGAATACGGCACTTACGACCGAATTGAATCTAGAAGCTAGTTTGTCAAATTTGGTGAAGAACGGTTCAGATATAGCTATAGCTCCCATATATATTGTTCATCCGATTTGTTATATTTGTTACCCACAGCCGTAATATGCACTCCGTAACAACGATATTCAGGGAAATATATATTAAATACAGCTCAGAAATATCTTTGCCAAATTTTATCGAGATCGGTTCAGATTTGGATATAGCTCCCATATATATATTTATACGATTTCAAAATTTATTGTACACCAAATGGTCAATACAAGTCCGAATTTAAAAGATACAAATGCTTCGGCATATTTAGTCTTTTGATCTCTAAATTATAATTATAATCATGGCGTGTATGTTTGAATTCTCCCATAAAAACTTTTAATTGTTATGTGGAGCTCTACTAAATTAGCAAAGTGTTGTAGGGTATCATAAAGTCGGCCCCGACCGACTTTAAGACTTTCTTTACTGGTTTAGAAATGCAATTATAAGATTTAAATACTGGACTATATTTTTTGAAGGACTTAGGATTTTGAAGATAAATTCAAGAACTTCAACCAGTTTCCGATGCAACTGAACAATTTATTAAACTGTTTAAAATATTGTGATACAACGACACAAGAGAGGAGAGAATATTTGTTTTTTACCATTTTTCATGTTTTCTTCACTAAAACAAAAAATGAGATTCAATTTTCTCTATTATGCTCTCAATGTCTCTCTTTCATATTGCACTTTATTTTTCCTATGATTCAGGATTTTGTAAAAATATCGAAGACCAATTTCCTATGGGACTGAACAATTTATAACACATTACAAAATATAAATTAAGAATCGACAACACCAAAGAGGAAAGAATATTTGTTTTCCTACCATTTTCCATGTTTTCTACAGCAAACAACAAAAATGAGAAAATGTTCTCAATAATGCTCTCCAATTTCTCACTTTCTAATTTGCCACCAATCGATCTCTTAATTGTTACTCTCTCTCTCTCTCTCTCTAAGCTAATTTGTTTATACAATTTTCTCACACACCCACCCACCCATTCAACCATTCACCCAGCCGCTCGGCTCATTAGAATTTCTCGATTAACATAAAAACAAAACGAAGAAGATCGAAAAGCGCTCATCAACATCTTCGATGTTAGTCTGATTCGATTCGTTTGTGGAAAGTGGCAAAGTGAAGGAAACACAAACGTCTAAAGGAAATACAAAGTAAAATTAAATCTCGACAATAAAAGAAGAAGAAAAAGAGAAACAAAAACATGACGCAGCTAGTCAATGAGGCGGCCAACAACAAACCACCACCAAAAGTTGAAGTTGTCATCGATCGCAAGGCCCAAAAGGCCGCCGAGAAGATGTTGCGCTCCCAAAGGAATTTAGAGATTTACAATAATTTTGCAACACCCCTGGCGGGGACATTCCTTAATCTGCCCATAACACCGGCTGTGATACGCTGTCCCAGTTGCGGTGTCAAGGACATGAGTGAAGTGCATGTGGAGCCAAAGAAATGGGCCAGGAAGTGTAACAGTTTCTTTGGTTGCTTATTTGCGTAAGTGTGCGCGAAGATGACTCATCATGAATGAATTTGTTTTGTTTTAAATATTTTCAAATTTCTTTCCAGTTCCCTGTGTTGTTGTTGCTGTTTCAATTACTCCGATCCATGTGGCCAGTGTGACACGAATCATTATTGCAGAAATTGTAATTGCTACTATGGCCGAGCGAAGCGTAGACCACCCGCCTTGGTGGCATGAAGTTGGTGGAAGGTAGACTCCAAGAGGCCTGCGAATATGTTTTTTATTCGCAAAATAAATGGTATTCTATTATTTAATTTTAATTTTTTTTTCTGCGATTTTTTTCTTGTTCAACAAACCACGAATGTGTTGAAATATTCTCACTGTCCGAAAGTATTTTTGTTTACCCTTCCCAGCATCTATTTTTTTTGTGTATAATTATAGTATATAAATAAATACATTTTATATGAAAACAAAACCAACAACAACAGAAACGACAAGCATATTTAAATTTAGTAGCAAACAAACAAAATAGCGAACATGTTTGTTGGGGTGTAACTGCGGAAATTGGAGGGCAGAAATGAGAAAATGAACTTGGGAGCTTTATGAGCTGAACAACCCATTAAAAGGTAATGTAAAGAAATCGCCTTCTGCACAACCGGTAGATTGAAAATAATGGGTTCTTTAAAAAAATACGAAGAAAAAGTACTTACTTCCCTCTATGTGTAAGTCCGACCACAAAACTAAAGGTTTTGTGTTCGAGACACGATATGAGCAAGCGAAGGAAAACATAGTCGAATAAGATGACTTGTTGATTTAGACGTAAGACTTGAAACAACCTCTAATATTCGAAGCCGTGACGGCGTGTGTTATTATAACCTTAACCATATGGCTAGTTATACCCTCAGTCATATGGCTAGAGATATTTTGAGTCGATTTAGCGATGTCCGACCTGTCTTCGTTCTGTCTGGCTGGTGCGCACAATAACTTTAGAAGGGAGTATCCGATTTGGTTCAAACTTGGTACATAGTAATTTTTTTGTCAAACTTAGATCGAGTTCGGATATGGTCAATATCGGTCCACTTCTTCTGGTAACTCCCCCACAAAAGCTCGAAATTTTCAAAAATCATATTTTCTGCACAAAAAGATAAAAGATGGTCCGATTTTGGTCCGAATTTGCAAATTCTAATATTTATGTCAGTGCTAGGTCAGGTGCGAAAATGGACAATATCGGTCCACTCTTCCCCCACAAAGGGTCAAAGGGTTTTGAACACTTACAAATCTTATAAAATGTGATGTAAGAGCCCGATTGTCTTCAAAACGCTAAACTAACATCGGATTCCGTTTAGACTTGGCACATCTAAATATTTCTTTCAACACAGGAACAAAAACTGGAAAACTGGCAGAGACTGTTCCTTCTGGTACCTCCCCCACAAAGGGTAAAAGTTTTGAATAAACAAAACGTTCATAAAATCTGAAATAAACATCAGGTTCTCTTTATATTTCACATAATTTCATAATTTCCACTAACAAAAGATCTGTTGTGAAAATGGGATATATTGGTCCACTCCTTCTGGTACCTCCCCCACAAAGCTAAAAAGTATCTGTCGGTTTAGCCGACAGATGTAAACACTCTGCCAATGATCGATGACTTAAATATATTTTGACTTCATTAATGATTATGGAGTAGGTTCCGAAGGAATGGGCCAATATTGTCCCTTTCGTGTCGGACCTAAACAAATATGGTATAAATATGGCGACGTGCCATGTTTGGACTATATTGGATACTTCCTTCACTTTACATCAGATATGTGATAATCTTTAGAATATATTAAAATGTGCGTTAGGTACCAGATACAGTCCACCGAAGTATTTCCTTTTTAATTTCGCGTTTTATTAGTTTCATGGATATTCAAAATTTTCAACCCTTTGTGGAGAAGGTACCAGAAGGAGTGAACAAATATATTTCATCTTCTCAGTAGATCTTAAGTAAGTAGAAATAATGGCACTCGTGAAATATGAAGAGAATCGGATGCTTATTTTGGATTTTATGATCGTTTTGGTTATTCATAACTTCGACCCTTTGTTGGGAAGGTACCAGAACCAATATATCCCATCTTAACATCATATCTTATATTAATAGAAGTATTGAGATGTGTGCAATTTGAAGAGAAACAGATTCTTACAGGGTGAGATAAAAAAACGGCAACAAAAGCAAAAAAAATCGGAAATAGCATCAAATTTTCGGATAAGTTTAGATTTGATCGAATTACCTTTGGCATGAATTATGACCTGCAAACGGCATGAAAAAATTACACGCTGCCCGAATTTTGCTCTGCGGTATTTTGGCCCATTCCCGGCGAAGCGCTTGCTTGAGGTGATCGAAACTTTGGTATTTTTTAGTGCCAACCTTGCTTTCCAAAATACTTCAGACACAATAGTCCAACGTATTGGTATCCTTAGATTTTGGTGGGCATTGAGCGCTGGAAATGAAGCGAGGAACCTAATTTTTTAACCATTCTTGGGTAGCACGTGCTGGGTGCGATGGTACTGAGTCCTGTTCGAATGTCGAAGGTCTGCGGACAAAATGTTTGCGTGCCCAAGGCTATTATACACCCTGCAGAATATTTTCTTCATAATATTCGGCATTTATTCTGATGGCATGGTCGATTAATACGAGCAGAGAGCGACCAACGGCTGTTATGGCGGCCATCACCAAACATCATGGCCATGGCCGGCTTGAGGCTTGAGTTCTGGTGTCCAACCGAAGGTACACATTCTCAGCTGACCTCTTTTGCAAGTAAACACGATCATTTTGTTTGTTTACAAACTGCTGGACAACGAATGTTTTCTCATAGGCGACGGAGAAAACCAAATTCGGCAGTTCCGCTGCCACTTTCGGCCAAGCGAAGAAACTCTTTACCTCTTTTGAGTCTATTTTCATTCTGTAGCGGTGTAAGTTCTTGCACTTTTTGGAATTACAATGGCTTTACCCCGAGCCCATTTTTCAATATTTGCAAAAGGGAACATTGCGATATGTTCAGTTCACAAGCCATTTTTCGGCCACTGCTACGCGGGTTTCGATCAAGTCCCTCCTTGCATTTCGAACCATGCTGATATTGCTGTTTCTTCCGTCCACTTCCCTGTCGGCGGGCTACGCTACCAGTATCACGGTAACGGGCGATGCTACGAGACACCATCGATTTATTTAAATTTAAATGCTGGAGTGCTCTAACAATAGCCACTTGTGGTTTTCCAGCCAAATATAAAGAAATCACACTATCACGCTTTAATTCCATCACGAATAACTTTTTCCTGGAAAATTCTCAGCAAAATGCTATTGTACGCTTGTGAGCTGTCAGTGGAATAATTTTAACAGCTGTCGGACGAGTGGCTTAGACATGACAGTAGTCTGAAGTTGATTGCAGTTTTTTCATTTCACCCTATATATCTTCAACTGATTTCAGCCAATATCACCAAATGGGCAATATCTGTCCAAATGACCTGATTTTTGGTACATCCGACCGAATTCAGTCTAGAAGCAAGTTTATCAAAGATATAGCTATAGCTCCCATATATATGTTTCTTCCGATTTGGCGTTTTAAGTTCCTTACATGCGTAATATGCACTCCACAACAATGATATTTGGTACCGGGCATCAGATACTGCTCAAAAATAACTCTAGCAAATTTGATCGAAATCGGTTCAGATTTGGATATAGATATGGGAGCTATATCCAAAACTGATATCTTTATCCGACTTTAAGTTTTTGAATTTTGGCACTTCCGATTGAAATCAGCCTAAAAGATAGCTCTTCAGATTTTGGTGAAAATCGGTTCAGATATAGCTAAATTGGTGTTAAAGTCCCCCACATTTATTTATGAATGTCAGTCCGTCTGTCCGTCCGTCCGTCTGTCCATGTATTCTTGTGAACAAAATGCAGGTCGCATTTATTATCCGATGAGATCCAAACAACATTTTTTTTTTTTTTGGCCTAAGGACGAACCCTATTGAAATTGAAGATAATCGGTAAAAATTTAGATATAGCTCCCATATATATCTTCGTCCGATTTGCCTTTTATTGTGCACCAAACGTGTAATATCAGCCCGAATAGTATGAAATTTTGCACATACAACCAAATTATGCCTGGAAGTAAGTATGCCAAATTTTATCGAAATCAGTTCAGATATAGCTATAGCTCCCATATATATATTGTTCATCCGATTTGTTATTTTTGTCCTCCACAGCCATAATATGCACTCTGTAACAACAATATTTGGGGAAATATATCAAATGCAGCTCAGAAATACCTTTGCTAAATTTTGTCGAGATCGGTTCAGATTTGGATATAGCTCCCATATATAACTTCGTCCGATTTACCTTTTATTGTGCACCAAACGCCTAATATTTGCCTAAATGGGATGAAATTTGGCACATACGACCGAATTGAGACTAGAAGGTAATATTCCAAATTTGGTGAAGATCGGTTCAGATATATCTATAGTTCCCATATATATTGTTCATCCGATTTGTTGTATTTGTTACCCACAGCCGTAATATGCACTCCGTAACAACGATATTCAGGGAAATATATGAAATACAGCTCAGAAATATCTTTGCCAAATTTTATCAAGACCGGTTCAGATTTGGACATAGCTCTCATATTTATCAAATGAGCAATACAAGTCCGAATTTAAAAGATACAAATGCTTCGGCATATTTAGTCTTTTGAACTTTAAATTATAATTATATTCATAGCGTGTATGATTGAATTCACCCATAAAAACTTTTAATTGTTATGTGGAGCTCTACTAAATTAGCAAAGTGGTGTAGGGTATCATAAAGACGGCCCCGCCCGACTTTAAAACTCTTACAATTTTGTTGTTTTTTTTTTTTAAATTATTCAAAATCCTTGAAAATGGTGAATAGTATTAAAAATTCGTCCCGACCGAACTTAACAGCTTCTTTACTTGTTATTTATTACTATTTCTCTTAATTACATATTTATAAAAAAAAATAATTTTTCAATATTTCTCAAACTGTCCCTAGTAAAATATTCACATATGTCGGTCTTTAGCTGACCATGACCTTCAATTTTTATCTTAATTTTAATACAAACTAGGCATTGACATTAGGGAGGGAGAGAGAGAGAGAGAGAAATAATTATAATTATTATAATAATTTCTCATTAAGACAAAAAATTGTGTATAAAATTGTAATGAGAGAAAAATATTTTCAATTTCTCTCCCGAAAATATTTTTGAAATAAAATATCGAGTTTTCTACGGATGTGCGTAATATTCATATATGTATTAAGATTGGCTGCATTCTTTCTCTTTGCTCTAAATAAAATTCTCTTCCTCTCTCTCTCTCTCTCATGTGAAAAATTCGTTGTGGAAAGAGAACCAAATAATGATCATCGATTTGTTTTCCATTTGTTGTTTTTTTTTTTTTCAAACACTTGACCAGAGACAAAATGTCTCTGGCAAAGGTGGACAAAATGACAGACCCAAGAAAAACAATTTCACGAGAAAAAACATAAAAATTTGTTTAGTCTAAACCGGCGATGTTATTGAGTGAATAGCAGAATAGAATACGAAAGATTTTACCAAACTATTTTAATTTATTAAGAAAACGATTAGAATTAACCAAAAAAAAAAAATAAATAAAAAAAATAAAAATGCTCAGCCTAAGAGAAAAATTGGATAAGGAAAAGAAAGAACAAATGGATAATAATTTTGCCACTCCCTTGGCAGGAACTCATTTAAATTTGCCCAAGGAGCCAATATCCATTCTTTGTCCCAGTTGTGGCCAGAATCAGCTAACCCAAGTCCATGTCGAACAAAAGAAATGGTCGACAACCTGTAATGATATTTATTCGGCATTGTTTTAGTAAGTAGCTAATATTTTGGAATGACTAATACGTTTGACGGTGTGTGTGTGTGAAAGAGTAAATGTTGTTTGGAGCGTGCACGTAATATTATTAATCATACGTCATGGTGTTTGGAAATAAATAGACAAAATTATTGTGTTTTGAAATTTGTTTTGACATCCAATAAAAAAATGTGATGTGTTTTGAAAAAAATTTTTTTTTTTATATTTCTTCCAGTGGTCTCTGTTGCTGCTTCTGTTTCGACTATAAAAAAATAGTTTATCGCACAGATGTCAATCATTATTGTCAAAATTGCAGCTGCTATTTGGGTCGAGCAAAACGCGTGCCTCCGGTAACCAGACACAAAGGCAATCATCTCAGCAGTAAATACACCAACTAATTGGACAAATGGAAAAAACTTTGTGCCGAGTGTGTTGTAATTAATTATTAAAAAATTAAACGAAATTATATGTATTAAGAAAACGAATTTTTAAATTGCAATAAAAATATAAATTATTAAAATCATTATACGATTCATAATTTTGTATATCCCACAACAGAGAGCTTACTCATAATCTGAGCCATTTTTATACCCTCCACCATAGTATGAAGGGTATTTTAAGTTTGCCATTCCGTTTGTAACACCTCGAAATATACATTTTAGACCCCACAAAGTATGTACATATATTCTTGATCAGCATAAAATTCTATGTCGATTTAGCGATGTCCGTCCGTCTATCCCTCTGTCCGTCTGTAGGAATTTCTCTAGCTTCCGAACAAAATGAAGTAGGTTGATAAAATTTTACTCAAATGTGTACTATGTCTGCAGGACTTTTGGTATTGAAAATGGGCCATGTAAGTTCACGTCTTTGTACAGCCCCCATATAAGGGTACCTCGCGATATTTGGTATTTTGATGATTTTTGCGACATTATTTACCGGAATTGTACCAAAATTGGTATTTAAAGTTCGCAATAAATACAACGGCTTAAGACAGAAAATGGGTCATTTAGGTCGACGTATTCGTATAGCCCCCATATAAAGGTACCTCCCGATATTCGGTATTTTGATGATTTTTGTGACATTATTTACCGGAACTATTTCAAATTTAGTATTTGAATTTCGTAATGGATACTACAACCTATGACAGAAAATTGTCTCTGCAGGTCCACGTCTTCTTATTGCCCCCAATATCGGTACTTCCCGATATTGGGTATTTAGATGATTTTAGCGACATTATTTACCGGAATTGTTTCAAATTTGGTATTTGACGTTCGTAATTGATACTACAGCCTACGACAAAAAATTGTCTGTGCAAGTCCAAGTCTTCGTATAGCCCCAATATAAGGGTACCTCCCGATATTGGGTATTTTAATGATTTTAGCGACATTATTTACCGAAACTATTCCAAATATAGTATTTGAAGATCGTAATGGATACTACAGCCTATGACAGAAAATTGTCTGTGCAGGTCCAGGTCTTCGTATAGCTCCTATATAACGGTACCCCCCGATATTGCGCATTTTGATGATTTTAGGGACATTATTCACCGGAATTATTTCAAATTTTGTATTTGAAGTTCGCAATGGATACTACAGCCTAGGCCAGAAATTTGTCTGTGCAGGTCCATGTTTTATAACCTCCATGGTACCTCCCCATATTTGGTATTTTGATGATTTTAGCTACATTGTAAACAGATTTTTTTTCAAATTTCACATTCGAATATTGTAATAGCTTGTGACAAAAGTTGCCTATGCAGGTCCACGTTGTCGTTTAGACCCTAATATACGGCTACATTCGGTATTTTTAAGATTTTAACAGAATTTTCAAAAGATTTTATTTTTTTTGAAAATTGCCCAAATTTGTACCAAATGGTGGAGGGTATTCAAAGTTCGGCCCGGCCGAACTTACAGCTTTCTTACTTGTTTAATATATGAAGACAAAAATATTAATGCAATGCAAATTAATGGCCACCAGCAAATCCCGTCGATCCCATAATCAGCTTAATGCCCCCCATCCGCAATCGCACATACTTGAAATCCAAAAAAAAAAATATATAAAAGAGTGTTTGGCAAAATATCCCTAATATATAAACATATTTATTTATTTTTTTACTTTTTTTGTTGTTTTAATGTATTTTTATTTATTCCTCTCTTCTTTGGCAAAATGATTAATGCGTTCTTTGGCTCTTTGCCAAACTTCGGCCATTGGGAATAATGGAGCAGCAAACAAAAGAAAATGATGTCAGAAAAGGTTTCAAGTGTACCGACACACACACATACACGCGCACAAAGTGGTAGAAATTGCTTGTACACTCAGCGTTGGGCATTGATCCAAATGGGTTAAGAGAAATTCACTTGCACTTTTAGAGAAAAAAAGTGGGCTTCATAAGAACAAGTCTTTGAAGAATCTAATTTTTAAGAAGAGCCTTGAGAAGGTCTTCTATCTGAAGAAAATAATTAGATTTGCTGAAATCTACAGCAGATCAATGAAGGGACGTCTACTAATAGTAATACTTATTAGGACAAAGAAACTGAAAGATTTTCATAAAATTAAGGTATTTCATATAAAGAAAAACATTTGAAAAAGCAATTAGTTCGGCCGGATCGAAGTTTGAATACCCTACAGAATTTGGAGGTTTTCGAAAAAAATAAATAAAAATAGTTAAATGAAAAATAGAATACCTTACAAATTCTGCTAAAAATAATGTGTATAGGGAGTTACCGTTATTTTGAGTCTATACAAAGACATGGGCCTACAATTTTCTGTCACGGGCTACCCAGTTCCCATTACGATATTCGAATACGAAATTTGAAACAATTCCGGTGAATGATGTCATTAAAATCGTCAAAATTCCGAATATGGGATCTATATGAAGACGTGGACCTTGTCCATCGTAGATTTAAGTACTCATTACCAACTATAACTAGGAAATCTGAAACAATTCCGTTGAATAAAGTAGCTGAAATCATCAAAATATCGCATACAGGGAGGTACCGATATTTAGGGGATATACGATGTACATATGTGGCCAATTTTCTATTACAAGCTGTAGAACCCGTACGAACTGCAAATACTCGCTGAAATCAGCAAAATACAAATATATGAACGTACCTATATATGGGGGCTATACGTAGATCTGGACCTTCATAGAATGTATCATGTCACAGGCTGCAGTATCTATTAGGAACTTAAAATACGAAAATTCAAAAAATTTCGGTAAATATTGTACCTAAAATCGTCAAAATACCGAATATAGGGAGGTACCAATATATGGCGCCTATACGAAGACGTGGGACTGTATACGCAACTTTTTGTCATAGACTGTAGTACCCATTACAAATTCTAAATACGAAATTTGAAACAACTCCGGTGAATAATGGTCATAAAATAATCAAAATACCGAATATCGGGAGGCACCGATGTGTGAGAGATATACGATGTTGTAGACCTATACAGGGTGAGATAAAAAAACTGCAACAAAGTTAAACGCTATAATTTTTACATTTTTTTCATTTTTAGCATCAGTGGCTGCCATAACAGGCGATGATCGCTCTCCGCTCATATTAATCGACCGTGGCATCAGAATAAATGCCGAATATTATCGCGAAAATATTCTGGAGGATGTATTTAAGCCTTGGGCACGCAAACACTTTGGCCGTAGACTTTGGACATTCCAATAGGACTCGGCACAATCGCAATCAACACGCGCCACCCAAGAATGGTTGCAAAGTGAGGTTCCAAAATTTCCGGATACCAATTCATTGGACTATAATGTTTGGAGTATTTTGCAAGGTTACCACTAAAAATACCAAAGTGTCCTTCTCAAGCAATCGCTTCGCCGGGAATGGGTCAAAATACCGCAGAGCAACATTCGGGCAGCTTGTGACAGTTTCATTGGCCGTTTGAAAGTCATAATTCGTTCCACAGGTGACCAATTCAAACAAATCTAATGCGAATAGATTCCCTATGAGCTCACCTATGGAAATAGGTTCCCCAAGCGGCTTACCTATGGAAATAGGTTCCCCAAGCGGCTTACCTATGGAAATAGGTTCCCCAAGCGGCTTACCTATGGAAATAGGTTCCCCAAGCGGCTTACCTATGGAAATAGGTTCCCCAAGCGGCTTACCTATGGAAATAGGTTCCCCAAGCGGCTTACCTATGGAAATAGGTTCCCCAAGCGGCTTACCTATGGAAATAGGTTCCCCAAGCGGCTTACCTATGGAAATAGGTTCCTCGAGCGGCTCACCTGTTGAAATAGGTTCCCCAAGCGGCTCACCTATTGAAATAGGTTCCCCAAGCGGCTCACCTATTGAAATAGGTTCCCCAAGCGGCTCACCTATTGAAATAGGTTCCCCGAGCGGCTCACCTATTAAAATAGGTTCCCCGAGCGGCTCACCTATTGAAATAGGTTCCCCGAGCGGCTCACCTATTGAAATAGGTTCCCCGAGCGGCTCACCTATTGAAATAGGTTCCCCGAGCGGCTCGCCTATTGAAATAGGTTCCCCGAGCGGCTCACCTATTGAAATAGGTTCCCCGAGCGGCTCACCTATTGAAATAGGTTCCCCGAGCGGCTCACCTATTGAAATAGGTTCCCCGAGCGGCTCACCTATTGAAATAGGTTCCCCGAGCGGCTCACCTATATAGGTTCCTCAACCGGCTCACCTATTGAAATAGGTTCCCAAAGCGGCTCACCTATTGAAATAGGTTCCCCATTGGCTTCCCTATGCGAATAGGTTCCCCAATGGCTCACCTATTGAGATAGGTTCCCCAAGCGGCTCACCTATTGCAATAGGTTCCCCAATCGGCTCACCTATTGCAATAGGTTCCCCGACCGGCCCACCTATTGAAATAGGTTCCCCAATGACTCACCTATGGAAATGGGTTCCCCTATGGAAATAGGTTCCCCTATGGAAATAGGTTCCCCTATGGAAATAGGTTCCCCATGTGTTCCCCTATGGAAATAGGCTCACCTATGGAAATAGGTTCCTCTATGGAAATAGGTTCCCCTATGGAAATAGGTTCCCCTATGGAAATAGGTTCCCCTATGGAAATAGGTTCCCCTATGGAAATAGGTTCCCCTATGGAAATAGGTTCCCCATGTGTTCCCCTATGGAAATAGGCTCACCTATGGAAATAGGTTCCCCTATGGAAATAGGTTCCCCGTGGGTTCCCCTATGGGAATAGGTTCCCCTATGGAAATAGGTTCCCCATGTGTTCCCCTATGGAAATAGGCTCACCTATGGAAATAGGTTCCCCTATGGAAATAGGTTCCCCTATGGAAATAGGTTCCCCATGGGTTCCCCTATGGGAATAGGTTCCCCTATGGAAATAGGTTCCCCTATGGAAATAGGTTCCCCTATGGAAATAGGTTCCCCTATGGAAATAGGTTCCCCTATGGAAATAGGTTCCGCATGGGTTCCCCTATGGAAATAGGCTCACCTATGGAAATAGGTTCCCCTATGACTCACATATTAAAATAGGATCCCCAATGGCTTACCTATAAAAATATTAAAATATATTAGGTTCTCCATGGGCTCACCTATTGAAATAGGTTCCCCAATGGCTCACCTATTGAAATAGGTTCCCCAATGGCTCACCTATTGAAATAGGTTCCCCGACCGGCTCACCTATGGAAATTGGTACCCCGGGGGGTTTCCGATGATTTTTTTAGGGTCCTGCCATAAACAGGATATTCATTAGCAATTTTCTTTTCTTTAACTTCCAAAAGGTTAGATCTTGTTCACTTACTCTCGGACCATTGCAATTCCATTTTTTTTTTTTTTTGAAAATCTCCGAATGATATCTATAATCCATTCACACTTTTACATATTTCTTTTCTCTTGGGTAATTCCTTTAAAACAAAAACTCTTTAATTTAAATAAAATTTTCTCTTTGAACTAACAACACAAATAAAATCGAATTTTCAAAAGGCAACACACATTTTTGTGCCACAGTATTTCATAGAACGTTTATCTCATCGCACACGAAGCACTCTATTGCCGATCTCGTCAATAAATTAGACGAAAATTGTGCTCCCCCAAAACAATAGCAGCATCAGCAGCAACACCAACAACCACTTGCAAGTAAGCAAACATTTTTTCACAATTTTCTTTTTCATCTATCTTCCTATGTGTGTGTGGTTGATTTTTGTTGTTATTGTGGTTGTTGTTTTTGTTGCAATAATTAAACATTTTTTTTTAATGATTTCATCCATGTCTACGTCAAGGTTGCGTTAGTCACACTCCATTCATCGTTCGTTCGTTGCCTCGTCCAGCCGAAATTATGGTCGCCACCACCACAGCCCCTCCGCCCGCCTACTTTGCCGTCGGCCCCAAACCACACGAAGTCTGCTGTCCGTATTGTAAACAAAAGGGTAAAACAATCACGAGACGCTTCCTCCTGAGCTGTTGCATGCGTCGCCAGTATTGCTCTTCGTGTGGCGAATATTTGGGCACCTATAGACGTCCGAAATTGTAGAAGATTTGTTGTGATTGTTTTGTTATTTTTTCGAATGTGAATATTTTATTTTTCTTAAATAAATAAATTAACATTTACTAGCTGATGTCTTTTGTTTGAATACATTTTAATAAATTCCTTAAAAAATTTGGAGAAATTGTATTTTTTTGCAAATACTACTCGGTATGACCAAGAAAAGCATTAGGGCAGCCATATCTGTAGTGGGATTCTCAAACTCTGCCGTTAAATTGTCTTAGAATTATATGCTGATCCTAAGAATATATGTACGACGAATTTTTAAATGTGTTATAAACGGAATTACATATTTTATATACCCTTCTTCCTATAGTGAAGGATATAAAACGCACATTTTAAATCCAGCAATTATGCGAGCTTATGCAAAAATCAAGTACAAAGAGTCATTTTAAAAGGATGACGTTAAACAAAATTATTCTGCATCAAATTTCACTATCACTAGTCACCAAGGAAAAGACCTCTCTACGTCCATTACATATCAAGCAAATTTGAATCAATATTGATAAAAAACAAGTAAGCAAAGGCTACAGTCGAGCGGGGCCGACCGTTGAATACCCTACAACACTATAATAAACCATATTGTTTATATAGGCGAGATACTCGAAAGAATTCCACAAGATATTGTGACAAATAATAAAAGAAAACCATCAGGTTTCGTTCTCTAATTTTCGAATAATAGTAACTTAAACTAATTTAAATGGTCTTCCTAGATCTGGAACCAATATTTCCTAAAGACCCATAATCTCTCAGAAGTGGCAAAAGAATAACATTTATTATTGGTTTTTGACTGAAATGCATCTATATGAGATACAGCCATTTGACTATATTCTTCCACGAAATCAGCGTTAACGAAATAGTCAGAAGTGCGTCTTTCCTGTATTTGTGAATTCTCCAAAGAGTCACTGGAATGGACATTTTCGTATTTTGTCTACAAAAGTTGGCAAACTATTTCACACATTGAATATTTTTGGATGGCCATCCAAAACTGCTTGGCTTTTGCAATTTCCGGTAACCCCCATTCAAATGTGCGTGAGGATCGGGCGATAATTACGACCTGCTGACAATTTTGCAGTTTTTTGGTCCATTTCAACCCCTAAATATATGGCGATCATCTCCAAAAAGAGTAGGCTTCTATTCTGACCCTCATCTTATCCCCATGCAAAATTTTGTAAGGATCGGGCCATAAATGCGATCTGTATATGATATCCTGATATCTCAACTACTTAGTTTTGTTAGCTGTAGAAATATTACCAAATGTTTAATTCAAAATGAAAATATGACAAAATTGAAAAAATATGAGAAAATTTTACAAAATCAATATTTTCATCTTTAGTGAGATATTTTTATGCGATTTTTTAGACGTTTTTTCTTTCCTGTCAAGAGGCCATTCTGAATTAATGAGAACTGTCGAAATCAGTTCAGCCGTTCTCGACATATAAGAGATTATTCAAGCATATCTTCTTTGATAGACATATATATCGCACATATTTTGCTATATATCCGATTTGTTGGATGTTAACATCAATGTAAAGATCAGAAGTAACCTTGTCATGGCTTTGTGATTTCGCCGGGATTTAAAATATTCGCGGTTCAATGAAAAATTTTGAATTTTTTCAACACAAAAGATATGGTCTATTTTACCCGCTAAATATTATCCGATGACCACCCATATTGGTAGGCTTCTTCCCCGCCCTAAATTCTAGCTACATGCGAAATTCCGCGTCGATTGGTCTATAATTGCGACCTGTATAGCTACTGCAAAATCCGACATTTTTTCAGTATTTGGTCCATTTTAACCCCTAAATATTATGCGATCATCTCCAAAAGAAATAGGGTTCTATTCTGACCTAAGCCCCACCTCCATTCTAAATTTGAAGATCGGGCCATAATTGCGACCTGTAGAGTGATTACAAATTAACATGGACAGCTCGGCGAGCTAGGAAGATCCATATATACTTTCGTATATGGGAAACCAATATTTCGAGGTGTTACATAAATTCTGGCCCAATCAAACTTATAATACCCCCAACACATAGTGTTGTAGGGTATAAATAATATCAGAAAATATTTCCTAATTTTTTTCCATCAAATTTTCCCCGGACTTTTCTCGAGTTGATGCATGAAAGTAGCGTAAAATTTCGTTTTAAGCAGAAAGTATCAAAAGAAGAAATATTCTTTACAAAATTTAACTATAAATCTCAGAATAAACCTTATATCTAGGTTCAATAGTTTTTAAGAAAATTACACTCAAAATTCATATATTGCAAATGGTAATTATATGTTGACGGTTTATACTTTTAATTTAAGACTTTTCGATTCTAAGTCAAAATCTCCCATAAAACTCAGTTTTTGGAGGTAAACTTCAAAGGAAGAAATGTTCAAAATCGAATTTCAATATGAGTTTCAGAACAAAACAAATTCTAGGGCCCATGGTAAAATTTTAGGACAAATAATTTTGTAAAATATTTGGATTTGCTATGATGTCGTTTAGAGAAGTTTTTTTACCATATTAAAACAAGTAAGCAAAGGCTACAGTCGAGCGGGGCCGACCGTTGAATACCCTACAACACTATAATATAGGCGAGATACTCGAAAGAATTCCACAAGATATTGTGACAAATAATAAAAGAAAACCATCAGATTTCGTTCTCTAATTTTCGAATAATAGCAACTTAAACTAATTTGCTCGTTTCCAATTTATTGGTAGATGTTGCACGTAAATGGTCTTCCTAGATCTGGAACCAATATTTCCCAAAGACCTATAATCTCTCAGAAGTGGCAAAAGATTAACATTTATTATTGGTTTTTGACTGAAACGCATCTATATGAGATACAGACATTTGACTATATTCTTCAACGAAATCAGCGTTAACGAAATAGTCAGAAGTGCGTCTTTCCTGTTTTTGTAAATTCTCCAAAAAGTCACTGGAATGGACATTTTCGTATTTTGTCTACAAAAGTTGGCAAACTTTTTCGCACATTGAATATTTTTGGATGGCCATCCAAAACTGCTTGGCTTTTGGAATGTCCGGTAACCCCCATAATTACGACTTGCTGACAATTTTGCAGTTTTTTGGTCCATTTCAACCCCTAAATATATGGCGATTATCTCCAAAAAGAATAGGCTTTTATTCTGACCCTCATCTTATCTCCATGCAAAATTTCGTAAGGATCGGGCCATAAATGCGATCTGTATATGATATCCTGATATCCTAACTACTTAGTTTTGTTAGCTGTAGAAATATTATCAAATGTTTAATTCAAAATGAAAATATGCCAAAAATATGAAAAAATTGAAAAAATATGAGAAAATTTTACAAAATCAATATTTTCATCTTTAGAGAGATATTTTTATGCGATTTTTTAGACGTTTTATGTTTTCTGCCAAGAGGCCATTCTGAATTAATGAGAACTGTCGAAATCAGTTCAGCCGTTCTCGACATATAAGAGATTATTCAAGCATATCTTCTTTGATAAACATATATATCGCACATATTTTGCTATATATCCGTTTTGTTGGATGTTAACATCAATGTAAAGATCAGAAGTAACCTTGTCATGGCTTTGTGATTTCGACGGGATATAAAATATTCGCGGTTTAATGAAAATTTTGAATTTTTTCAACAAAAAAGATTAGGTCTATTTTACCCGCTAAATATTATCCGATGACCACCCAAATGGGTAGGCTTCTTGCCAGCCCTAAACTCTAGCTACATGCGAAATTCCGCGTCGATTGGTCTATAATTGCGACCTGTAGAGCAAGTGCAAAATCAGGAATTTTTTCAGTTTTTGGTCCATTTCAACCCCTAAATATTATGCGATCATCACCAAAAGAAATAGGGTTCTATTCTAACCCTAGCCCCACCTCCATTTTAAATTTCGTGAAGATCGGACAATAATTGCGACCTGTAGAGTGATTACAAATTAACATGGACAGACGGACAGACGGACAGACGGACGGACGGACATACATAGCTAGATCGACTCAGCTCGACGAGATAGGAAGATCCATATATACTTTCCTATGTGGGAAATCAATATTTCGTGGTGTTACATAATTTTTGGCCCAATCAAACTTATAATACCCCCAACACATAGTGTTGTAGGGTATAAAAAGAACCAAAAAGACCCCATTGATAACTCGCTTGAGCGTAAAAAATGTTTACCAAAATAATCCGCGTGCTTTTAACTGCAATATTGCCGAAGACACTAAATACCTAACATCAACGGATTCCCAGAATTCCTTATCCAAAATTTTCAAAAAAAAAAAAAAACGCAGAATAGGGGGAGCTTTTCTTTTCTATTTTGCTTACTTTTCAATGTTAGCTCTCAGAACACCGATACACATGTTTTCTATTTTTTAGGTCTAATTTCATAATCGGCTAGATATTCTATGTAATTTTTAATTATGTTGCACAGTGTAATACCTTCATAAATTCGAGCCCCTTGGTAGGTCTTCTATCCATAGAGTCCTCAGAAATTTGGAAGTTTTATTAGAGAAACGGGAACTAAAGGCCTTCTCCCAGCCAACATATATACATACGATTTTTAGTAGGCTAACACCGAACATAGAAATCATAGCTTTGAAAAGTATTTTATCTTAGGAAGACCTCTGACCTCAAAAACCAGATCTATAGAATATTATATATTTACCTACCTATTTTTATACCCTTAGCCATATGGCTAGAGGGTAAATATCATTTGATATGGCCAAACATGTCTCATCGAAATAACGGTTTTAGACCCCAGGACTATTTCGACAAAATCCGTTTCAGGACATTTGTAGTCGATCAGTGAAGTCCGTCCATATGCCTACCTGTCTGTCTGGTGCTCACGATAACTCTTAAAGGGAGTATCCGATTTGGTCCGAACTTGGTACATCGAAATATTATTATCAAACTTAGATCGAGTTCGGACATAGATAATATCGGTCCACCCCTTCTGGTACCCACAAAAGGTCAAAAATTTCAAAGAAAATATTTTACACCAAGTTTGAAAATCCTAATATTGGCATCAGTGCTAGGTCAGGTGTGAAAATGGAAAACATCAGTCTACTCCATCACGTACCTCCCCCACAAAGGGTAAAAATTTTGATTAGCCATGTAGCTCACAAAACGCGAAACGAGCACCCGATTAATTTCAAACTTTGCACATCCCAATATTCCTATAAACACAAGATTAAGTGGGAAGATTCCCCCACAAAAGGTCGACATTTTCAAACAAGGTTTTTTACTGCACAGAAAGAGAAAGAATAATCCGATTTTTCTCCAACTTCCTAATATTCGCATCAGTGCTAGGTCAGGTGCGAATATTTACAATATCGGTCCACTCCATCACATACCTCACAAAGGGTCAAAATTTTGAATAATTATAACTATTATAAAATGTGATGTAGGGGTCCGATTATCTTCGAATTACATATATTCCAATTTTTTATTAACCCAAAGTCTGGTGTGAATAGGGAATATATCCGCTCAATTCTTCTTTTGAATAACCAAAACTATTATAAAATCCAAAATAAGCATTCGGTTCTCTGCATATTTCACACATCCCGTTATTTCTACTAACACAAGATCTTTTGTGGGATGGGATATATCGGTCCACTCCTACTGGTGCCTCCCGCACAAAGGGTCAAAATGTTGAATATCCATGAAGCTCATAAAACGCGAAATTAACATCCGACTCCATTCAGACTTGGCATATCTCAATATATCCATGAACAAAAGGTCTCTTATAAAGATGTTAGAGATTGGACCATTTCTTCTGGTACCTCCTCCACAAAAAGGGTCAAAATTTTGAATATCCAAGGAGCTCATAAAACGCGAAATTAATATCCGATTCCATTCAGACTTGGCACATCTCAATATTTCTATCAGCACCAGATCTTTTACAAAGATGGTAGAGATCGGACCATTTCATCTGGTACCTCTCCCACATAGGCTTTATATCTCATAAAAAGTGAAGGAAGTAACCATTATAGGCCAAACCTGACTGGTAGAAATATTTATTTATTTAGGTCCGATACGAAATTGACAATATAGGCCCATTTCTTCGGAACCCACTTCAAACAGGGTCAATAACTTTAATAATCATTACAAAAGTCAAAATATATTTAATTAATCGAATATTGGCTGAGGGTCTACATCTATCGGCAAAACCGATTGATACTTTTTAACTTGTTCTTTTTATCTTCAGTACGTCCTTACAAGGACAGATTTTATTGTGCGCATTAAGGTGTCCAATTGCCCTATTCTTCACAGAATGTCTTTTAAAGGCCTCTCCTTCCCCACTTAAAATTTAGCCGTTTTCTCATCAACTTCGTTTTACCTATTTTAGTTTATTTCGTTTATTATTCGTTATTACAAAAAGAAGAAAAAAAAAAGGCTTTCTTAAAATTCGTTAACAGCCACCTCATATCGCCTTTCTTATTTTTCCCAATTTACCGCCACACTGGCTGCAGTAGAGGCCCTTTGTGTTCCACTCGCCATTGCAGCCACACCAGGTACAGAGACAGCACAGCCAAAATATCGGAAATATACTACAAGAGAAATAACAACAAAAACAATCAAATAAATAATTTGAAATAAACAGTTTCACATGACGACGCCATTGTCATCTGTCAAAACACAAAAATTCAAGATTTTTTCTCATTTTCTCTCTCTCTCTCTCTCTCTCTCTTGCCTTCTAAATTGACTTACCATGACAACAACGATAGACAACAAGTGGCATCTTTACAGGTGGCGCCACGCATGACACAGGCATTGGCATTCTGATTGCACAGCGGACATTTGATTTTGAACGATGACGGACCGACGGCATAGTAACGTACTCGCGGCTTCTCTTCCTTTCCCGCCGCCCGCTGACTTTGTAATTGTTTGACACTGACCGCCGAAACTACTGCCTCATCGATATAGGGTAAATCAATGTCTGTGGCACCCTCAACACCGTTATCGTCTTCCGAGTCGTTGACCACCACCAAATTTGCCACGACATTGCCGTTACTGCTGTCGCCACCCTTGGCCGGAACTAGTCGCAATTTGATGGGACTTTGTTTGACATCTATCGTCGTCGTATCCATAACTCCCGCCGCCACGTGTTGCCGAACCACACAGTTAAAGTTGCACGCGTTTACTAAGCGCCGAGTACAATAATTACTGGTCACGAAGTGTACTGCTACAATACAACTCACAGCACAATTGGGGCAAGTTAACAGATCAAAACGAAAAAAAAAAACAGAAACAAACAAATTGCACAGATCATACGTAGTCAAAATTTTGCTCACCGATTCTCTTTTGCTCTTTGTTGGGTTTTGAAAGAGTAATTCTTAAGAGAATTCAAAAAGAACGTTGCTGCGCCAAATTTCCACTTATTTAATAATTTTCAAACAAAACCGGCAAGAAAAGTAGGGCAGGGCCGACTATGTGATACCCTACACCACTATGCATATTTAGTAGAGCTCCCGTAACAAAAGAATTTATTTGAAGTAGATCATATCACCTATCAACGTGCGACTGTAGAGCAGTTATAATTTGGTTTCAGAGGGGAAGTCATATCCAATTCTGAATCGGTTTTCACCGAATTTGATGGAGACATTTTTATCTTTTATACCAAATAAAATTGCTATAGGGTGCATGATATCACTTCGAGAAGGATTATATTGAAACAAGTAAAAAAGCTGAAAATACCCTCAACGAATTTGGCAATTTTCAAAAAAAAAATCGTTAAAAATTCTGTTAAAAAATACCGAATAAAGCCGCTATATTAGGGTCTATATGACGACGTGGACCTGCATTGGCAACTTTTGTTATAAGCCATTAAAATATTCAAATGCGAAACTCGAAAAAAAATTAAGTAAATAATCATCAAAATACCGAATTTCGGGCGGTACTTATATGAGGGCTATACGAAGGCGTAGATTTGCACGGACAATTTTCTGTCATAGGCTGTAGTATCCATTACGACCTTCAAATACCAAATTTGAAACAATTCCCGTGAAGAATGTCGCTAAAATCATCGAAATACCGAATATCGGGAGTTACCTTTAAATGGGGGCTATCGAAGGCGTGAACGTGAATGGACAATTTTTTTTAAAGGCCGTAGTATCCATTACGAACTTCAAATACCAAATTTGAAATATTTCGGGTGAATAATTTCCATAAAATCATCAAAATTCCGAATATCGGGGGTACCGTTATATGGGGGCTATACGAAGACGTGAACCTGCACGGACAATTTTCTGCCATAGGCTGTAAGATCCACTACGAACTTTAATTACCAAATTTGAAACATTTCCGGTGATTAATGTCGCTAAAATCATAAAAAAAACCCGAATATCGGGAGGTACCGCTATATGGAGGCTATACGAAAACGTGGACCTGCACGGACAATTTTCTGCCATAGGCCATTACGAACTTCAAATACCAAATTTGTAACATTTCCGTTGAAAAATGTCGCTAAAATCATCAAAATACCGAATATGGGGAGGTATCATTATATGGAGGCTATAGCAAAACGTAGATATACATGGCCCATTTTCAATACCCAAAGTCCTGCAGACATAATACACATTTGAGTAAAATGTTATTAACCTACTTCATTTCGTTCGAAAGCTAGAGTGATTTTCACAGACAGACAGACATCACTTAATCGACATAGAATTATATGCTGACTAAGAATATACAGGGTGAGATAAAAAAAAACTGCAACAAAGTCAAAGGCCATAATTTTTACATTTTTTAATTTTTTCTTAATTAAATCAAAAAATCGGAAATGGCATCAAATTTTAGAATAAATTTAGATTTGTTCGAATTGGTTATCTTTGGTACGAATTATGGCCTTCAAACGGCCAAAGAACCCGTCACACGCTGCCCGAAAGTTGCTCTGCGGTATTTTGGCCCATTCCCGGGGAAGCGCTTGCTTGAGTTGATCGTATTTTTAGTGTCAACCTTGCTTTACAAAATACTCCAGACACAATAGTCCAACGGATTGGTATCCGGAGATCTTGGTGGCCATTGTGCGTTGGAAATGGACAATTTTGTAACCATTCTTGGGTGAAGCGTTCTGATTGCGATGGTGCTGAATCCTGTTGGAATGTCTCAGGTCTGCCGCCAAAATGTTTGCGTGCCCAAGGCTTTAATATACCCTTCAGAATATTTTCGCGATAATATTCGGCATTTATTCTGATACCACGGTCGATTAATACGAGCGGATAGCAACCATCGGCTGTTATGGCGACCCACACCATCACCATGGCTGGCTTGAGGCTTGAGTTGTGGTGGCCAACCGGTGGTGTACATTTTCAGCTGTCCTCTTTGGCAAGTAAACACGATAATTTTGTTTATTTACAAACTGCTGGACAACGAATGTTTTCTAATCGGAGACCGAGAAAATCAAATTCGGCTGTTCACCACTTTCTTCCAAGCGAGGCTACTCTTTAGCTCTTTTGAGTCTATTTTCTTCCTGTTGCGGTGTAAGTTCTTGCACTTTGTGGAATTTCAATGGCCTTACTACGAGCTCATTTTTCAATATTTGCCGAATGAAATGTTGCGATATGTTCAGCTGACGAGCCATTTTTCGGCCACTTCGACGCGGGTTCCGATCGCTTCGTCGCTTCTTTGCTTTTCGAACCATTTCTGCTGATGTTGCTGTTCTCTTTCGTCCACTTCCTTGATGTCGGGCTACGGTAGCGAGCGATGGTACGAGACACAAAAGATTTATTCACATTTAAATGCTGGAGTGCTCTAACGATAGCCACTTGTGGTTCTCCAGCCAAATATAAAGAAATCACACTAACGCGCTTGAATTCCATCACCAATAACTTTTTTCCGGAAAATTCTCACCAAAATGATTTTGTACGCTTGTAAACAATATAATAAGCTGTCACTGGAATAATTTTAACATCTGTCGGACAAGTGGCTTAGAAACGACAGCAGTCGGAAGTTGTTTTTTTCATCCCACCTGTTTTAGCCATTATTTGCACAATAAACCTGAAATCGGATTATCGACATATATGGGAGCTATATCCCAATCTTAGCCGATCTCGATAAAATTTGTCAGTGTATTTTCGAGCTCTATAAGATATCTGGTACCAAATATCATTGCTGTCGGATACATATTACGGATGATACATTTATAGGGAAGTTATAGCAATATATGAACCGCTTTTCACCAAGTTTGATGTACTTGCTTCTAGACTGAGTTCGGTCGGACGTGTCGACCATATCACTTGAACTTATATTGGTCATTTGGTGCACAATTAACCCCAAATCGGTTGAAGATATATATGGAAGCTATATATAAATCTGAACGGATCTAGATAACATTTGGCAGAGGTAATTCTGGGCTGTATCTGATATCTGTTACCAAATAATATTCTTGTGGAGTGCATATTACGAATGTGAGGGACTTTAACACCAAATCGGATGAAACATATATATATGGGATCTGTAACTATATTTAAATCAATTTTCTCCAAACTTGATTTCGGACTTGCCTAAATTCAGGACAATTTGTGCATAACTAACCCGTAATAGGTTGAAGATATATATACGAGCTATATCTAAATCCAAACCGATCTTGGTAGATGTTGGCAGAGGTATTTCTGGGCTGTATTTGATATCTGATACCAAATATCATTTCTGTGTAACGCATATTACGAATGTGATGGACTTAAACACCAAATCGGATAAAACATGTATACGGGAGCTATAGCTATATCTGAACCGATTTTTTTTACAAAATTTGATGTATTTGCTTTTAGCCTGAATTCGGTCTGAAGTGCCACAATTCACTCCATTTGGGCTGATATTAGTCGTTTGGTGCACAATTAACCCGAAATCGGTTGAAGATATATGTGGGAGCCATACCTAAATTTGAACCAATTCTCACCAATTTCAAAGGGATTCGTCCTTGGGACAGACAAATATTGTTTGGAAAATTTCATCTTAATCGGATAATAAATGCGACCCGCATTTTGTTCACAAAAATACATGGTCAGACGGACGAACATACGGACTGCCATGCATAAATCGTCTCAGAATGTGATTCTATGCAGATCCTCAAAAGTAAGCATGGGTCTATCTCGCTTCATTCTCCATGTTACAAACAAAAGCACAAAGACATAATACCCTTACCACTATGTGACATAGGGTAAATTAAATTAACAAAAACAATATTTTAGAGAAATAATTGTTGAAATTTATTCGCATGTGTCTGTTTATTTATGTTTTAATCATGTCAGAGAATAAGAGACATAAACGCCAGCCTGCATAATAGCTTCCAAAAAATTTTGAGTTTTTTTTTTTAGAGAGGAAATTGTTCAAATCATTTGCCGGAAAATCTATGCTGATACTCTCCGCCCAAAATCTTTGTTTGATGTCTGAGAGCATTCTCTTATATTAACTCTCTTTTAGAGAATTTTAGTTTAAGAGCAACCGTAGCAACTCTTAAGAGAATGAAAAATTATTGTCAATCGTTGTATGCGTTATATTGTGGCGTAGCGTATTTTAATGCTATTAACTTTGAGTATATTTTAAATAATTAAAAATTAAATTCATCTATTTTTGTTCGGATTATGACGAGAGAGCATTTTATGAGTACAAGTGTACCAGCAATAACAACCTATTGCTCTTCGTGGGTATGACGATTTCTCCTATGATTTTTGAGTAATGCGTGAGATCACTTTTCAGGAATTTACAAGAGATTTACAATGATGACGAAATTAAAATAGTATTCTTCTTTTTTAATGGTTTTGTTTGAGATATTTGAGATTCTAAGGCATTGCACGAATTCGGTGAATTTGAAATTTGGATTTCCGCTAATTGAAATAAAATAGATGAGGGAGATGACTCAGAATACCAGTCAAAATAGTATAAAATCACAGTATTTTCTGTGCGAACATGGATTATATCGCTTATTAAAATAAAGAGTGTTTCAAATCTTCGTTTTCGGGAAAAAAAATAATTTTAAGTTATTGATTAAAAGTTTACTTCTCCAATGAATAAGAATCTTACCGAAAAGGTATTTTTTAAGTATTTAAGTGTATCACAAACTACGTTTTATTGATTTTTGACAAACTTCAAGTAAACAAGCCGACAGAGGTATACCCTCAGCCAATGTTCAATTATTTAAATATATTTTCACTTCAAAATAACTATTCAAATTGTTGACACTCTGTGTAGTAGGTTCCGAGGGTATGAGCCAATATTGTCCATTTTGTATTGGACCTAAATAAATATGATATAAATATTGCGACGTGCCCGGTTGGGACTTTATCGACTATTTCCTTCACTTAATATGAAATATATGATATGTTTAGAAAATTCCAAAATGTCAGGTACCAGGTATAGTCGACCGAAGTATTCCATTTTCATATTTCATTTAATACAAATAAAAATATTGGAATTAGCAAAATTTCAAGAAATTCGAACATTTATATCCAATTTATGGATAATCATAAATTCCCTATTCATCTCGGGTTTCTGATTGAGAAAAAATTTTAGATATAGCAAACTTGCACAGAATCGTTGACTTGTTTCTCATGTTATGACAGACTAAAGTATTGAAAATTGTGACCCTTTATGGGTGAGGTACCAGAAAGTGCTCGCAGATTTATATATGTACATCAACTTCACAAGGGATCTTGTGTTAGCAAATATGTTTGTATGTTTGAAATTTGAAGAGAACCGTATGCTTATTTCGCGCTTTATGAGAGTTTTGTTTATCTTGAACCCAATGTGGGGGAGGTACCAGACCCTTTGTGGTGGACCGATATATCCCAACTTCACAGCAGATCTTGTGTTAGTAGAAGTATTGAGAAGTCTGAATTTTGAAGAGAATAAGATGCTTATTTTGCTTTCTTTGAGCGTTTTGTTTTTCAAAATCTTGAAGCCTATGTGGGGGAGATACCAGAAGAAATAGTACGATCTCTACTATCTATACAGCATATCTTGTGTTGATAGAAATATCGAGATTTACCAAGTGCGATTGGAATCGGATGTTAATTTCGCATTTTATGAGCTTCATGGATACTCAAAATTTTGACCCTTTGTGGGGGAGGTACCAAAAGGAGTGGACCGATACATTCGATCTTCACAGCAAATCTTGTGATAGAAAACACGTCTATGTGTGTGAAATTTCAAGAGAACCGGCTGCTTATTTCGATTTTTATAATCATTTTGGTTATTCAAAGCGTTGACCCTTTGTGGGGGAGATACCAGAAAGAAGGAAGGTCCGATCTCTACCATTTTTATAACAAATCTTGTGTTGATAGAATTATTGAGATGTGCCAAGTCTGAATGGAATCGGAACCATTTCGCGTTTTATGAGCTTCTTCACACCAGGTGGGCTAGCACTGATGCAAATATTAGGACTTGCAGAGTTGGGGCAAAATCGGATTATCCTTTCTCTGTCTGTACTGTAAAATGTTTTTTGGAAAATTTCGACCTTTTGTGGGGTATGTACCAGAAGGAGTGGACTGATATTGTCCATCCTCAAACTCTATCTCAGTTTGACAATAATATTACGATGTACCAAGTTTGAACCAAATCGGATACTCCCTTCGTAAGTTATCGTGCGCACCAGCCAAACAGACAGACGGACATTGCTAGATCGACTCCAAATTTCCGGAACCTCATTTGGTCCAAAGAGACCTAGAGTCTAAAGCCGTTATTTCAATGAGGCACGTTTTCGCCGTTTCAAATTTACCCTCTGTAGCCATGTGGCTGAAGGTATAGAAAGACCTATAAAAGATCTGCTATAAATAGAATGTCTAAAAACTACAGAAGTGCCTTTTCAGATCTTCTAGCTGTGGATTAAAAAATTAACAAATTTTAATAAATCACTGACCCCAGAAAAAAAAGTAAAAAAGCAGTTTAGTTCGGCCGGGCCAAACTTTTAATGCCACCCACCATTTTGAAGAAAATTGAGAAATTTCCAAAAATTTCCGTCGACTCGTTATATGGGGCCTTAGGAAGACATAGGCTTTAGTACCCATTACGTACTTTAAATACGAAATTTAAAACAATTCCAGTCAAAAATATCGGTAAAATCATCCAAATACCGAATAAGGGGAGGTGCCATTACGTGTGGGCTATATGAAGACGAAGGACCCACATAGGCAATTATCCGTCATAGGTTATAGTACTCATTACAAGCTTCAAATACGAAATTTAAGATAATTCAGGTGATTAATGTTGCTTAAATCATCAAAAAACCGAATATCGAGAGGTACCGTTGTTTGGGGGCTATACGATATCGTGGAGCTATAAATACAATTTTCTCCGGGATGGTGTTTATTTTCAGACAATTCCATTGAAAAATTTGCTATAATCATAAAAATACCGAATATTGAGAGGTAACGTTATATGGGGAATATACGATATCGTGGACCTTATATTATTGCCGTTATATGTGGGCTATATAAAAACGTGGACCTACATAGACAATTTTCCGTCATATGTTATAGTACTCATTACGAGCTTCAAATGCGAAATTTGAAATAATTCCGGTGAATAATGTGTTTAAAATCATTAAAATACCAAATATCGGGAAGTACCGATCGGGAAGTGCTTTTACGAAGACGTGGTCCTGCATACGCAATTTTTTGTCATAGGCTATAGTACCCATTATGAACTTTAAATACGGAATTTAAAACAATTCTGGTTAAATATGTCACTAAGATCATTAAAATACCGAATATCGGAAAGGACCGTTATATGGGGGATGTACAATGAAGAATACTTTTTCAGGAAGTAAAGTACTCACAAAGAACACCTAGTGTAGAATTTCAGACAATTCCATTAAAAAATGTGGCTAAAATCATCAAATAACGAATATTGGGGGCATTGTTATATAAGGGCTATATGATATCGTGGACCAATGTAGCCCATCTTTGTTGTTGACCTGCCTGAAGACAAAAGACTGAATGACTGATTTTTAGCTTCCTATCTTAATTCGTTTTGACTCTAGCCTGATTACAACAGACGAACAGACGGGCGGACGGACCGGGCTAAATCGTTTTAGAATTTTACGCTGATCAAGAATATATATACTTTGTTGGGTCTAAGCTTATTATTTCGACGAACTTAGTATACCCTCCATACTATGTAGAGTGGAGGGTATACAAATCCTCGAAATTTTTTTAAAATGAAGTCCTTAAAAATATCCATGGTTTTGGTAAAGAAATCCTTGATCAGCATCAACACAGTGCTTAAAGCGTTCCTCATAAATTAAATCTTAGAAATGTACCTATTAAGCCTACATATTTTGGGGAGGAAGTCCAAAAAAAGTTCACCCAAAATTTACTATTCTATATATTCTACGAATTTTTATATTTTCTTGGCTCTCACCTATGATTCTTTAAGTTAAAATATAAATTTATATTCCTTTTTTCTCCGAGAGAAAATTCATAATATTTGCTCATGCTACACACAATTATTTTCTTCAGACAATACATTTTTTTAATCCGACACATATTGATAAATAAACAAATATATGTTTGGTCTATGTATAACAAGCGATGATGTATTGAACTCAAAATAAATAAAATGATATACAAAATATTTAACAAAAAATTATTATTTCAAAATCAAAATAAAGAAAAAATGTTTTTTCTTCTCAAAGTTGCGTGGCATTGTTTGGCACAGTGGTTGCACCATAGGGCGAAGTCTGACCCGACTGCTGTTGTTCCCTCAAATTGTTTGTGGCCCGATCCACCATATTATCGACCATGTGATTTATTTCCAATTCCATTCGCTTCGCTCGCAACATGCGTCGTTCGTTCCAACCCAACGAAATGTAGCGGCCAATGTAGCAGCCACACTCGGAACAGAAGTGATTGTAATCGAAGCGGCCTTCCCATTTAATGGCATCTTTGCTGTAGGGGAGAGAAAGAACAGAAATAGATATTTTTTTATGAAAAAAAATCATAGATCTTTATACAGGGTCCATATCAGTCCACAAAAGTCAGGTTTTAAATGAAGGTATACGGAAGGAAATTTTTAAAGAAAAAAAAAAACTACAGAAAGTGTAAAAAGGGTATAAATAGGGGACTTCCAGAAATCGAAGACCAGCAAAGGTTTCTCCTAACAATAAAAGCTATATAAAACGTCCTCTGATGAGATATTTTAAAAGATTTCTATCTTTAGAGAACCTATGGAATGTTCCTTATAAATAGAGGACCTGTAGCAGGCCTTTTATCCATGGAAGATGTTTTTAACTTAGACGACTTCTTCTAATCGTAAAGATATAAGGAAGATATTGGTTGGATTTAAGTATATATTCAATGGATCTTTTACAGGGTGAGATAAAAAAACTGCAACAAAGCCACAGGCCATAATTTTTACATTTTTATACCCTCTACCATACATAGTATTAAGGGTACATTAAGTTCGTCATTCCGTTTGTAGCTGATCGAAATAATTATTTTAGACCCAACAAGGTATATATATTCTGGATCAGCGTAAAATTCTAAGATGATTTAGCCATGTCCGTCCTTCCGTCTGTTGTAATCACGCCACCGTCAAAATTTAGATAGGAAGCTATAATTTTGCAATTTCTGCATGCAGGTCAAGTTTGAAGATGGAATTATCTGAAATTCCACATAAGGAGTTCCCTGTAAGTACTTTGTCCCCTGGAAAAAAATTATCTACATATAGGTCCACGATATAGAGGTACTCCCCGATATTCGGTATTTTGATGATTTTAGCCACATTTTTCAACGGAATTTTCTGAAATTCTACGCAAGAAGTTCTTTGTGAGTACTTTATATATTGTACTTGTCTATATGTCGGCACCTTCCGATATTCTACCCAGCCGAACTTACAGTTTTTTGATTTTTTTTTAAATTTTATTGAATGAAAGCAAAAAATGTCGGAAATGGCATCAAATTTTAAAATAAGCTTAGATTTGTTCGAATTGGTCACCTTTGGCACGAATTATGGCCTTCAAACGACCAATGCAACCGTCACAAGCTGCCCGAATGTTGCTCTGCGGTATTTTGGCCCATTCCCGGCGAAGCGCTTGCTTGAGGTGACTGACACTTTGGTATTTTTTAGTGCCAACCTTGCTTTCCAAACTACTCCAGACACAATAGTCCAACGGATTGGTACCCGGAGATTTGGGTGGCCATTTTGGTGGCTGGAAATGAAGCGAGGAACCTCATTTTGTAAAAATTCTTGAGTGGCGCGTGCTTAGTCCTGTTGGAATGTCCAAGGACTGCGGCCAAAATGTTTGCATGTCCAAGGCTTTAATACACCCTCCGCGATAATATTCGGCATTCATTCTGATGCCACTGTCGATTAATACGAACGGAGAGCGACCATCGGCAGTTATGGCGGCCCACACCATCACCATGGCCGGCTTGAGGCTTTTGTTCTGGTGGCCAACCGAAGCTGCACATTTTTTAACTTTAACAGCTGTCGGACGAGTGGCTTAGAAATGACAGCAGTCTGAAGTTGGTTGCAGTTTTTTCATCTCACCCTGTATTAGGATCTTTTTTTATTGGCGAACTGGTAAAGGTAGATCAGTTTTATAAAATTCTGGGTCGAAGTAATAAAGTTTTTGCGCTTTTCACATTATTCAATAATCAATTGCTGAATTAAATTCTCAGCAACATTCTCTTCTTCTCAAACATATGGATGTTCATCTGTTCTCATTTTGGTCGATCCTGGTCTAAACCGAACACAAAGAGAGTGTGGACACACACACTTTTCCCTTTTAAAGTACTCCAATTTCTTTACTTCTCAGCTCCCATGTCTACCCAGAATCTTCGTTTTTTGCCCCGGCCAAAGTTCTTTTGGGGGAATCTCCACTTCGTGGTTTTTGATTCGTTCTTCTTCTACACTTTAGTAGGTTATTTAATGCTCTTGTTCATTTTTAGGGTTTCACACAGCTCAGCGACGGAGTAGAAGAAAGTCTCAAAGACTTCCAAGGAGCATCCTGCTTAGGCACCTTACTTTCTGTCCGATTGATCCTAATCTTGCGCCCTCGAATCCCTTAGGCAAAGAATTCACGACGATCTTTTCTAGAAGACTTTTGTTTCTAAACTTTGGAAGATTCGATCCTCTTCTTAGAGAAATGATCCCCTTCGTCGCTACTAACGCCTTACAAACAACCTGCTTTGATGCCTTTTCTCTTACCCTAACCTTACCTGTTTCCTATCCAAACTTAAAGCATTTGAAGACTATAGTCTTATATAGCTTTTATAAGATCTGTGTTTCGTTCCGTTTAAATTCGCAGTTGTCTGTCCTTCAAGTTATATGATTGTCTACAGCGTATCCAAGTGAGTGGAGTGCTGCAAAAACCTAGGGAGCATCCTGTTGTGTAATTGCACTCTTTTCTCCGTTCATTCTAATCGGGGCCCTTTGTGAATTCCCCCTGAACTTCTCGGTCAACTCGTCGCTTATTTCCCGTAGGCCGCCTATTTGTAGTGTAAAAGTCGAAACCAACACAACCTAGTCTGGACGAGATCGGGTATAAAGACATTGTCCCGTCAGCAAAGAACCTCCACTTTTTTGAGTTTTTAAAGCTCTGCACCGAAGTATTATGCAGCCTTAAAAATCAATCAGTTAAATATCAATTTCGGACTCTCTTCGGACTTTCTTGGATTTTCCCTTCAGCGAAAACCCCGTTTTTGACTTGTCATACCAAAATCGGTTTAAATCGAAAAGAAAAGAAATAAAACAGATAAAAAGACATTAAGTTCGACCGGGCCGAACTGCTTATACCCTCCACCATTGGATAAAGAAAACATTTTTATGCAAAAGTATTTGAATTCAAACGTGTTGCACTTTTAACTACTAACTCCAGTAAGATCGGTTGGAGAATGGCTTGTGCTGTTATATGAGGGCCATACGAAGCCTTTACAGACAATTGTATACGATTGTAATCTATTGCGAGTCTTAAATACCAAATTTTACATAATTTCGTAAGTAAATGTAACTAGGATGACTAGGTCCATATTGGTGCTATGTTTTGACGCTGGTTTACAAAAATCTGTTAGAAAATGTGGCTTAAATCGTGAAAATACCGATGGAACCGTTATATGTGCGCTACGACCAGAGTTAGAACCCATTACGAATTTTTAGACAAATCCATAGAAAAATGGGAGAAAAAAATTCATTTAAATTCCGAACATCGGGAGGTACCGTTTTACGGGGGCTATACGAAAACGTGCACCTATATGTACAATGTTCCTCCATTGGATCTACAACCCTTTACGAACTACAAATACGTTTTTTTGGCAAATCTGTTGAAAAATGTGGCAAAAGTCTTCCGATGGAACCGTTGTATGTGCGCTATAGAAAAAACGTAGACCTAGATATTCCATGTTCTGCCACCAGAGCTAGAACCCATTACGAACTAAAAATAAGAATTTTTAGACAAATCCATAGAAAAATGTGAGAAAAAAATCCATTTAAATTCCGAACATCGGGAGGTACCGTTTTACGGGGGCTATACGTTTTTTTTTTAGGCAAATCTGTTGAAAAAAGTGGCAAAAGTCATGAACATACCGAAAATCGGGAAGTACCCTTATATGGGAGCTATACGAAAACGTGGACCTATATATACAATATTCCGCCACCGGAACTAGAACCCGAAACGAACTACAAATTCCAATTTTTAGGCAAATCCCTGGAAAATGTGGCTAAAACCATCAAAATACTGAATATCGGGAGATACCGCTATATGGGGTCTATCCCAAATTTTAAACTCAAATAATGTGAGCTGTATCGTGATTTCAACATGAATATATACCTTACGATCATACATATATACGTTTTGGAGAGTATTTCCAAGAGACCTCAAGAATCTCTTCCACTTTAAGTAACTATATAAAAAGTCTTCTGTAAATATCAAAAAGATATTCTGCCTATAGGGAACCTGCAAGGAACCGTCTATTTTTATACCCTCAGCCATATGGCTACAAAGGGTATATATCATTTGATACGGCCAAAACGTGCCTAGTCGAAATAACGGTTTTAGACCCTAGGTCTCTTTGGACCAAATCCGTTTCAGAACATTTGGAGTCGATCTAGCGATGTCCGTCCGTCCGTCCGTCCGTCTGTCTGTCTGTCTGTCTGGCTGGCTGGTGCGCACGATTACTCTCGAAGGGAGTATCCGATTTGGGCCGAATTGGCTACAACGTAATATTTTTGTCAAACTTAGATCGAGTTCGGAGATGGACAATATCGGTCCACTCCTTCTGGTAACTCCCCCACAAAAGGTCGACATTTTCAAAAAAAATATTTTTTGCACAGGAAGAGAAAGGATAATCCGAATTTGCTCCAACTTTGCAAATCCTAATATTTGCGTCAGTGCTAGGTCAGGTGTTAAAATGGGCAATATCGGTCCACTCCATCAAGTACCTCCCCCACAAATGGTCAAAATTTTGAATAATTACAACTCTCATAAAATGTTATGTAAGAGTCCGACTGTCTTCAAATTTCACACATCACAATATTTATATTAACCCAAGGTCTTGTGTTAAGATGAACAATATCGGCCCACTCCTTCTGGTACCTTCCCCACAAAAGGTCGAAATTTTCAAAAAAAAAAAAAAAACAAATTTTTTGCACAGAAAGGCTAATCCGAATTTGCTCCGACTTTGCGAATCATAATATTTGCGTCAGTGCTAGGACAGGTGTGAAAATGTACAATATCGGTCCACTCCATCAAGTATCTCCCCCACAAAATATTGAAATTTTGAGTACCCATGAAGCTCATAAATCGCCAAATTAACATCCGATTCCATTTAGACTTGGCACATCTGTCGAAATATTTATATCATATTTTGGGTCCGATAGGAAATGGGCAATATTGGCCCATTCCTTCGGGATCTGCTCAATAGAGGGTCAAACGTTTGAATAACCTTAACACTAGCCAAAATATCGAGGGTATATCTCTGGCGGAAATACCGACTGATACTTTTTAACTTGTTTAGTAATTCGTTCAAAGCCTTCATCCCATGGAACCCCTAAATAAAATCTTATTTGCATATTTGACCCGCATCTGTCATTTATTCTAATTCCCTTCTATTCTGATCCAACATACTCACCAACAGCAACACAAAGCATTTATGGCCGCCACAAACATTTGACAAAAAGTCACAGCTGTCTTATGTACCCGGGTCATGTTACGTTTATGACAGGCTGGGCAGTCGATTTCCACCGGTTCTTTCAGAAGATGACCCACATTTTTGGGAATGTCTGGTTTGCGATCATCAATAATTCGGCTATCGCGGGGATTTGTAGAACCCGCAGCAGATGCTGCAACAGCAGTGGGACTATTATTATTTGTTTGGGCCATATCGAAAATCGATCGAAGAAATTTTGCGCGTGTGGTTTGACGCCTTTGGGGGTGATGCGACACAATTTACTACACACTTGACACTGGGTGAAAAAATAAACACAAAGATGCCACGAAGTGCTTTGAAAAACTGAGAAAACATACAAAACAAAAATTCGATTTTATTTTTCTGCTTCTTTGCCATTGGGAGGGCATTTAGTCATCGGCATTAGCTCATGTTTAAGAGAGAAACGATTGTTTGGCATTATTCAAAATCGTCCGCTGATCACAAATGTCTCCCATGAAATAGTAACGAAATCCAAAAACAAAAAGAGATCATGCTGTGTGTGTTTGGTCACCGGCCAAACGCACTCAAACAATTCCACTACAACAAACAAAAAAATCCAATTAATATTTTTTTTTTAATTTCAAAATAACAAATTCTTTATTAATGAGAAAAAATTGTAAACAAATTTCGATAATAATTTATTCAAAATCGCCACCACCGGCAATAAAGGAGACGTCTACTCTACTGGGGCCGGGCATAGTAACCCAAGTGGCCACCACATTTGGTGCAGCATTTTCGATGATCCGTAACAATATCCTGGCAGCACATAGTGTACAGACACGAGAGAGTGAAGATGGGGAAACAGCTGGAAAAACAGAATGGGAAATAAATATAATATATTTTTAAAAAAAAAAATAAGATTTCATTTTTAAATCTCAAAAAAGAAATGAATTTTTTTAATTAAAAATAACGCAAATGTATGGCCACCAACGAAATGACTGAGTGGCGTACTGATTGCCTATGATGTCAATAGGCGAAGATCAAGTAGAAATGATTTGGATTTTTATTATTTTCTTAAATATGCAAAGTAAATTAAATACACATATGTGTGTATTAGGGTGTACCGAAAATAAATTGTTGATAAACATTCGATTTCTTTATAAGGGGAAAAATAATAAAAACTCTTTAGGGTTCGTAATCGTAATATAACACAAAATATGTCCTCTAGGGTGTATTAGGGTGTACCGAAAAATGTGCAAATATGAATCATATGACTATATATTAAACAAGTAAGCAAAGGCTATAGTCGTGCAGGGCCGACCATGTGATACCCTACAACACTACAATATGTTCGAAGTCTCTTTATATCCAAATCCATTTTGGAAGGTTTCGTTTTTGAAATAATGTCAAAGAGCCCTGCCCTTAGGTTTTTGATTCGGGGAATTTCGCCAATATTCACGTGCTCCATCGTGTTGTTTTCAAAACAATTTCACACAAAAATTGTAGTCCGTTTTATAGTTAAATATAATCCAATAGTCACCCAAAATGCTAGACTTCTTCCCTGTCCATAACTCTCTTCTGATGCGAAATTTCGAGAGCGACAACAAATTAGAAAAATTTAAATTTTTTAAGTGTTTGTTTTCTCTTTCGAGACGAGCTTAATGATCTGAAATTTGCAGTGAAAAGGAAAGCCAGATAGACACTATCACACACTCACCACTATGCGACGCGTTTCGCCGTTGGTTAAGCGGCTCATCAGGCATATTTGATGTGGATGATGGCTTACAAGGGCCGTTCTCTGGAAAGTAGTATATATTTCGAACTTATTGCAAATTAGCATATGCGAATTATACACTAGAAATTCTCCAGGTTCGACTCAAGTTCTATTGGCAGATCTTTTTCACAGCAACGTTTTGTTTTTGTAGTGATGGATTTTTTGTCCACAACAACTACATTGCTTCCAATGCATACACTTGTTTTAGTGCTGCTTTAGGAAGACGGGTTAATGGCTCTGAACGTAGAGACGGCAACTTCTAGTTGGCTGCAAACAGAGGTCCGCGGTTCAAATCCCACAGCCAGGCTCGGCTGAATTTTTGAGTTTTGCCTTATTAAGGCGAAGATCATGTGTTTTATGATTTAAGTGTTTGTTTTCTCTTTCGAGACGAGCTTAATGATCTGAAATTTGCAGTGAAAAGGAAAGCCAGATAGACACTATCACACACTCACCACTATGCGACGCGTTTCGCCGTTGGTTAAGCGGCTCATCAGGCATATTTGATGTGGATGATGGCGTCGCATATTTAAAGTTCGTAATAGTTATTCGGCTTAAGACAAAAAAATTGGCCATGTAGGTCCACGTCTTCTTATAGCCCCATATAACGGTACCCACCGATATTCGGTATTTTGATGATTTTAGCGACATTATTTACCGGAATTATTTCAAATTTTGGAATTGAAGTTCGTAATGGATGCTACAGCCTATGACAGAAAATTGTCTGGGCAGGTTCATTTATAACCTCCATGGTACCTCCCTATATTCGGTATTTTGATGATTTTAGCTGCATTATAAACAGATTTTTTTCAAGTTTCACATTTGAATATTTGAAGGTCCAAGTCGTCGTACAGACCCTAATATACGGCGACATTCGGTATTTTTAAGATTTTAACAGAATTTTTAACGGATTTTATTTTTTTTGAAAATTGTTAAATTTTTACCAAATGGTGGAGGGTATTCAAAGTTCGGCCCGGCCGAACTTCCAGCTTTTTTACTGTCAATTTCGTGAGGGTCGGGCCATAATTGCGACCTGTAGCTTGATTACAAATTAACATGGACAGACGGACGGACGGACTTACATAGCTAGATCGACTCAGCTCGGCGAGATAGGAAGATCCATACAAACTTTCCTATGTAGGAAATCAATATTTCGAGATGTTACATAATTTTTGGCCCAATCAAACTTATAATACCCCCAACACATAGTGTTGTAGGGTATGAAAATTAATATTAACTTGTAAATCCCAAGGGTATATTTTTTCTATATCAAATACTTGAGATTTCAAAAGTGTGATCTCAGGGGAGATCTAATTTTCTGTAGTAAAAATTATTTAATTGTCGAATTAAACAAGGAAAATAGTATCAGTCGGTTTTGCCGCCTGATTTACACCTCCAGCCTTGAGCTATGATTATTCAAACTATTGACCCTTTATGGGCCAATATTAACCAATTGGTATGTGACCTAAGACAGATAAAAATAGTGCAACGTTCCAGATTTGGACTATATCGACAACTTCCTTCACTTTATATGAGATATGGGCAAATTTTTGGAAAATGTGAAAATATTCGTGAGGTAACCGTTATAGCGAACCGAAATATTCCACTTAATCTAATACAGATAAAAATTTTGGCATGTGCAAAATTTCAGCAAAACGGACATTTATATCTCATTTTATGCGAAATCATAAATTTTCGATAAATTACATATTCATATCAGATTTCTGGTTAGGAGAAATATTCAGACATAGCAAGTTAAGATAAGCAAACTTGTTTCGCAGGTTATGACAGATATAGATATTGGACATTTTTACCCTTTTTGGGTGAGGTACCAAAAATGATTGACAGGTGTATATCATCTTCGCAGCAGATCTTGTGTTTGCAAACATATTTGGATGTCCGAAATTTGAAGAAAGTTGGATGCTTATTTCACAGCCTTGTGTTAGTAAAAATAATGGCATGTGTGAAATTTAGAAAAGACCGTATGCTTATTTCGGATTTTATAATGGTTTTGTTCATGCAAAATATTGACCCTTTGTGGGGGAGGTACCAAAGGAACTGGCCCGATTTTTACCATCTTAGTAACAGATCTTGTGTTGATGGAAATATTGAGATGTACCCAGTCTGAAGGGTATAGGATATTAATTCCGCGTTTTATGAGCTTCATGGATATTCAACATGTTAACCCGTGTGTGGAAGGTACCAGAAAGAGTGGACCGATATATTCCACCTTCATAGCAGATCTTGTGTTAGTAAAAATAATGTAATGTGTGAAATATGAAGAGAAGCGGATTCTTATTTTGGATTTTATGATCGTTTTGCTTATTCAAAATCTTGAAGCCTATGTGGGAAAGGTACAAAAAGAAATGGTTCGATCTTTACTATCTTCATAACAGATCTTGTGTTGATAGAAATATTGTGATGTGCCAAGTCTGAAGTCGCATTTAATGAGCTTCATGGATATTCAAAATTTTTACCCTTTATGGAGGAGTTACCTGAAGAAATGATCCGATCTCTCCCATTTTTATAACAGAGCTTACGTTGATGGAAATATTGAGATGTACCGAACCTGAATTGAATCGAATGTTACTCTCGCATTTTATGGGCTTCAAAGATATTCAAAATTCTGATTTTGTGGGGAGTTACCAGAAAGGGTTACCAGAAGGGATGGACCGATATATTCCATCTTCACACCAGACCTTGGGTTAATATAAATATTGTGATGTGAGTAATTTTAAAACAATCGGACTCTTACATCACATTTTAAAAGAGTTATAATTATTCACAATTTTGACCCTTTGTGAGAGAGGTACTTGATGGAGCGGACCGATAATTTCCATTTTCACACCTGACCTAGCACTGATGCAAGTATTAGGATTTGCAAAGTTGGAGAAAAATCGGATTATTTTTTCTCTTTCTGTGCAAAAAATATATTATTTTGAAAAGTTCGGGGAGGTTCCCGAAGTAGCGGACCGGTATATTCCATCTTAAACCAGACCTTGGGTTGATAAAAATATTGGGATGTGCGAAATTTGAAGACAATCGGACACGTACGTCACATTTTATAAGAGTTTTAATTATTCAAAATGTTGACCCTTTGTGGGGGAGAGGTACTTGATGGAGAGGACCGATATATTTTTAATTTTCACACCATTGTCCATTTTCACAAATATAAGTTATAACAAAATCGGACCATCCCTTCTCTTTCTGTGCAGTAATTTTTTTTTCTATGAAAATGTTGACATTTTTTGTGGGGGAGGTACTAGAAGAAGTGCAACGATATTGCCCATTTCCGAACTCAATATAAGTTTGACAATAATATTACGATGTACCAAGTTTGGATCAAATCGGCTACAAGCTTCGAGAGTTATCGTGGGCACTAGCCAGCCTGAGAGACGGATGGCGACGGACATCGCTAGATCGACTCCAAATGTCCTGAAACAAATTTGGTCCAAAGAGACCTAGGGTCTAAAACCGTTATTTCAATGAGGCACGTTTTGGCCATATGAAATTGTATATACCCTCTCTAGCCATATGGCTCGGTGTATAATAAAAGTGGTTGGAATAAAATCCCACATCGGAATATTTACATCAACCTTTGGTCAGTTATAATCAAAAACCAGTAAGGAAAGCTCAAAAGTCGGGCGGGGCCGACTATATGATACCCTACACCACTATGCATATTTAGTAGAGCTCTCGTAAAAAGGTTTATACAGGGCATTTCAGAGCTCTATGAGATATTTGGTACAAAACCAAAATCTATCTAATTCTATCGTGCATTTTACGAACTATAGCTATCTCTGAACCGGGTTTCTCCAAATTTTACGTATTAGCTTCTAGACTGGTGATTTGGACTGATATTGACCATTTAGTGCACATTTAACCCGAAATCGGATGAAGATATATATGAGAGCTATATCCAAATCTGAACCATTTTCAATAAAATTTAAAACAGCTATTCCTGTGCTCCATCTAATACCTGGTATCAAATATCAAGGTTGTGGAGTGAATATTACGAATGTATGGGACTAAACTCTAAATCGGATGAAACATATATATGGTTGCTATATCTATATCTGAACCGATTTTCACTAAATTTGATATACTTGCTTCTAGGTCGAACTCGGTTGGGTGTGCCAAAATTCAGGTAATTTTAACTGATAGTGGACATTTGGTGTACATTTAACCCGAAATCGGATGAAGATATATATGGGAGCTATAGCTGTTTCTGAACCGATTTTCTCCAAATTTGTTGTATTTGCTTTAGGGCTGATCTCGGTCACATGTGCCAAAATTCTGGCCATTTGGGCTGATATTGGCCATTTGGTGGTCAATTAACCCGAAATCGGATGAAGATATATATGGGAGCTATATCCAAATCTGAACCGATTTCTATAAAATTTAAAACAGCTATTTCTGTGCTCCATCTAATACCTGGTACCAAATATCATTCTTGTGGAGTGCATATTACGAATGTGAGAGGATTAAACACCAAATTGGATGAAAGATATATATGGGAGCTATAGCTATATCTGAACCGATTTTCTCCAAATTTGATATACTTGCTTCTAGGCCGAACTCGGTTGGGTGTGCCAAAATTCAGGTAATTTGGACTGATAGTGGATATTTGGTGCACATTTAACCCGAAATCGGATGAAGATATATATGGGAGCTATATCTAAATTTGATCCGATTCTCACCAATTTCAATAGGGTTCGTCCTTGGGCCAAAAAAATATTGTTTGGAAAATGTCATCTAAATCGGATAATAAATGCGACCTGCATTTTGTTCACAAGAATACATGGACAGACGGACGGACGGACAGACGGACTGACATGCATAAATCGACTCAGAAAGTGATTCTATGAAGGTTCTCAAAAGTAACTATGGGTCTATCTCGTTCCTTCTCCATGTTACAAACAAATGCACAAAGACATAATACCCTTACCACTATGTGGTGTAGGGTATAAAAATCGGATCATTTCGTCTGGTACCTCTCCCAGCAAAGAGTCAAAATTTGCAAATAATAACATTTCTACTAACACAAGGTCCACAAGGAAATCAGGATCTATTAGCTCACTCCTTCTTGCACGTCGTCCACGAAGGTCAAAGAATTAGAATTATAAAAACCCTCAAAAAAGAACAACTTTTTAAACTACATACATCTGAATATTTTTGCCAATATTGGCTTTTAATACCCTCCACCATTTTGAAGGAACTTGAAAAATTCCAAAATTGTTCGTCGAAATATAGTGGTCGTAGTACCTATTACGAGTTTCAAATACTAAATTTGCATCAATTTCGTTGAATAATGTCGCTAATTTCATCCAAGTACCAGAAATTCCGGGGGGGGGGGGGTATAAGGGGCCACACGATGTCGTGGACCTATATAGACAATTCTCTTCCAGGAGGTAAACTACTCAGAAGGAACTTCCAGGAGGTAAACTACCCAGAAGGAACTCCTTGTGTGGAATTTCAGACAATTCCATTGAAAAATGTGGCTAAAATAATTGAAATACCTCTGGAACCTTAAAACATAACTCAGATCTCCAATGTGTTACGAAAAAGGTCATCGCTAAATTTGGATTTATTCTGTAGAAAAACTTTCATTCCCCTCAATGCTCTCACTCACCACGACAGGCAGGACAACAGACAATTTAGACTATCAAAAAGACTCGAAGAACTCAAATCCACTGCATCCGATTTTTCCTTGCACAATGGGCAAATAATATTCTTGGTTTTGGGCCCGACAGAATAAAACCTCAAATAGGGTTTGCCATTATTTTCCTCTGTTTGAACTCCAGCCGCATTGAATTGGGGCACTTGACTTGGGTCCGGTGTACGGGGTGAGTCTAAACGAATTTCAACCATTTCATTTTGTGATTGTGGCTGGGGTGTTCGGGTGGCCATTTAAATGCAGCTATCGCTTTGGGCGTTTTGTCGTCCGACTGTCTTCTTATTTTAGAACGAAGCGAACTTATTTCGTTTTTGTCACAACGCGTCTTTTAACAAAACTAAAAACATTTCAAACCAAAATTCTATTCGCCGAGAGAGAGGCTAATGAAAAACCGGCAACAACAACAAAAATAGCAACAAGGCGGCAGCACTAATTTGTTTGGGGTGACGAAGGATGGTTTTTTTATTATTTTTTTTATTGGCATCAGTGTTGTTGTTGCATAGACAAGATTCACTTTTTAAGAAAAAAAAATGAATTTGGCGAATTCCCAGAATTTTTGAAAAATCTTGCGTATCCAAAGAGAGGGCGTTTGAAAATTGAAAGTGTTCGATAAGAGGAAAAGATCAAGGGAGGGAGAATAAAAATAATGATTTGAGAATTTGATGCCTCTCACAGAGATGGACACTTGAGAAAAAAATGAGATATTTTTGGTGCAAAAATAGCAACCAACCCTGATAGTCCTCGAAACACTATCCTTAACGGACAGGCTTGTTGGTATGACAGTCCTTGAAACAAATAACCTAAAAACTTTAAATAAGTTTTCTTATGTTCCACAATAAAAAATACTACAAAAGTTCTCTATAAATTTTCAAATCTCTATTTAATATTATCAAGTGCCCGCTACTTCGTCAAGGAAAAGTCCACCTTGAAATTTAAGATTCGTAAGGCTTTTTATACCCTCCACCATACTATGGAGGGTATATTAATTTTTGTCATTCCGTTTGTGATTCCTCGAAATACTCATGTCAGACCCAACAAAGTATATATATTATTGATCAGCGTAAAATTCTAAGATGATTTAGCCATGTCCGTCTGTTTGTCTGTCTGTCTATCTGTTGTAATCACGCTATCTTTCAAACAAATTGAGATAGAAGGCTAACATTTTGCACACATGTATATTTTTCCAGTAGGCAGGTTAAATTCGTAAATGGGCCATGTAGGTCCATGTTCTCATATAGCCCCCATATAACGGTACCTCCCGATATTCGGTATTTTGATGATTTTAGCGACATTATTCACCGGAATTGTTTAAAATTTGGCATTTAAAGTTCGTAATGGATACTGCAGCATAAAACAGAAAATTGGCTATGTAGGTCCACGTCTTCGTATAGCCCCCATATAACGGTACCTCCCGATATTCGGTATTTTGATGATTTTAGCGATATTATTTAACGGAATCGTTCCAAATTTGGTATTTGATGTTCGTAATGGATACTTTATCCTAAGTCAAAAAAATGAGTCATGTCGGTCCACGTCTTCGTATAGCCCCCATATACCGTAGCCCCCCGAAATTCGGTATTTTGATGATTAGAACGACATTATTTACGGGGATTGTTTCAAATTTCGCATGTGAAGTTCGTAATGGATAGTTCAGCCCATGCCAGAAAATTGTCTGTGCAGGTCCATGTCTTCGTATAGCCCCCATATAACAGTACCCCCTATATTCGGCATTTTGATGATTTAAGCTACATCATAAACAGATTTTTCTTCAAGTTTCGCATGTAAATATTGTAGTACCTTATGACAAAAGTTGCCTATGCAGGTCCACGTCGTCGTATAGGCATTCGGTATTTTTAAGATTTTAACAGAATTTTTCACGGATTTTATTTATTTATTTATTTATTTATTTATTTTTTTTTTTTTTTTGTTGTGGGAATCGCCAAATTTGTACCAAATGGTGGCCTGGCCTGGCCGAACTTACAGCTTTTTTACTTGTTAGTACTCAAATGTACAGTTCTTTCACTTTGACAAATTTTACATTTTTACATTTTAGGACTTTCAAGGCATATACAAAATCTTGAAAGTCCTAAAATGTACGATGTATGAAGTTTGGATTAAAAATTTTGTCAAACTGAACAAATTGTGCGTTTGAGTACTAAAAAGGCCTTATACGAACTTTTGGAATCAATCTTAAACTTTAAGGTGGACTTTTTATTATTTAAGTTTTTCCAGTTTTGGAGAGAATAATTGGAAAATATGTAGATTTTACACCAAAAAGTCTTCAAAATGTAGCATCTCGAAATTTACCGAGCAGGATATTAGTAAGACCATTGGAAAATGGACCCATATCCAATTTTTCTGTCCAAAACTATTTCAACGTCTCCATATGCAAACCCCGAAAAATCAGAAGTTGACTTCAATATCAAATTTCAGGATACCGGCTTTATATTTTCTCCCATTAACAAATTCGAGCTCGTTTTTTATTAAATTTACATTTGTAACAATATATAATAAAGGTCGAATTAAATATCTAAAAATCAAATAATCAAATTCAGTAATATATAGTACGCATTTTCAGAAAAATCTATATCTCTTCAGTACCATTTAATGTTTTTTTTTTTCGAACAATTATAGTACGCAAAACCACCTCCACATCTACTCAACACCAGATAGCAAGACCTCAATATCAAATTTAAAGATACCAGCTCTATTCCTTCACCCAATACCAAATTAAGTACAATTTAGTACTTTTCGTGCACTTTTAGTACACATATCTAAAATCACCTCCACATCTACTCAACACCTGATAACAAGACCTCAATATCAAATTTCGAGATACCAGCTATATCTTTTCACCCAATACCAAATTAAGTACAATTTAGTACTTTTCGTGCACTTTTAGTACACATTTCCAAAATCACCTCTACATCTACTCAACACCAGATAGTAAGACCTCAATATCAAATTTCGAGATACCAGCTCTATTCCTTCACCCAATATCAAATTAAGTACAATTTAGTACTTTTCGTTCATTTTTAGTACACATTTCCAAAATCACCTACATAACTCAATTCCAGATAACAACAAAGATCTCAATATAAAATTTGATGATTCTAGCCCTATCCCTTCACCCAATACCAAATTTAGTACTATTTAGTATTTTTCGAACAATTATGGTACACATGTCTGAAACCACCTCCATATCTTATCCACAGATACCAAAATTGATATCTATATCATATTTCAGGATTTCAGCTCTATACCAAATTTAGTACCATTTAGTACTTTTCGTACAAATATAGGACGCATTTCCATAAACGCCCTACTTTTCCCAATCCCAGATACCAACAGAGACCTCGATATCAAATTTTCAGTATTCCAGCCCTATCTCTTCACCTAATACCCAATTTAGAACTTTTCGTGCAGATATTAGACGCATTTACAAACCACCGCCAAATCTGAAACACAGACACCATCAATAACTTAAACATCAGGATTCCGAATTTTATCTCTATTCCTTCATTCTATACCAAATATAGTACTTTTCAGTACATATTGTACAAAATATAGTACTGTTCATGCACTTGTAGTACATTATTCCAAAACCAGTTCCATATCTCAATCCAATATACCAACAGAGACCCCATACCAAATTTAGTACTTTTCGTACGAATATAGAACGTGTTTCCAAACCACCGCCAAATCTCAAATCTATACTAGCATAGCATAATTATTGATACCCTTTTATGCGATTTTTTTACATTTTATTCCTTTATGACAAGAGGGCATTCTGAATTGACAAAATTTGTCAAAATCGGTTCAGCCATTCTTGAGATATAACCATTCTAACTTACATCCCCTTCCTTTGTATATACACATTGTATATATTTCGCTATATATAACCGATATATTTACTATCGGCATCTATGTAACAGTCAGAATTGACCTGTTCGTCTATTTGTGATTTCGCCGGGATTAAAAATATTCGCGGTTGAATGGAAATTTTGACTTTTATTTAACACAAATGTTGTGGCTTATTTCACCCACTAAATATTACCCGATGACCATCAAAATTGGAAGGCTTCTGCCCAGCCCTAAGCTCTAGCGCCATGCTAACTTCCGCGTCGATTGGTCTACAATTGCGACCTTTAGAGCAACTGCAAAATCAGGATTTTTTTCAGTTTTTGGTCCATTTCAACCCCTAAATATTATGCGATTATCTCCAAAAGAAATAGGGTTCTATTCTGACCCTAGCCCCACCTCCATTCTAAATTTCGTGAAGATCGGGCCATAATTGCGGACGGACATACATAGCTAGATCGACTCAGCTCGGCGAGCTAGGAAGATCCATATATACTTTCCTATGTGGGAAACCAATATTTCGTGGTGTTACATAATTTTTGGCCCCATCAAACTTATAATACCCCCAACACATAGTGTTGTAGGGTATAAAAATAAAAAATACCAAAGTGTCGATTACATCAAGCAAGCACTTCGCCGGGAATTGGCCAAAATACCGCAGAGCAACATTTGGGAAGCGTGTGACGGTTTTGGCAGTTTGAAGGTCATAACTCGTGCCAAAGGTGACCAATTATTCTTATTCTAAAATTTGATGCTATTTCCGAAATTTTTTGCTTTCATTTAATAAAATAAAAAAAGTAAAAATTATGACTTTGTTGCAGTTTTTTTATCTCACCCTGTATATATAGATTAGATTACCGCCCTCCTTTGTCTTATCAATGAAATGCTTCCTTTTTCCATTTCATTTCCTCAATTTGCACCAAACGCAAGAGGCCAATTGCAAACAATTTCCAAGATGAGCCACTTGAGAAAAATAAAACTTCAAATTGTTAATAGGCCTCTTCATTTTGTTACTGTTATTTATTTCATCTTTTGTACCGTTAATTATTATTACGATTTTGGTAAATAAATTTAATAACAAAAACTTAACTTTTTTGCACCATTGAAATACTTCTGCTGGAAAACAAAAACTGCACTTGACTTTTACCATACCAAGTGGTGGGGCTGCATCATGAATGGTCATGGCCAAGTTAACGCCAATGGATAATTCAATTGTTTAGAAAAAAATACCAGACCAGACAAACAAAAACACACAGACACAAATTTTGTGGAGATACGAAAAAAACTCATAAACAATTACAATTTAAAAAATTATGATTATTTGCCAAATCACTGCAAGGTGTAGGTGATATTTTTATATGTTTTGTATTTTTTTTTAACCTCCACCATAGCATGGAGGGTATATTAAGTTTGTCATTCCGTTTGTAACACCTTGAAATATACACTTTAGACCCCACAAAGTATATATATGTTTGATCGTCATAAAATTCAATGTCGATTTAGCAAAGCCCGTCGTCTGTCCATCTGGGGAAATCGCACTAGCTTCCAAACGAAATGAAGTAGGTTGATCAAATGTTACTCAAATATGTATTATGTATGTAGGACTTTTGGTATAGAAAATGGGTCATGTAGCGCCACGTCTTCGTATAGCCCCCATATAACGGTACCTCCCGATATTCGGTATTTTGATGATTTTAGCGACATTATTCACCGAAATTGTTTCAAATTTTGTACTTGAAGTTTGAAATAAATAATACAGCCTATGACAGAAAATTATCTGTTCAGGTCCACGTCTTCTTATAGCCCCCACATGACGGTACCTCCCGATATTTGGTATTTTTAAGATTTTAGCGACATTATTTACCGGAATTGCTTCAAATATGGTATTTGAACTTCGTAATGGATACCAAATCCTAAAACAGAAAATGATCCATGTAGATCCACGTCTTCGTATAGCCCCCATATAACGGTACCTCCCGATATTCGGTATTTTGATGATTTTAGCGACATTATTTACCGGAATTATTTAAAATTTAGTACTTGAAGTTCACAACTAATACTACAGCCTAAGACAGAAAATTGTCTGTGCAGGTCCACGTCTTCGTATAGCCCCCCTATAACGGTACCTCCCGATATTCGGTATTTTGTTGATTTTAGTGACATTATTTACCGGAATTGTTTCAAATTTGATACTTGATGTTCGTAATGGATACTACATCCTAAAACAGAGTATGAGCCATGTAGGTCCACGTCTTCGTATAGCCCCCGTATAACGGTTCCTCCCGATATTCGGTATTTGGATGATTTTAGCGATATTATTTACCGGAATTGTTTCAAATTTGGTACTTTAAGTTTGAAATAAATACTACAGCCTATGACAGAAAATTATATAACGGTACCTCCCGATATTCGGTATTTTGATGATTTTAGCGACATTATTTACCAGATTTGTTTCAAATTTCGCATTTAAAGTTCGTAATGAATACTACATCCTATACCTCCCGATATTCGGTATTTTTGATGATTTTAGCTACATTATTCACCGATTTTTGTATAAGTTTCGCATTTGAATAGTGTAGTGGCTTATGACAAAAGTTGCCTATGCAGTTCCACGTCTTCGTATAGACCCTAATATACGGTTATACGGTTATATTCGGTATTTATAAGATTTAAACAGAATTTTTTACAGATTTCATGTTATTTATTTTTATACCCTACACCACAAGGTGGTCAGGGTATCATGTCTTTGTGCATTTGTTTGTAACATGGAGAAGGAAGCGAGATAGATCCATAGTTACTTTTGAGGATCTCCATAGAATCACTTTCTGAGTTGATTTATGTATGTCCGTCCGTCTGTCCATGTATTCTTGTGAACACAATGCAGGTCGCATTTATTATCCGATTGAGATGAAATTTTGCACAAATCATTTGTTTGACCCAGGGACGAACCTTATTGAAATTGGAGATTATCGGTAAAAATTTAGATATAGCTCCCATATATATCTTCGTCCGATTTGCCTTTTATTGTGCACCAAACCTGTAATATCAGCCCGAATAGTATGGAATTTGGCACATACAATCAAAATAGACCTGAAAATAAGTATGCCAAATTTGATCGAAATCGGTTCAGATATAGCTATAGCTCCCATAGATATTGTTTATCCGATTTGTTATTTTTGTCCTCCGCAGCCGTAATATGCACTCTGTAACAAAAATATTTGGGGAAATATATCAAATGCAGCTCAGAAATACATTTGCTAAATTTTATCGAGATCGGTTCAGATTTGGATGTAGCTCCCATATATAACTTCGTCCGATTTAACTTTTATTGTACAGCAAACGTCTAATATTTGCCCAAATGGGATGGAATTTGGCACATGCGACCAAATTGAGTCTAGAAGCTAGTATGCCAAATTTGGTGAAGATCGGTTCAGAAATAGCTATAGCTTCCATATATATTGTTCATCCGATTTGTTGTATTTGTTACCCACAGCCGTAATATGCACTTCGTAACAACGATATTCAGGGAAATACATCGAATACAGCTCACAAATATATTTGTCAAATTTTATCGAGATCGGTTCCGATTTGGATATAGCTCGCATATATATCTTTATCCGATTTCAAATTAATTGTGCACCAAATGGACAATACAAGTCCGAATTTAAAAGATACAAATGCTTCGGCATATTTAGTCTTTTGAACTTTAAATTATAATTATAATCATAGGGTGTATTATTAAATTCTCCCATAAAATATTTTAATTGTTATGTGGAGCTCTACAAAATTAGCAAAGTGGTGTAGGTAATCATAAAGTCGACCCCGACCGACTTTAGGACTTTCTTTACTGGTTTTATTTATTTATTTTATTTTTATTTATTTTTATTATTATTTTTTTTTTTTTTTTTTTGAAAATTGCCAAATTTGTATTTGGTGGAGGGTATTCAAAGTTCGGCCCACAGCTTTTTTAATTTTTTTTTTTTTTTTGTTTTGATCAAAAAAACTGAAAACTGTTTTCATGGCCCCATGATTGACCACTTATTTTTTTCACAAGCAAAAATATAGCTTTTCACACAAGTCATCCAAATTGCCTTTAAAATAGTATCATAATAGTACCAGACACAGAAATTTTGAGTCCCGTGATATTGAAATAAGGTTAACTCCATTTTATTTTTTAATTGTTTTTTTTCTTTTTCTCTTTATTTTATTACAAAATTATAATCACTACTTCTTCTTCTTTTTGGCTTACACATTAATTAAATGAGGCATTAAACAATAACTTAAAACTACACTGGCAACAACAAAATGGTCATTTCATAGTTTTTTTTTTTTTTTTTGTATTTGTTAATGATCAGTTTCTTTTACGATCGTTTCCAATAGCCCAAATTACTGCCACACTTGTTGCAGATCACTTTGCGTCCCACCGCTCGTTTCAGACAGCATTGGTAGACAGTCGTCAGCGGGAATAATGGCAGACAGCTGCGGAAAAGGGGGGAAAAAAAATAAGACAAATGAAATATTTCATCTTTGACAAAGGTTAAATGGTTAATTATATTTGTTACGTTTTGGGAATTGATTGATATTGAAATATTTTGAAAAAAACTTTTTTTGAAAAAAAAAATTGGAAAAAAACAAAACAATTTTTTTGAAATGAAAACCAGTAAAAATGTATCGGTCGGTTTTGCCGACAGATGTCTACCCTCAGCCAATCTTCGATTATTTAAAAATGATTTTTCAAACTCTTGACCCTCTATGGAGTGGGTTTTGAAAGAATGGGCCAATGATGTCCATTTCGTATCGGACCTAAATAAATATGATATAAATATTGCGACGTGCCAGGTTTAGACTAACATCCTTCGCTTTACATGTGATAATTTTTAGAAAATGTCATCTAATGCAGATAAAAATATTGGTATGGCCATAATAATAAGAATATCGAATATTTATATCAAATTTATGGGAAATCATAAATTCCGTAGCAAGTTATAAAGAATCGCTGAACTGTTTCGCAATTTATGACAGATAAAAGTATTGTTAATTGTGACCCTTTGTGGGTGAGGTACCAGTAGGGGTTAGCAGATATATAGCATCGTCACACCAGATTTTGTATTAGCCAAAATGTTTGTATTGATGAAATTTGAAGAAAGTTGTATGCATTTTTCGCTTTCTTCGAGTGTTTTTTTTTTTTTTCAAAATCTTGGCAGCAAACGAAATGGTCCGATCTCTACAATTTTTGTAACAGATCATGTGTTGATGGAAATATTGACGTGTAACAAGTCTGGAATAGAATCTGATGTTGATTTCGCTTTTTATGAGCTTCATGGGTATTCAAAATTTTGAGCATTTGTTGGGGAGGTACCAGAAGAAGAGGGCCGATGTATACCTTCACAACAGATTTTGTGTTAGCAAAAATGTTTGTCTGTGTGAAATATAAAGAGCAACTGATGTTTTTTTTCGGATTTTATAAACGTTTTGGTTATACAAAACTATGATCCTTTGTAGCAGAGGTACCAGAAGGAATGGTCCGATCTCTGCTTTATAATAGATCCTGTGAAAATAGAAACATTCAGATGTGCCAAGTCTAAATGGAATCCGATATTAATTTCGCGTTTTATGAGTTTAATGGATATTCAAAATGTTGACCTTTTGTGGGGGAGGTATCAGAAGTAGTACACCGATATATTCCGTCTTAATACCAGATCTTGGTTTATACAAATATTGGGATGTGTGAAATTTGAAGACAATCGGGCTCTAACATCACATTTTATAAGAGTTGTTATTATTCAAAATGTCGACCCTTTGTGGGGGGTGTACCTGATGGAGGGGACCGATATTATCCATTTTTGCACCTGACCTAGCACTGACGCAAATATTAGGATTCGCAAAGTTGGAGCAAAATTGGATTATTGCTTCCATTTTTGTGCAGAAAATATTTTTTTTAATTTTGAAATTTTGTGGGGGAGGTACCGGAAGGTGTGGACCGATATATTCCCCCTTAATACCAGATCTTGGGTTCATAAAAATATTGGGATTTGTGAAATTTGAAGACAGTCGGACATCACATTTTATGAGGGTAGTAATTATTTAAAATGTTAACCCTTTGTGGGGGGTACTTGATGGAGTGAACCGATGTTGTCCATTTTCACGCCTGACGCAAATATTAGGATTTGCAAAGTTGGAGCAAAATCGGATTATTATTTTTATTTCTGTGCAAAAAATATATATCTTTTGAAAATTTCGACCATTTGTGGGAGAGGTACCGGAAGGAGTGGACCGATATACTCCATCTTAACACCAGACCCTGGGCTAATTAAATTATTGGGATGTGTGAAATTAGAAGACAATCGGACTCTTACATCACATTTTATGAGAGTTGTAATTATTCAAAATTTTGACCCTTTGTGGGGGCGTTACTTGATAGAATGGACCGATATTACCCATTTTCGCACCTAATCTAGCACAGATACAAATATTCGTATTTGCAAAGTTTGGGCAAAATCGGATTATCGTTTCTCTTTCTGTGCCGAAAATTTATTTTCTGAAAATTTCGACCTTTTGTAAGGGAGGTACCAGAAGGAGTGGACCGATATTGCCCATTTTCGACCTCGATCTAATTTTGACAATAATATTACGATGTACCAAGTTTGGACCAAATCGGATATTCCCTTCGAGAGTTATCGTGCGCACCAGCCAAACAGACGGACTGAAGGACGGACATCGCTAGATCGACTCCAAATGTCCTGAGACGGATTTGGTCCTAAGAGACCTAGGGTCTAAAATCGTTTTTTTCGGTATATTAGGCACATTTTGACCCTATCAAATGATATATACCCCCTCTAGCCATATGGCTGAGGGTATAAAAATGCCTTGATTTCAATTCTGATTGTCCTGCAAAAACGTGTCTTAAAAATGCAGCCATCACAAATAATCCCCCTGAAATTATTCTCCTTAAAAAAAAAAACAAACTTACCACGCCAGTAGAGATTCAAATCGCACACTGTCCTTATCCAAACGCTGCTTGCAGTCGGGGCAATACATTTGTCTCAGACAGCTAATGTTTGGGCTATCCAATTGCTTGGCCCCGGCACTACCAACTCCCTTTACACCACCAATTGTGGCATATTTTGGTTGGGATTTAATCCTGGGGTGCAATGCCCTATCCTTGAGGTCGGCAATGCTGAATGATTTGGTTAGGCAGGATGGTGTGGTTGTATCATGCAACAGATTCGAACCCATTGATGTTGAGTTCAAGTTGATTTCGATCATGTCTTTATCGTCGATCATTATGCTATAGCACTATAAAACACTACTATCACTTGGGCGCCAAGTTATCAAACGTTGTGGATTAGCTGACAATCCGGTCGATATTTGTTCAATTGTTTGAATTTTTTTTTTGAACTGAACAACAACAACTTTGTAACACTTTGCCCTGACCTAATTAAGGGATTTGAGAGAATGCAGTCGAAAATTTTGTTTTGTTTGCTAGGTATTGTTTTTTTTTCTATTCCGTCTTTGTTTGGCCGAACTGAAATCAATCACTTAGTAGTCGTTCAAACGGTTGAAATGCGACTGCCTTAGATGCCATCATTTGATTTAAGACGAAGTTTTGGGTTTCGCTTTGGCTTAAACCGGCCTAAAAAGACCAACAACAACAAGCCGCACGGGGTGAATGCTTTCAATCCAACTCCAATAAACCCAAAAAAGCAGACACACTTGCACACACACACATACAACACAACTCTACATAACTGCAACGGTCATCCATCCAACCTGCTAACCAACCAGCCAACCAATCATGCGCACACAGAGGCAGCTCAAAAACAATTGACCTTATTGTTGTTATTATTAACCAAAGTTGTTGTTATTTGTTTACCAACCAACTTCAATTGTTTTTATAGACTGTGTTGTTGTTGTTGCTTTTTCACATTTTCAATTTTTTAATTTTTTACCGTTAACTTTATTTAATTGTGTAGTTCGTTCGCTCGCTCGTTCACTTTTTCTTTAAGCGGAACATTTCCAGGGAAGTTCTATGTGAATGAGTGGTAAAGTTGGAAATATGGTCTTCGTGACCCCCTTTACTTTCAGTTTTTATTAGTCCCCACAGTGTCAACATAATCCGAATGACCCTTAAACAACCAGGGCTAATGTTGCGAACGTGTGTGCACTCAAAGTGAATGTTCCGCACATTAATTGAGAATGCATAGCATGTCTTCCGAAAACAAAATACGTAACGGGTTTCACATCACTAAATGCAAAGCTTAACAAAAGCTTTGATGTTAAGTTTGAAATAAAGCTTTTTGTTTGCCGGACAGAGATGGGAATCAACTGAGCAACAGTACTATTTTGTACTATCTATGTATAATAGAGAGATAGAGAGAGGGAGAGAGAGAGCAGTGAAATAACTGGCTGACTAACCGAGAATCAACATTCAGACGAAATAGCTGAAGCTGAAATCTCAAAATTTTGTACGAGATTCAGTCTGGGTTGTTAGAAATTCGTACAAAAAAAGGAAAAGTACTAAAATGTAATAAAAATTCAATACTTTGTATTGGACAGACTGAAAGAGGTAGGGTATATTCATTTTGTCATTCCGTTTGTAACTAATCGAAATAATGATCTTAGACCCAACAAAGTATATATATTCTTGATCAGCGTAAAATTCTAAGACGATTTAGCCATGTCCGTCTGTCTGTCCGTCTGTCTGTCTGTTATGATCACGCTGTCTTACGAACGAATTGAGATAGAGGGCTAAAATTTTGCACACATATCTATTTTGCCAGTAGGCTGGTCAGGTTCGCAAATGGGCCACATAGGTCCACATTTTCATATAGCCCCTATATAACGGTACCTCCCGATATTCGATATTTTGATGATTTTAGCGACATTATTCTCCGGAATTGTTTCATATTTGGCATTTGAAGTTCGAAATGGATACTACAGCCTGAGATAGAAAATTGTCTATGCAGGTCCACGTCTTCGTATAGCCTCCATATAACGGTACCTCCCAATATTCGGTATTTTGATGATTTTAGCGTCATTATTCACCGTAGTAGTTTCAAATTATGTATTTAGAGTTCGTAATGGGAACTACAGCCCGTGAAGAAAAATTGCCTATGCATGTCCAGGTCTTCGTATAGGCCCCATATATCAGTACCTCCTTATATTCGGTATTTTGACGATTTTAGATACAATACTCACCGAAATTGTTTGAAATGTCGTATTTGAAGTTCGTAATGGAACCTACAGCCTGTGACAGAAAATTGTCTATGCAGGTACAGGTCTTCGTATAGATCCTATATAACGGTACCTCCCAATATACGGTACTCTGATGATTTTAGCTAAATTATTCACCGTTTATTTCACGTTTCGAATTTGAATATGGTAATGGCTTATGACAAACTATGCTTATGTAGGTCCACGTCGTATAGACCCCAATAAAACGGCTGTATTCGGTATTTTTAAAATTTTAACAGAACTTTTAACGGATTTTATTTTTTGAAAATATCCAAACTCGTTCCAAATGGTGGAGGGTATTCAAAGTTCGGCCCGGCCGAACTTACTGCTTTTTAACTTGCTTGTTTTTAGAAATTCGTACCAAAAAGATACGATAAGTACTAAAATGTACTAAAAATTGAATACTTTGAATTGGACAAACGGAATGAGCTAGAATTCGGAAAATTGAAATGGAGTCACAGATGGAGTGCTATATAGATGTACTAAAGGGTTCTTGGAAATTAGAACTTTAAGGTTACGAAAAGTTCTAAAATGGTACTAAACTTCTACAATGGTACCATTTAGTATTTGGATAGACTAAAAACTTTTAAATTTGGTATGAGAAACAATTTTGAAAATTATGTTTGACATACGAAGATGCTTTCGGAAATAGTACTACAAATGCACGAAAAGTAAAAATTGGTACTAAATTTGGTACTATTTGGAATTGTCAGAATGAATAGAGTAAAAAACTTGAAATTTGGTATGAGAAGCAATGTTGGAAAGAAAGTTTCACATATGAAGGTGGTTTTGAAAACGGTGCTACAAATGTACGAAAAGTAATAAATAGTACTGACTGTGGTACAATTTGGTATTATGTGAATGGATAGAACTAAAAACTTGAAATTTGGTAGGAGAATCAAGGTTAAAACGTAAATTTGATACATTAAGAAGAACTTGGAAATTTGTACGAACTGTACTAAATGGTACTAAATTTGAAAAAGTTTGCTTTAAAGCGAACGGATGAAGCTGAAATTACGATATATTACAATGGGATCCCTGTTGGTGGCAGTTTTGTAATAAAGAGGTGGTTTCGGAAACATGTACTACAAGTATACGAAAAGTACAAATAGTACCATATTTGATACAATTTGGTATTGGGTGAACAGATAGTGTTTGAAATCTGAAATTTGGAATTCGGATAGCTGTTCATGTGTAGCCTTGACATATGAAGGTCGTATCCTAAATGTATACTATAATTGTACGAAAAGTGTACGGTTTTGGTTACTGATGGTATTAGCCTTTGAAATTTGGCGATAGTTTTGAAATGCGTTTTACATTTGTACGAAAAGTTCTAAATGGTACTAAATTTGGTATTCTAGGGCTGGAATCTTTGAATTTGATATTATGGTCTTTGCTGCTATCTGAAATTGATATTTGTAGGTGGTTTTCTTTGCCTTCACCTATACCAAATTTAGTAAACTTTAAGGACGCATATCCAAAACAATCAACTTCTCTTTATCCTAAACACCAACAGTGATCCAAAATTGTACCAATAAGTACTTTTTAAAAAAGTATACTAACAGAGGACTCAATGTCAAATTTCGGAAATCAAGCTCTATCCCTTCACCTAACTTAGGACCACTTAGTATTTTTCGAACAATTATAGTACACATTTCCAAAAACCAGCTCCATATCTTAACCACAGACACTAAGAGTGACATCTATATCACATATCAGGACTTCAGCTCTATAATTATCCCATCACCAAATTTCGTGCAATTATATTGCTCTCAAATTTGATATGGATGTCACTGCTGGTGTCTCTGAGCAGTGACATACATATCAAATTTCGCCACATCAGCTCTGTACCAAATTTGAATATTAAATTTTGTAACATTTAGTACTTTTCTTATAATTTAAGTACTCATTTGCAAAGCCGTTCCATATATCCATTCTAGACACCAAAATTTATCGAAATATAGAATTTCACGTTTTCAGCCCTATCAACCAACAGGAATGCTATCATTAGAAGTTAGAAGAAGAAGTTTATTACCATTTTAGAACTTTTCGCAACATTAAAGTATGAATTTCCAAAGACCCTTTGGTACATAAATACTGCACTTTATCAGTTACACTCATTCCAAACCCTCGTGCAAAGTGTCAAGATTCTAGTTTCAGCCGTTTCGCCTCAGCGTTGATTCTAGTTCTACTTTTTTTGCTTATAGATAAAAGATAGTTCGAATTCCAAAGTTTTTATTTTCCATCTCTGATGTTAAGTATAATGGAAAGCTTTAGTTGGCAGAAAACTTTTGGCAAAAGCTTTATTAAAGTTTTTCCCCGATAATAAAATATATAGCATGAGATATTTTATTTTCACTTGTTATAAAATAAACATTTCTGAAACAGCTTGTCCTTTACAACAAGCGGTGGCCTAAATATTTAAAAGAAAAATTGTAGGCTGGGCTATTAAAAAGTATAGCCAAGATACCGCCTCAGGGAAGAACAAGTTCTGGAAACAATGTTTGGAGTCTCTCAAATTACATCAGGACTTGTTTGTGTTCGAAATCTTATAGTGGTTTGATTTGGCTTAACGAGCACAAAAATTGTTATTGATTGGTTTATGTACTGATCTTGTGTTGTGTCTTGAGGCGGAGTTTAATTTTGAACCATTGGCTAAACCTAACCTATAATCAATAAACATTTAATTTTTTAATTTGTTGATCCATCCTTAATTCCAGGATATCATATCGGTCCATTTCCCTGTAAATGTAAATTAAGTTCCTTTAAGGCATTTTGTGGTGGATATACCCGAAACAGTAGGCCAAAAATATTCCATATTTGAACAAAATCAATGTTTGATGAACAAAATCAATGTTTTGATGGAAAAGGGGACTCTCGTAGTTGTATATGAAGATTATCCTTTCTGATCCGTTGTGTGGAAGGTACCATCAACAACAATGAGGTGAGGCAGATTCGAAAAAGATGGAGCTAGACAATTTTCTGTCACAGGCTGTAGCTTCCATTACGAACTTTAAATACGAAATCTCAAACAATTTCGCTGAGTATTGTACCTAATATCGTAAAAATACGGAATATAAAGAGGTACTAATATATGGGGCCTATACGAAGACCTGGGCCTGTATAGATAATTTTATGTCACTGACTGTAGTTCCCATTATGGACTTCAAATACCAAATTTGAAACAATTCTGGTGAAAAAATGTCCATAAAATCATCAAAATACCGAATATTGGGAGGTACCGCTATATGGAGGCTCTACGAAGACTTGGACCTGCACAGACAATTTTCTGTCATAGGCTGTAGTATCCAATACGAACTTCAAATACCAAATTTGAAACAATTCTGGTGAAAAAATGTGCATAAAATCATTAAAATACCGAATATCGGCAGGTACCGCTATATGGAGGCTCTACGAAGACGTGGACTTGCATTGACAATTTTCTGTCATAGGCTGTACTATCCGTTACGAACTTCAAATACCAAATTTGAAACAATTCTGGTAAAAAAATGTCCATAAAATCATTAAAATGCCGAATATCGGGGGTAGGGTACCGTTATGTGGGGGCTATACTAAGACGTGGACCTGCAAAGACAATTTTCTGTCATAGGCTGTAGTATCCATTACGAACTTCA